ACACCCTTTACAATAAACTAACGTCAAAAAAAATTTAAATAGTTCAACGTTGAATGAGCTTACCTGAAATGATTAAACAAGCTTAAAGGTTTAGATGTGAAAGGATTACTTTATTTAGGTCTTTTTAGTGACAGTTGATTGAGATTGATTGCCAAAACACATTTTGTTAACTTAATCATTTGAAATGATTCATTTCAAAACAAATTGAAAGTTTACAGTTCGTTTAGTTACAAATAGTTTCCATGGTAACTACCAGAAATTTTTCAATGGCTAACCTGCCGCCATCTATTAGGCTCAAAACAAAATGGTAAAATTTAGCTTTTTTTATGTCAACTTTCGTAGGTAAAGAAATCAAATTGAAACAAATTATCTTTGTTTTATAGTGAATCCACATTTTTTAGATATTTTCGGAAGTTTTCCATCTAATCAAATCTCGATGTAATATTTATCAATCTTGTATTTGCAGGTTGGCAGTAACTCCTCGTTTAAATTAGATTTTCCCATTCCTGGTCGAACCTCTCCTGGCCGAGGTCGTCGTTATTCCGTTGCCACCATCATTAATCAATCTCAGAGTACGTCTTCCACCATTCTCAATCAATTAGGCACCGGAGTGGTAAGTATTATTTTTAAATATCAACAAAACTGCTGGTTGATTCATTATTTACTCAATTTGCCTATTTATATTTCCGATATCTTTTGTTATGTCTGCATGTTAATCCTCAAGACTCATCAGCTTATTGTTGAGCTTATAGCCATTAGGGTTTTCATAACTGACCATCATCTATTGAATGATATCTCTCTCATTTAAATCTGTCTCGGGTGTTTCATGGACTTCCCTTGTTAGCCTACAGTTTTTGATGGACATTTTCTTTATAATTATTTATGAGTTTGATTTTAACATAATATGATCTGACATGAAACAAGAAAATTTGTATTAGCTTAACCTTCAAAGCAAATTGAAACTCTTTATCCAATCAACCCAGTTTTGTCTATTCATGTCCCAAGATGGTGTCTAGTGTACATTTACTAATGTTATCTTAATTCTTATTAATATTTACAGCAACAACTCTTTGGACGATAGCTTTAATTAGAAGAATGGAAAGGAAAAGCAACAGGATAAATTAAAGTATATAACCAGGGAGAGAATCAATACGGAAGATTTATTGATCTCAGCGGATTTCATACTCAACCTTTCATGACAGTTTCAACAAGCAACAAAGCCATATCATAATATCCTTATCATTTGATTATCCAGTTTTATTTCAATTTTAACAGCCAACAGTTATAATCCATTGTGACTACAACCCAGCCCAACAAGCCTCCCCACTCATCAACCTCTCTATACTGCATATTACCAGTAGACTGTAAATTGTAATAACCCCACGCAATAGTCAAACCAAATATAATCAAAAGATAATGACGATTTAGGCAAAGTTAAAGACATGGGTACATCTTGGACCCAACAATGAAGGATAATCAAACAAGGAATTGCACACTCCTGTTAATCTAAACCAGTTTGTTTTGATTTTTGGCCGTTTCTGTTACCTTCTCATTTTGGATATATTCATAACACCTAACCAAATGATTTACAAGAGAAAACTAAAAGTATTTGAAATGATGAATCAAAAATAGAGATTCAAATGTTATTCATACCGGAAAAAAACCAGAAAAAAATGCAATATTGCAATAAATCAACAATACATTATTCAAATTGTTAATATAAAATGAAAAAATTTTGGAAAAACAAAAGGAAAAGAAAGTTGAAAATCAAGATACAATTAAATTTAACTTGATCAATTTTTAATATGTTTTGTGAATAATTTATTTTCTTTTAATGATCATTTTGCGTTAATCATCATCAACATAGGTGTTAATTGTCGGTGTTTTTTTAGAGTTTCAAGACGAATACAAATACAAAAGGAAAAAAGGTTTGAAAAGGAAAACAAAATTATGGATTAATGTTAATGCGATTTTTGATTTTTTTAGTTGAAGATGTCAAAACATTATTTATCAATTACAAGTGAAGTTGATTTTTGTTTTTGTTTATCATTAATTCAAATTACAATTTCATAAAAGTGCAGATTTGATGAGACAAAAAGAAGACAGAAAAGGACTAAAGAAGAAGAAGAAGAAGAAGAAGAAGATGAAATTTGAATGTGAAATTGTGTTGTTTTCATCAAGCCAAACCATGAAGGCCCAAAAGGCAATAAGATTTTTAGTAATTTGTTTTCAAAAGCTTAAGAATCAAGGTGAATTTGTATATAAGTGAATATATATATAATTTATTTAATTGTTATCAGTTTTATTCTGTGCTTATCATCATGAAAGAGATGAAAACATATGAAGGATAAAATGAAGAGAAACAAAAGTGGCACAGATATGATGAAGGATGATGACGATGATGACGATGAAGTAGATTTGGATTAAACCAGAATTTTTAACCCAAACCCAAACCAGACTCTTGGGTCAACGTTTGATGAGATTGTTATCACTGTTTGTTTAAAATATAAATATGTTGAAGTGATCAAGTTGAATGATCAAAAAGGTCATGGAAAGCAAAGAAACGAAAAAAAGGATCAAAATTGGTGTTTTTATTTCTTCTTCTGAATAGGCAGTGAATTGATGAAAAAAAACCCTTTTCATAATTCAAAGGATTCATCATTAGATACTGAAGAGTAAACTTGAAGAAACCAGACAAAAGTGAAAATATATTGAGAAGAGGAAGAGGAAGAGAAAGGTTGACTCTCTTGATAAATAAATTGATTTTCATCATTTGTTTAGTCGCATTTTGCTTTACATTGAAAATGCCTTTCTTCCTCTTCTTCACCTCAACTTCATTATTTTGTGATTTTTTTTTGTATTCCATTCACAAATTCATTGCATTTCTTGCGATTCCTTTGCACACTTTTTTTTCATTATATAAATATACTTTAGCTTGCCAATAATATTACTGTCTTTGGGCATCAAAATACACTCAAACTGGGAAAACAAATTAAAGGTTGAAAAAACTGTTTCACACACCAAATAACCCAAACAATGAAACGCACTTTTTGCGATCGATTTAATTTTGTTAATAATTAGACTTTATGCGATTAATTATGATTTAAGTGTAAGAATCGTCGATTCAAGTTCATTTTCCAAATGTCAAATGTGTTAACAAAAGGGAAAAGACAGAAACTCAAAACTGGTTCAGCTTGAAAAAACTGGTAAAATGAAGGAAAAGGTTAAGTCTTGTTTCTTGCTTGTCTTAGCGCTCGTCATTGTAACAATTTGCTGGCTCAAATATATTTATATCTTTATACATATTGATTGATGATTAATGATTGATTCAGATTTGATTATGACGGTAAATGGTGTCAAAAGTAGAGTCAAAAGTGAAAAGTCAAATTTTCATTTTCGTCTTTAGTCAAACGCTTTCTTTGGACAATTTTGTTTCCCTCAAAGTTAATTTTGTAGTTTCCATAAATCTTTTGCCGTAAAATCAAAGTGTAAATCAGTTTTTTGATTGTTTGACTTGATTAACAACTGAAGCTGTAAAGTGTCACCTCAAGTTGGCTCGTCAGCTTGATACAAAATAAAGAGTGCAAAATAACCAAAAAAGAGTGTGAAAAGAAAAGAAAAGAAAATGAAAACAAAATTTATTCGCAAATAAACTTATTCACTTTTTTTCATATCATTTCTTTGTATCATCATTATCCACCATTCTCATCATTTTATCCATCATTTTTCATGATTCCATTCAATCATATCATGGTAAAAGAACTAAAAGCAAGAATCTTCATTTCTCAGTTTTCCATGTTCGTTGAAAGTTGTCAACGTTTGTCCATGAAAGATTTTCCTCAATTTTTTCGTTTCTTCTCTTTGCGTTTTTCCCTCTTCATTTACTAATTGTTGTCATCTTGATTCATGGTAATGAACATAATAATAATAATGATAGTTAATAGTAAAGATATTATCATCAGTAAGTAGCGAAAGTTGTCTTGGAATCTTTGACTTTTTCCTTTTTTCCTTTTTTCGTTTGATTTTTTTTCTTCTCAAAAGTTTTCTTTTTCCATCTTTATCCATTTTTAAATTGTAATTTAAGAGTGTTTTTTTCATCGTCAACAGTTCAACATTTGTATTTGTATCAGAATTTGCAGAATCGAAAAAAAAGTTGATGGACTTCACTAGCTTAAGAAGGAAACTGAAGCTCCGCCAGCACGAGCTCGGTGAAAGTGAACCATTTGCCATTTCGATTCGCGTCTATGCCAAACTCGAGTTTCCTCACTTTGTTTCACCTGAGGATTTCCAGAACTGGAAAAGTGTGGAAAAGAGAAATCGTTAGATTCATTGGATAATCATTATAAGGAAAAGTGTCTCAATATTGATCCATGTTAATCATTACAAATCACAATGTTTTATTGAGTAATATTCATTGGAAAAAAAGTGTTGATTAAAATATGAATAAAAATCACTCCCAGGGAAACACATTTTCACTATTGATTGACCTTTTTCTCTGTGACTTGATATTATTTTTTCTCCTTTTTCCTCTCTTCTTTTGCTCTTCAATTTATTTCAATAACTTGCAACAAAGACTCTTGTAGATTCTCAAGATGACTGGGAGGGAAAAAACTCCCAGGTAATAGTTGGATGTAAGACAATAAGTTAAAGATGGAAAAGACTTTGAGTAAAAATATTGTCTCGTTTTACCTTTTTTTATCACTTTTCTTGTCCTCTCTTGCAATTTTTCATCTCAATTTTTGTGTTGTTTGTTTTTGTAAAACTATGAAATCGTTTCTCAGATTGAGTTGCATTTTCATTTGTGAAAAAGCAAAAATTGAAGTTGATCATTAATTTAAAGAAGAAATTTTGTGCTCATTTTTTGCGTCATTTCCCTTTCTTTTAATGACAGTCAAATTCATCAACTTTGAAAAATTGACCATTTCTATAACTCATCTAAATATTTCAAATTAATTACATTTTGTTTCATGTTGAATCCATTAAAATGCATTAAATATAAATTATAAATTTCATTTCATCAACCTTTCTCAATATTGATTTGGTAAAGTTCACTTCTTTTCATGTAAAAATTAAACCTCTGATTAATGATGAAAATTGTTGCTCCGATAAATGGATCAAGAATTATGAGTAAACATAACTTTTACCTTTTCCAAATCAATATCATTTCAATGCTTAAGCAAACAAAAACCAAAAGCAATTCAACTTCCATTCATTTTACCTCAAATCAGGAAAACTTTCGATCTTTGAACCTTGATTACGAATAAAATCAACTTAAATTTCTACCCAACTTTAGCAAATTAAACTCAAATTTCGAATCGAGCAAAATTTCAAAGTTTCATCACAAAAATGAGCAGAAAATTACAATTCTCGGAAACTTAAACAAACGCAACAACAAATTACCAAATCAAAAACGAACTGAAAACGAACTGAAAAGATGATTTGCATTGATAAACTTCATGATTCAGTTAAAAGAAATTTTAAAATAGCGAAACTAATCTCGAAAAACAAATTTCTTTGATTCTTGGTCAATTTTCATTTTCTTGAATTTTGTGGTTTTTTGAGTCACCTTCGCGATTTTGGATCAATTTTGAAGACAATTTTCATTCTTTGATTTCGGGTTGAAAACCTTTCGAAACTCGAAAACTTACGAATCTATGAATTGAGTTAAACGAATGTATGCAATGCAAGCGGCATCATCTCCCATCAAATGTACAGTTGGATTCAAAATGTTGGTATTGATGGTTTTCATATTCTTGGTAAGGACTGCTGCAATGGAATAGAGTTGACAATCATATTAATTGATTGTTAATAATAACAATAATAGCAACAATAATGATAAAGCTCATATGGAATGGAAACAAAGTTCATGGTTAGAACATTTTACTTTTGTTTGTTTTTTTCCTCTTTTTTTGGGTAAAACTTTTTTTTTATGCTCTTCAACTAATGGGTTGCAATGATGATTATATCCAGGATTGAATTAATCTTTCACAATTTATCGATTGATTTAGCAATTTATTGTTAGTACTTTTTTTTCATTTAGGTTTTGCCAAATGATGAAATAAAAGGCAAAATGAAGCAAACGAGTTAAATTGAGTAACAAGTAACTTTGCTTGCTCTTTTACAACTTATTTGTATCTCTTTCAGCTTTTTGCTCATTTCTTGCTTTTTACTTGATCTCAATCTTGTTAGACTGTTTGCATAATGAAGAGCACAAAATCAAATAACACAAAAAACATTCAATTTGAGCTTCTTTTTGCAAGGTAAATGTTCAACTCTCTCTTTACTTACCATTATCAAAGTAATATTTATGGAATTCAATTCCTTCCACTAAATTACCTAAAGTTTCAGGTTCAAATGACGATACACTTGGGTCACAGAATTTGCTGTAAGCTTCATAATCACCCGTCGCTATGGCGTCCAAAAGTTGTTCAGTTATTTTGATAATTTCTTGTTTACGAGCTGAAAAAGAACATGGAAACAGAATTAATTAAAGAAAATCACTTTTTCACCAAAAAGTTCAAAAACACACTCAATCTTCGAACAGATAAAATCTAAGTAAATCTAAATCTAAATTTCCAATCACCTTCAAGCGAACAAAAAACTTTCTAAAACTCAAAGTTTCTAAATTTTCATAATAACTTTAGCCATTATACCAAACCTGAGATGAGAGCAAATCTTTATTGAAACTAAAGTCTCGAATTTCAAATAAAAATTAATTTCCTTTTACCAAGAAATTGCCAATTTTCAATCTTCGAACTGATCGACTCAATAAAATCTCAAAAATCTCAATTTCAAGTCAACTTGAAATGAGGAGAAATTTTTTCCGAAACTTGGAAACTCAAAGTTTCCATGAAATTTCTGTCATTACTTCAGCTGATTAAACAAACCAAAAAGGGTCAGCATCTCTATTGAAACTACAGTCACGAATTTCAGAGGAAAATGAATTTCCAAAACTAAATCCAAATTGAAAATTCTATATTCAATTGATATTTTCATGGACACTCATTAATTGTCCATCAAATTAATCAGTTCACATTAGTAAGCCAACTTAATCCAAGTTGAAAGTTGAGCAAAATTAAATTTTAATCAGCAAACAAATGAACTGACAAAAGAGGGAAAAGACTAAACTAAATTATTCCCTAAACTTGATGAAGCTTGTCCAAGATAAACATGGACAAGTTTACTTTTCGTTGAAACCAGGATAACTCATTAAACTTGGCTTAGTTTGTTTGCATTTTGAATGAAATTTAGTTGATCGATTGAACCTTTAGCTTTCCATTGTCAATTGAAGAGGAAGAAAAAATAAAAGGATGAAAATGAAGACAAAAAGAACGTAAAAAAGGGATAAAAGTTGCAGGTTAATTGTTGACTGTCGATTGACAAAAATTGAAACAAAAGTGATTAAATGATGTTGATAGAAACGAGCATTAAATGTTATCCTTAATTTATATATCAAGTTTGATGGTTATATTAGACTGGGAGGAAAGAGAAAAGGTAATTTCATAAACTCACACATCAATAGTTGGTTGCTTTGTCATCATCATTATTTCAACCTCTTATAAACATGATTCAATGTTGCTTCAAGAACAGGTTAATCTTTTGGGTTAACACTCATGTAACATTCATTGAAAGATGTTATTGTTGTCTGTTGATGGTAATGATAATGATGATGTTTATCATCATCATTTGTTACCTTTAACTTTGCCCAATATTTAATCATTTTACTTTTGCTCTTTTCCCTTTGACCGAAGAGAAACAAAACTACCAGAAAAAAAAGCTAAAATAATAATAGAGTTGAAAAGGTAAAACCAATTACTGAATAAAAATGGGTTTTTGAGTTGCAAACAAAACCATAATGACAGCGCAATCGCTTAGAGTTTTGATGAAGAAAAAAAACGAACCCAAATTGAGTTCATTATAATAACAACCCAAAGTTGTAGAGTGAAACTTGATCTGAATGACATGAAGAGCTGAATAGGGAAGAAGCAACAAGTCGAGAAGCGATCAATGTCGATGAGATTTAATTTCACTTCGACATCGCTCTTGAATTTAAAGTCAACTCAACATTCAATTTAAGTTTAGTTAAGAAAAATGTTTCAAGCTTACGATCAATCCCAGTATATTCCCTTCTCACTGAATCCATTAGAAAATGTTGAATGTGATCAGTTGATGGCGGTCAAAGTATTGTTGACGAACAATTTGATTTGATTAAATCCAAAATTTCACAAGAAAAAGTTTGAAACAAAAGTTGAAATGAAAGTCACAATAACAAGTTGATCGGGTTGATGATGAATGGCAAGTCCAGAGGAAAGTTAACATTATTTATTGATGAAGATGGAAAGAAGAAGAAGAGGAAAAAGATGGAAAAGAAACCATAAGATAACTAATTCTTTATCATTATCTATTTATAGTGATGATAATAATGTAATAATAATCTTCTGAAGTTTCATGGAATCACAGAAAGTTGTTTTTCAAAGGTTAAATGTTACGTTTATCTTTTTATTGATTTTAGTATGCATTCATTTTGCTATCAATTTCATTTGAAATTTTCCTCTCTTTTTTTGCTATCAAATTTTACACCATTTTTGTAATTAATTTATTGCAATTGCTTGATAAACAGTTTAATGAAGAGCAGTTTATTGCTGATGAAAGATTAGATTCAAGATTTAGATTGAAAACTCAATCTTGGATTAGCAATCTTCTTGACGTTATTTTATTCATTTATGACTTTAATGCTTCATTAGATTACATTTGATTGGATCGAAATTCATGAAAGACGTAAATCGAAAGTCAAACTCAATGAGCAACATGATATTCACCGTTAATCCATCTACGTTGATATATTGTCAATGTTTGGAATTAATATTGTTTTTTCTTCTTCTATTATTTTCGCCATTGTAATCATGTTACCTTTAATCAAGTGAACGTTTTGTGATATTTTTTTCATTAAATGACATTCTTGATGAATGCCATTCAACAAGTAAATTGCAATTCCAATTTAGTTCATGTCGATAAAAGCCTGAATAGTAATTTTGTTTCATCTTACAAGTTGCAATGGATATAATTTGATTGGTACAATTAGTTAACCAATTGATTTATGTAATGATATAATCAACTGATGGAGTTTGTATTTAAAATTTGTTGAAACAAAACCAGTGCTAGGAAAAGGCAAACAATTGACATTCTTACAACAAGTGAAACTTTCATGAGCAATCCAATCAAACTGATAATTGAATTAAGTTGAAGTAGATTAAATGAGGAAAATGTTCACATAAATCAGTAACAAATGTTGCAATTCCAGGTATTTATATTATCTAATGATTGCAGAGAAAAAAAGTCCAACAAAATTACATGAAAATTCTGAATATCATTCTGTGTTAGATTACTGGGTGTGTCGAATAGCCTTTGCACCTCATTTCTCGTTTTTCGGAATATTCTGATCGTCAGATAGATCAGTGACTGGAATCTTTCATTGCCTCAAACTTGTGAATTTCATGATTCTTTGCACTGATTTTGAGGCATTTTTGTTTCTCCTGCAAAGCTGCAGCTTTGGAACTTTCAATTGTACCTTGAAAAAGTTTTTTCTTGATTCATAATTTATTCATTGACTGATGAAGATTTGCGACAAAAATGTTATTAATGTTGATCAAATTAAATGATAAATATTGAATTGAGATGTTTCATCATGTTACATCAAGATGTAAGTCTCTCATGAGAGGTGAAACAAAAATGTTTATTAACATTAGAATTATCAAGGTAATCAGGTTTTTTCTTCTTCTTTTTGGCACCAGAATTATTCATTTGAACAAGATTAGTTGCTCAGATAAGATAATATGAAAGTAAACAAGATGGAAACGAGCTTTTCAACTTTTTTTTTCTCTCCTTGTTTTTTCATTCTCTTTGATAAAAGAGCGAAATGAATATTCACTTTAATGGATAAACTTATTTTCAAAACATTAACTGAATAAACCATCAACCAGATTGACAGTTTTACAAGTGACAAATTCAAATGTTTATTCAGATATTCAATTGAATTTAATTGAATCCTCAACTTTTTCTTTCATATTATCACTTTAATCATTTATATGATAACAATGATTAACTCTTGGAAAGTTGACAAAAGTATTGAATATGTTTAACCCTCATTTAATTAGCTATTCATTAGAAGGTAAAAATAATAATAATAATATTATAAGTTGAATGTTTGCTTGTGTGTTTCCAGTGTTCTTGTGTCTCGTCCGTTTCATGATTAATGAAATGTTTAAAGTTGAAGAATGAAAATGAAGAAACAAAACAAAAAATTCAAGTTAATTAACTTCAAGTCATTAAAGTAAAAGAGTGGAAAAAAGATGGAAAAATTATCCTTTTTGCTCTTCTATTCAACAATTTTTCCATTCAATCATTTTTCCATGAATATAATAAGGCAGAGAAAAAAAGGAAATAAAATCTCAATTGAGTTTAATTTTTGCTTCAATAAGCTGATCAAATATATTTTTTCTGGCTTTTAGTTGAACTCAACAAGCCGAGTGATTTCAAGTGTCAAATGCAATCTATTTATATTCATTAATATTTAACCGATTTCAATAAACTTGATTGGTTCAACTAACGAGTCTTTAATCGATCGATACTCAACTCTTTCAAAGGATGCACATAGGTCAAGACGATTTTTCTTGATTAGCTGCAATACCCCAGAATATGAAAGGTAATATCGATTGAAAATTCGGACTCATTAGATAAAGCAAAATCTCAGAAAATAAACTTAATTTTTAAGTAAACTTGAAGCTCAAGTGTTGCAACGAATGCGTCAAGACTGATCTCGAATCAGCAGCTAACTATTATGTGTTTGATCAATTAAAATGCAAGACAGAATTAGTTTTGATTTACGATTTTTACGAATGTCAAATTTTGTTCATCAACTCAAATTGATTTCTATTTTTCGGCCCAATCAATGTAAATTAGGAAAATAGTCTTTTCTCAATGTAATTATATTAATCGATACACTTTTAAATATTTCATCTGCAAATGAATAAAGACTATTTTCAACTGCGATTATTTTTCCAATCAAATGTTGAAATGCTATTTGACCTGAAAACCTGACAAGAGTTTGACTGCGGAAATGTTTACCTGGAAACAAGCTTTGTTCAACCTTTGAAACTCAGAGTTATCAAAAGATGAAAAACCTGAAAATGATTAAAGAAAAAAAACTGATTTCTTTTTTCATTTACCATTTACTACTTACAGGACAGTGTTTTCACTGATGAATCAATGTGAACGATTGTTGGACTTTCTTCGATTTTTGGAGTATTTTTATGATGATTTGACTCTGAACTTGGCCTTGAACTAGAAACGACAATGGACTCTGTCGATGCAATGAACGAAAACAAAAATAAAAATCTTGAACAAAATGAATCATGAAAATGATGGCTAAAGACAACTTGAAATGCATTGTTGGTTGAATGTTAGTCCAAAAGGTTAGCAAAAGTAGAACGCCTTTAATTGGTTTTAATTATTAATAAAATTAAGGGTTTGTTAAGGTAAAGGCAAAGAAGCGAAACAAGGTTCATCTGTGAGAAAATGTTGATAAAGTTGAAGCTAAAAATGATATTAATAAATTGGATAAGGTTTTCCCTGGATTCCCTTGATAAATGATGATAATGATAATGTACACCTTGAAACTGTAACTATAAATAAAAATGCATTTAAAACCATTTTCTTGATCAACTCTTTCTCACTAATTCCCTGTAAAAATAATAAAGATAATAATAATGTATAAAGATGATGAAAGCATTAAACCAGCTTTTATTTGGTAAATACAAACATTGGCCAACTAACAGAAATTTTTTTTCTTGATTGTCACTTAATTGGTCAACTCAATTCTCATTTCCAGTTCTTGACCAAACAAAAGAAAACCTTTATTCCTTTTCCTTTTCCTCTCGTCCCTTCTTCTCATCCAAAATTACTCTCGACGAATTTTCAACTCCCTTTAACTAAACATTTATAACTCAATCTTTTTCAGGTCATTTTGTATCCAAGCAACAAGAGAAAGAAAAATATCTTCTCTTTTCATCATCTTCTTTCCATTCTTTTTATCTTCAAAAGAAGAAGAAAAAAAGCAACTATTCTTGTTAGATAAACTCACTTTTCCTTCTCACTTGATTCCCTGTTCATAGACTCTGACAGAACTGGAAACATCCTTTTTTCTTGTTTCATTCACAGTTGGCTTTTTTGCCTCCTCAACGTTCAATGTCTTCACCAATTTGTGTCAACCTTTTTTATCAGCTTTACTCATATTAAGCCACATCATATTTTACAGTTTCTCATACCTTTAACAGAAGCTTTACTTAAGGTTGACAACATTTACTTTTCATCCATTCCTTTACCATCTTTTAACCCAAAATTGAGAAAACAAAAAATTCTTTCTCACTCTTCATGTTGGACCCTTAAAACTAATACTCTCAACTTTACCCCTGCAAATGGCAAACTCAAACAAGAACAATGAACAATGAATACAAATGATTCAAACTAATCTTCATCTTTATCATTGCCAATTTCATTTTGCACCCAATTTTTCATCTCTTTTTTTCATCCAATATTTTCGCACAACATGAACGATGCCCAATAAAGGCACATAATACCTAAACTTTTTCTTTTCTCTTTTTCTTTCCTTCACTTCAACAGTCACAAACTAATGGTAATTTGATTTAAAGCAACATTTTTAAAATGCTGACGAAAGGAATAGGAAAAAGTATCCTTTTGTTGGTTAAGAGAAACATTGAAATTGGTTTGATTCAGATTAGATGTACTTTCTTGTTACTTAATATTCACCCTTTATTTGACTCGAAATTTTTACTCGCTTTTCGTCGATCCTTTAGCTGACGATGAGGAAAGCATGGTAAACATGGAATAATGGTGAGGGTTCGTTAAGAGTTGACAATCTTGAAAAATGTAAATCATCATTATCATTACCTTTACAACTTTTTGCTTAATGAGATATTCTTGACTTTCTTATTCACACATCAATTCCTTGGGAATGAAGGTTAAATTATATTAACAGGCATTTTGTCAGCTTTTTGGTTATTCAAAGGTAAGAAACCAAAATTTGGCTTCAAGGTGAATAAAAATAACTGGTTAAACAGGGAGTGAAAAAGATGTTGAATGTTATAATAATTATAAAGAAGAAGAAGAAGAAGGAAAATCGAAAGATAACATTTTTCTTTTCATTCTAACATAACATTCTAATGTGGTTATTATAATAGCGATTAGAAACAGAGTTGTTTCCATGTTGGAAGGAAACAGATGGAAAAAGAGATTCATTTCAAGCAATTATAGAATTTTCAGTTTCACCAATTAAGACATGAGAGGAAACAATTATCTTTGAAAGGTTAACAGTTGTAAGCAGTTTCCATTATCAGAGGCTTTCAAGGGAATTGCAAGTTATAATGTTGACAAAAATGGTGCAAAATTTAGTTGACAATTTATGCATTTAAATTGTGATTGAAAGGAGAGAAGAATTTTTCTTTTTGATTAAACTTTGAAAAACAAATTTCCATTTGCAGCATTCGGTTATGAGTTTAGTTACTGGGAGTGAGTTTGGAGTTTGGCTGGGAGTTTGCATCATTAAATAGGGAATGAGAATAAAGGAGTTTATAACGATTCTTTACCTTGGTCAGTTTGTATGACAGTTTTACTTCGTTCAACTCCATGTTGAAGAGATAAATCTGAATTTTTCGTTCCAGAACAATAATCAAGGAAATAATGAAAACAGGAAATATTTTTGTTTTCATTTTTTTTTCGTTTTTTGTTTCATCCAAGCGCATTCAAGTTGCGAGCGTTTATTTTTATAAATGATTTTTTTTTTGTTTTCGTCACAGTTTGCATTGGCAGTTGCACGTAACGATAATAATTGTTGGATCAATACAAATGATATAATGAAGCATCGCATAGCACATAGAAGAAAGGAAAAGGGTAAAAGATAAAAAAGAAAAAAGTTTCAACATTAAATATTGAACAAAAATTATCACAAAATGATGATTTATGAGATAAAAATGGTAAACAAAAATGTAACCAAATGAAAGACAAAAACATTTTGCTTTGGGCTTCAGATAAATATTTGCATTTCAAGCTTTTCAGTTTTTCCAGTTTTCTCTTTTCACATTAAAAGATTATATTTAGTGTTAGTTTTTTGCCAAATAATAGTCAATAGTCATTCATAAATGCATTAAGTATTAATAATACATGCTTATCTGATGAGCTGAAAATTTTAAGCACTTGAGTCTTGCTTTCGTTGGACAATTTTGAACATTCAAGCTTTTAATTTTGAGCAGCCAAAAATGCGAAAAACTTTGTTTACTCGATAACCAGTCATCGGCATTGTAAGGGTTTGGCTTTGTTTAGCTTTAAGATAATCGCAATTTTTCAATATAAGACGAAAGTTAGGTGACATTGTGTTAGAATCGATGAATTTGTGACTCTAATCAGGTGATTAGTTTGGATTTAAATATAAGTTACAACTGAAAATTCAAAAAGAACATGAGATAATTTGGTTTTTTATCCTGAATATTTTAGAGTTATAAGACATGATTATGATTGATAAATGGATTTGTATTGATTGTTGACCTGTCAGTTGACAATCTCTTGAAAAAACTATTAATCATTTTCATTATTCCGTTCAAAACATGATGGCTTTTAAGTTGGAAATTAAATAAACTCTGTTAAGTCAAATTATCTCGTGTTTCAAACGTGAATCAATAGTCTAACAAGTGCAAATTAACTCGAACATATGTCGATCAATTAATCAGAAACATTTCGTTCGAATCGATTATTGTCAATATAATCGATTAATTAGACAAAAATCGAGGAAAATCTTTCATGAAAATAAACTCAATATCGATTTTTCATTCACTCCATTGCGAAACTGTTACTAATAAGCCAATCTAATTGCTTCATTTTAATAATGCAATACACTAGAACCAATCACTGGTCAAATTAAAAAAGCCATTAGAGTCAAACTAGTCCACTCAGCCGATACAATGCAGTCAAAGATGGAACCATGTTGATACAAGCAATATTTACCAATCCCTTCAATGGAGAGTAAGCATTCATGTTTGAGTTGATATCAAACTCGTTATTCCGACCATAAATTCAAAACGAATCCATTAAATAATCATTCAGAGACTATCGATCGATTTTTAAATGAATCGATTTCTAGGCAACGATTTTCAATATGCATAATATAAGAATCGATCTGCATTCGAATGAAAATCGAATTGAATGTCTATCGATGGATAAATCGTATTGAGCTTTGCAAGGGACTTAAATCACGAATACACGAAAGAGACTCAAGATTAATCGTAAATAAACAATCTGTCATGAAAAAATTGATAAAATTGCCTTCTCCTGATCTTTGAGTAACAAGTGTAATCCAATCTAGTTTGGTCAATATAAATATTTATGCATTTATATTTAAGTAATGATTACAAACGTTGAATCTTTTGACAAAATGCAATTTATTGTCACAAACATGAGCAATGTTAGTTGTAAAAGTCAAATCCAATTGGCAACAATTTATTAATAATTTACAATTATTGTGACAGGAATGAATAAATTTACGAAGAGGAAGAAAAAAAAGACAAAAATTATTGAGGTAAAGGGTTGCAAGTAAAGGTAATAATAAAGTTAATAGCAAAAATGGAGTTTCATTTTTTATTAATCTTTATTTATTTTGCCAAATTATAACATCAAATAATTTTGAATATCATTTTCTTGAATAGCAATAACAACAATGATATTAATAACAACACCATACAAGTTGACAATTGAAAAAAAAAGTTATCATAAATTATTTGGCAAAGAAAACAAAAAAGTGAATTCAATTACAAATGGATTTACTTGGCGTAACCAGACTAACAATAATTATCAAAGTCAAACCTAATCTAATCTAACCCATTATCACACTAATTTATGAGCTCTGAATAAAGTAAATTTTAATGAAAAAAACTCGATCAACAATAACAAGCAGAAAAGCACTCAAAAGGCCGCATAACCTAATTTTTGCACTTTTAATGAATCCTTTCTGTCCTTTATTTCAACCATTAAACCTGCTGTTCATGAGAACTGAGAAGACCAAAGGTACAAAAAATTGAGTTGTGATCAAGTACTTGAAGGGATGGATAAAGATATCGATTTGATTACCAGTAAATGGTAATAAATTTTTTGTAGCAATTTTCCTTTTCGTTGTACTTGACATTTACTCGAGTTTACAAACTGATGATTATAAATGATAAACAGGAAAAAATACTTATTGGTTATCAAATGAATATGCATTATATCTTATTAAGGGTTGAAAATGAGGTGAAAAATGGTGCAAAAGAAGAAGAAGAATGAAGATAAATATTTCTCTTTTTTTTTCCTGAGAAAACATTTCCTCTGAGAGAAAACATGAGAAATAATCAGGAAAAAAGGCGAAAATCATTATCAATATCAACTTGAATCTGACTGTCAACAAGTTTCTTCTGTTAACTATTAACTGATTTGAGTTGAGAACATGATAAGAAACTTGTTTGATATCAACTTGAAATGAAAAGTGGAAATTCATTTCTTGTATATAAAAATGAATTAGATGAAATGGAATCGATAGAAAATGATATTGAAGAAGAAGAAGAAGAAGAAAAATCTGATAATGAAACCCTTGAAAATGGACTACTTGAGAGTGTTTCATTCCTTTACCATTTCTCATCATTTCTCATCAATTTCATGATACCATGAAGAGGAGCAAGTGAAAAAGGAAAAGAAACTCCAAGTTGTTGATAACATTTTCCAGTCAAACGATAACTTTCACTCCCAATCCTGGGAATCATCAAAACTGGCAAAAGATAGAAAATTTTTCTTCTCCAATTGAAACATTATTAGTTTTACTTTTTACCTAACAAGGTGAGTTTACACTTGATTTTTCCTCTTTCATTATCACTATCAACTCGAAACATTTCAGGTCTTTTTCACCTTCTTTTGGACAACAGTTTTTGGTCATTTCAAGAGAAAACATTTTTTCTAATTTTCCTTTTTTTGCCAAATTTAATTTCAACAAATTAAATCAATTGGATTGAGGAAAGAAACCATTTCAACAGTTGAAGTGTTTTGTTTCCACTTATCATGAATTAGATTCAATTTTCATTTCACTTAACCTTTAAAAATATCTCAACAAATTGAACAGTTTTAAATCCATGATTGATGTCGAGACAGTTTTGCCCTTTCAACAATCCTTTCAGTTGACATTTCTTAAGGCTATTCCTATTCTGCTTCAACATTTTCAGTTTCACCTTTTGTTCATCATTTCATGTACAAAGGTATTCTCATGTGAAGCATTATCATTAACACAGCTTTGATATACATCAGTGAGTGTGTCTAGCAAAGGATCATTTTAAATAGAGTCTAATATAAAGAGCAAAGATGAAACAAAGAAGAAGAAAAAGTTACAATCATTTTATCGTTTCTTTCATTTTCCTTCTTGCAAACATTTCTATGGAAACCAGTATTTGAATTGGAAATTCACTTGAGAATTCAGGTTTTTCTATCATTTTTTTCCTTCTTTTTCTTCTTCTTTCGTTTCTTGCTTTTTGTCTCTTTGCATGCAAAAAAATAATATCTCAATGAACAGAGTTGCCTTTTCATTGTATTATTTAATATTCACTCCAAGTATCAACATGTTATTAGTTTTGTTAAGATGTTTACATGAAAAGTAAAACAATTTGCTCATTAAGTTTCAAGAAATTTTTAAATGCTTCCAAGTGAATTAAAGCAACAATGATAATGATGATGAATTGTTATTGAACAGAATAATATTTTTCTAGAAAATTTCAACAAAAAAAACTTTACTTGCAAGTTTTTACTTTGACTAAGCTTGGGTTAAAGATTTTGGGATAATTTTCTTGTTCCATTTTTCAAAATTCAATTTTGAATAAAAAACCATGAGAACTGAGCCAGTTGATAAGGAACAACAAGTTGCTGAAGCTCAGAAAATTGAATTGTCGATGTAATAAATTGATAACTATTCAAGTTGCAGAATTTTTTAGAAAAAAATTCTCCAACAATCATGGAAAGAATAACAATGGAAATGGTCAAGTTTCTTGTGACTTTTGGTCAAAAATGATCAGATTGAAAGGTCTCAATGGAATGAGAATTTTCAAAATTTCCATAAAATTCCATCAATCAATTCATGAATATCTGAAAATCTTGCAAAATATAATAAAATTGATAACAATAAAGTTGGAAAATTTTGATTTCTCAATTAAATTGGAATAAGCTGAAAGTCTGAAAATATTAATGATTCAGTTTGCAAGAAATTCATTTGTCAATGATTTTCATTCAACAGATTTTGATATTTGAATCGAGTGAAAAGTCATTTAAAATGAACAAAATTCAACTTTTCCTTTTTCAACATTTCAAGGCAAAATGGACACTTGAACTGGAGTCAATCTTTTTCACTCAAAACTATCATTGAACAGATTGAGGCCTTTAGTCAGATAAAAGAATGTTTAAAATGGCAAAAAAAGAAGAAAATTGATGAAAATTTCTATAAAAGATGAGTAAAGAATATTTTTTTTCTCTCCTGAATATATAAAAAGGTAAAGGTAAACTTTGAAATATTCAGTTTACTTGAAAAGTATCTTCTTGGATACAAGTATCAACATTTAATCCGATTAGAGTAAAGGTAATGTACAGAAAATTCATGAAATTAGATTGACTAAGAACATCTTCATCTTCTTCTTTAATCTTTCCTTCTCCTGTTCATCATCTTTTCTCTATTAGATTTTTCTTCCTTCTTCTTCTTCTCTCTGTCTTTCTGGTTTGCTGATTCCGTTTTTCAAAAGATAACATTAACCGTTGAACAACGTGAGATTGAGTAAAAAACGTTTTCTGCTCTTCACCAACATGAATTTATTTCCTCGAATTGCATGGAGAGAAAAGTGGAGAAGAAGAAGCAAAAAAGCTGTAAATGGAGAAGGTAAACATGAGCTAACTGAACAGAGAATCTGATTGGTAATCAATGAAATTTTCAACTCAAGTAAAAACTGTAATGATGAATATGTAAATGTGTGTTCATCATTGAATATATTGAACAATGGAAAAAAAAGAAATTCGAATGTTGAGAAATTGGAGATGAAAAAGGCTGAATTTTGAGGGTAAAGTAAACCAGAAAACTGGTTTATTCTGTTCTTTGTTTTTCAGGTTAAAGATTTACATTGAAATGCATGAAGCACATGTAATATTGAAATAAAGGCTAAACTGAAAGGTAAGTCAAAGTTACATGAAACTGAGAATCTCATCTGTACTTTCAATGAACACTTATCTTTTATTATACATTTTTTATTCTTTGCCATTGTTTTTCACTTTTCCTAGTTTATTTATTATCTATTAAATCAAATTTATTTTTTTTCCTCGTTTTTTGTGTCTTCTGTTTCTTGCCGTTTCAATACTGGTTGTAGTGTAATAATAATATTAATAAATAAATAAGAGAAGCAAATGGAAAAGTAAAGGTAAAAAGTATTAATTCAAGACAATGATAATGGTTACCATGATAAGGTTGAAGGTAATAAATCAAATTAAATGTTGTTGCAAAGACTTGACGCTTGAAATGGGTAAACTTGGGTTTTGGGTTTTGGGTTTTGTTGTGTTACAGTTTTCTGTTGATTGGTTTTTGCTTTTCAATTTATCAATTTGTTGACACAATTTTTGCTTGCTTTAAATGTGATTCCTAAATCATCTTGTGATGAATCTTGTGATGAAACAAACTGAATGAACAAATATTCACACTTAATGCCAAAATTATCACATTACAAGTTAAGTCTTTGCCAACTAACACCTGACCAAAGGAAATTAAATTGCAAATGCAAAAAAAAAGGTTTATGTATCTGTTCAAACTAGTAATTGAATTGAACAAAGAAGCATTTGAGTAAAGTAGACTCACATTGCAATCTTCAATCTAGATTACATGTTGAAATGCATTTCGAAAGTTTACATTCTGGATTGGTTTTTGTTCATTGACTTGAAATACATTTTATTATCTACATCAGACAAATTCGGAGTAAAAATCAGGTTTTTTCTAGATTCTCAATGTTCGATCAAAATTCTAACCAGACAGAACAAGGAAACAACCGTTTTGAGCGGTTGTTTGAGCGATAATTTCGGTATTTTTCGTCTTCATTGACATTTCTAATTTTTGTATCAGTTTTTGATTTATTGATCAACTTAAAGATGAAGAGACAATTTGAATTTCAATTGCAAATGAACAAAAAATTTTGGGATAAACTGAAAGAAAATGAAACGCTCAGAACAATTTCGCTGAAATTTTTGTACCAAACGACTTTTTCGATTGAAATTTACAGTTTTTGTATTGCTAAAGTCACCATAACCTTTACCATTTTAATGCTCAAAATGTTGAAGAAAATTTATTGAAAATCGATGAAAAAGTTTACTCAAGATTTAGCAAGAATCAACTAACGAAGTTGTTTTTTGTCAACTTGTTTTACAACATTTCTAGTCCGTTTAGCACGTTTTCCCATGTAAGAAAAATTAATCTGAATTGAGATTCTTTTTACTCGATTTAATCTGTCAATTTTACTCGATTACAGCAATAATAAAAGGTTAAAGTGTTTATACATTTTTATTAAATACAAAGTAAACTGGAGTTTAATCTGAAAATGAAACTTGGAACTGATAAAGTTTGGTTGAATGTTTTGAATGCATTGAATGGTTTAAATTGCAATTGGGAATGCAAATAGACTAATTAGAATTGCAAAAGGTCCGTCTCTTTGTTTTGGTTAATTGAATTGTACAAAGGTGAGTGCAGCAAAAGAAGGTAAACATAAAGGAAATATTGTTTTCATTAGTTGCCAATTGAATGAAAACCCAAAAACGGAATCAACTATCGACTGAATCAGTGAACATAATCTTTTCATTAGAAGCGGTCATTTTTGACCTTCTCTTTCATTCGTTTCTCTTTGATTTGGCTTTCAGTTATTCAATGTTTTTTATTGTCAAAGTAAATGTTTTTGTATTAATTTAATTACCTTTAGCATCTTCATCTTCCAATGTAGTGTTGCTACTGTCCGTTGATTCTTTAACTTGAGAACCTTCTCCTTTCTTGGCGACAATCGATCGACCTTACAAACCAAAAATGAAGGAGAAGTCAGTTTCAGAGATTTTTACATTTTTCAAATTTTCATCTTTTCGATTCAATTTGAGTTAATTGTTCTTGGTTAATTTGGTTAAATTGAAAGTTAGCCCTTAGGTTTATCATCGTGAAGATGAAGAGGCTTGTGATGATGAGGGAATAGGAAAGGTTAAAATGGATGGAAAAGGTAAACTCACTGGAAAAATTTCGTGTTGCCAACATTGTGGTGAGAATGGCACCTTTAAGTTTACGCCTGGCATTAAATTTCTTAAGGCAATCAACGGTCTCTTGACGGTGTAAGGTTGATGCAACCCGCTCTCGTTGGCAGATCCATGGGTGTTTAAGAGCTTCGGCAGCGGTAATCCGTTTATCAGGGTTAATGGTTAACATTGAGTTGATCAAATTTTTGGCTTCTGGTGTTACTGTATCCCATTCAGGTGATGGATACTGTAAATTGAAACAAATTTCAAGTAAACATTTGCAAGTCTACATTTTGTTATCTGTAAAAATTTAATTTACTTAATTGAATCATCATCTTTCCAGGCTCATTACTGAATCAACCATTGAAATGATGGCTCATCATCATTATTATTATTGCCTTATCAGACTAAATCCTAAAAATTTACATCTTAACTGATTGACATTAAATCTTAAACAGTCAATTTTATTTGCATAACATTCAAACTGTACATTACATGTTATCGATTTTAGATTCAGTTTACTTTCAATGAATACTTTTGGTGGTTTTTTTGGTTCCTTTTTTCTTGCTATTTTTACTTGGCAATTCAATAATCATTGGTGATGATTAGGATGAAAATTGTCACAATTATGCTTGAAAGAGTGAAAATATTGCCTTTAAGCTATTGTTATTAGCATAGCAATCATTTTGAAAGTGGGATCGTAACTGTTTGAGCTTACTGTTGATGCTTCATGTGAACCAGAATTAACCAGAAAATAATTTTCTCTCATTTTTTTCTTCTATTCTTCTTCATTTAATCATTCTCTTTTTTGCTGTTTAACCTTATCTTTTGATGGAAAACAATTTACAATTAAATGAACAATACTTACATCGTAAGCTCCTGCCTTGATTTGTGCATAGAGACGATGTTGATCTTCGTCCCAAAAAGGCGGATAACCGACCAAAAGTATGTACAAAATTACTCCTGTGAATATAAATTGTTGATATTAGTGGCTTTTATCATTTGGTAAATTTTAATTTGAAAATTATTTAAATGTGAATATAATGTTTTCACAGTTTAAGGAAACATTTATAAGGATAACCAGTGGGTTGACTTTATTGGCTGAGGTTTGTTTTTACCAGTTTTTGTAAATTTATTGCTGTCAATATAAACTGGTTTTGTGTTTATTAAAATTTTATAACAGTTAACTTGTTTCTGGTTGTTAAATCAATTGCTGTTTAACTATTGAATCGAAATGTGTTAGACATTTGTTTTAGTTAATTAACTAGTCGATAAAGCATTTCAGGTTATATACATTATTGAAAAGGTTTTTTGGTTTATTGGAGAAAGATTTCCTTTTCAATTGACTCTACTTGTGATGAATGTAAATTTGTATTGATTGGCAAAATGATATGTAAATTTGTAAATTAAAATTCAATTTAATCATTTGAAAAGAAGACTTGAATATCAGCTGATTAATTGGAGTCAAGTTAACCAGATTTTTTGACCAGAAAAGGTTAAGAGTAAACGGAGTCGCCATCTTTGACTAGTAATGTTGACAAAACAAGTCATGGTCTTTGTTTAACTTGAACCTCTATTTTAATTTCATTTTTAATTATAATTTAAATTAATTTTCACTCTTCTTAACTTTAACCATTAACCATTGGACTATAACTTGCTTCAAAATGATTAAATAACCGGCAATCCATGAATCTCATGTGTATTTGTTTACTTCTGTTTCTTTACTGCTTTCATCATCAATGTTATACTCCTGTCAAACCTATTTAGATTATAAATCAACCATTGAACCATTTATAATTTCTATTGATTAATGTGTCAAATGGTTCATTTAAAGTATTATAATTAATTGTAATTATAATTGTAATGGTAAGTATTTTGTACATTCCGTTCACATAAGCTTAGGCCTATTTCTGGTACAGAAAACATATGATTGACCGGTTAACACACTAACCTATGAGAGGTTACTCCTTTTCCTTAACCTATCCTTTCCCTTTGCTGGTAAACCTGATTTGCTATTTTTAGATATATCATGGTAGTGATACACAATTATTTGATTTGATCTAATTAAATAGACCTTGTAGAGATTTGAGAAATTAAATACTCAAAGCCATCGTTGATAAATTAGAAATAGTATATCAAAGCGATTGATTGAAAGTGAATCAGTGAATAAGTGTTTTACAGCCTAACAAATGCTTATGAGTCTAGAAAGATTAATGTTGTGGAGATTAATGGACAATAATGATGGTGATGATCAGTGTATCTAATACACTTTTCAACACTTGATAATGTCCTTTATTAATTAGCAAATTATCTTTTTTACTTTATATCTTTTGACTGATGATAGCTTGCGCTTTTTAGCTATGCTTTTGTATTTGAATCCTCTCTTCAACTCAAAGCCATTTGACGATTTTGCTCATTTCTCTGTAGCTATTTCATATCATAATAATAATGATATTTCTCGAGTTTTCAGATATTTGTCGATTATTACGACAAATGCTAGAATAAACCTCTGGAAAGACTTATTAATATGCCTTACGAAAAAGCAAATCATTGTATACTTTATATCTCCGCAGAAAAACATATGTAAAACAGTGTATTCCATTAAAAATAAACTGTATGTTAATCTATTCATCTGAACAGGTTTTTTTTGTTTTCTTTATCTTGAATCAATCTGAATAATATTTCTTCAATTAACCAAATTCTATGTTCTATTTAATTTTCTACAGGATAATATGACACTTGACTTGGAAAGGCGAGACTAACTAAAGGATATCAATGATGAAAACCGGTTACATTCATTTAATGATCACTGGTTACTTGAAACACAAGCCATTGTAATTCAAGAACGAAATGTAAACAAACTGTACATCTAATTGATTATCAAAAGGTACAGTATTACACATGTATAATTGTATGCCTGACTTTACCTAATTTCAATCTTTTTTTTCCTATCGTAGGTGTTGGAGGCCCTAAATGATTTGATCTTGAAATGGATGGTTATTAAAGTGTGATGACAACTTACCACAAGCCCATATGTCAACAGGTTTACTATAAGGTTCTTTACGAAGTACTTCGGGTGATAGATAACCAGGTGTTCCGGCAAAACCAAACCATGCTGAACGATCACCACTGACTTCAATGGCAAGACCAAAATCAGCTAATTTAACGGCAGCACCTTTTTGTTTGCTAGCAAGTAAAAGGTTTTCTGGTTTCAGATCTCTATGTACAACATTATTCATGTGACAATGATTAACTGATTCCAAAATTTGTTGAATACAGTGGGAGGCATCAGCTTCTGAATAGTATTCACGAGCTACTATATCTTCAAACAATTCACCACCAGTTACCAAGTCGAAAATTAAGTAATGATAACCTTCCTCTTGAATACTGTCATGAAGTCGGACTAATGAGCGAGAAAGAAAAAAGCAAAGAAACAAGAAAAGGAGTTAATTTATCATTTATACAAAACAACAATTAATATTGAAAGCGAAAGGTTTCACTGGTTATTACAATAGTAGCTGTTCAGTTTATCATAATCAGCTACTCTCAGTGTAATCATGATTTGTATTGCTCTCAACAAACTCCAACAACAGCCTTTTTCTCTATAATTATCATTCCCATTATCATCACCATCGCCATCATCATCATCATCATCAACAGCAACAACAGCAGCAAATCTCTCAATCTTCCAACTGTTTCTTTGGATTTTATTCAGCCTTTCATTACTATCAACTACTCTTTACTTGTTCAAACTAAATACAATTTTCCTTTCTTCAATTTACTTCTCTTTATTACATTGAATATTCCATTTGAAGATAAAATGTCAACAGAAAAGGGAAAAGCTGTGCGTACCAAATGGCTCGTTCTTATTGCTTACCTATGTTAGGATGATTTAATTTTCTACAGATTCGAGCTTCTCTTTCAAGCTTTTGAAAATCTATTACCAAGTTAGATTGAAGTTTTCATTTTAGCCACCAAATTGAAATTGTGAATCCAGTCAAGTGTCCAAGGAGAAGAAGAAATAGAGGCAAAAATTGAAGTGAGTATTGATTTTGTTCACATTGATTCAAAAAAGGTATTCGTGATGTGAGATCATCCATGATAGTTGAAGGGGAAGAAAAATAGAAAGGTGAAGATGATGAAAATGAGAAATAATGTGGATCATAAAGAGAAAGAGAAAGAGAGAGAAGATGTTAACAATAACAAATAATTGCTTATTTATTTACAATTTTGAACATTGATTTTGTAAACCCAAAAAAAGTCTCATCTGAATGAAGCTTGCAAAACAACTTGAAGTATCTTCTTGATCATCAAAAACAACAAAAACAACAAAAATGACGATTAAGTTGAAATAGTTGAATAGTGACTGAAGGAAGGTACATTTGCGGAATGAAAATGCTAACAGAAAGAAAAAGCTGAAAACTGAAGGAAAAACTCTTGCAGAGACAAAAATAGGAAATGAGGATAGGAAAAGTGTTTTTTGACAACAAGAAAAGATGAGGATAACAGACGACGAAATTGATTATCATATTTGTTGTTTTCAACATTTCTACTCGTTTCTTGGCTCTACTTAAAAAAAGCAATTTCAATTTTGTTGACAAAAAGCTCATTATTAATGTATTGTTTGCTGGGGCTTCCCATTGATTGATCAAATTTTGTTTTATCTTTTCAGGTTTACAGCGTCAAAATTGAATGCAACTTTTACCTCGTGCTGATAATTTTTTGGTGTTAATTATTTTAGCCGCAAATTCAAGTCCAGTTGATCTTTGAACGCATCTTCGGACAATTGAGAAGGCGCCCCTGGAAGGAGAAAGGATAAGAATGAGAAATGATAAGAAAAGAGTAAAAGGTTAGTAAAGGTAAATGGTTAATTTGAATTTTATTGATCTTCATGATTTTAATGTTTTCTTTTTCTTCTTTTTTTCTGTTTCAATGCAATTTTCAGATTAAATTTGAACTTTACAATGGTTGGAAGACATTGAAACCGGAAAGCAAATATAATCCATATGAAGCCAAGGCTAAAGGGAAAATGCAACATGAAGACAATTATTTAAAAAAAAATGGTTCCATTGTTTTTACAGAGAGAAACATGGAGATGGAAGGAACAAAAAGGGATGAAGATGAAGGATGATGAGCATTTTAATAATGAATCATGAAGGAAGAGAAGACAAGAGCAAGTTTGGATGATAAAAAGAGAAGAGAAGAGAAAGGGAAAAGCTTAAGTAGGGTAAAGAAATAAAAGAGAAACAAGTTCAATACTAATCTACATCAAAAGAAAACCCAAAGTTATCATCAACATGCTCCAGTTGTGTATCTCAAAATTCTGGTTAAATATTAAAATCTCTAAGTCTTTCTCTTTCTACATGATTTTTTTCTTCTATCTCCTTCTCTCTCTCTCCCTCTTTGTCATCATGAATCATCTCTAGGAGTCAAACTTGTGAGATAGAAGGCGGAAAATCCCAATTCAAACCCAAAATTGATTGAGGTCAGTGGTTAACACACAATGGAAACGAACCAAAAAATCAACCAGAAATCTTTTAATTGCATCATTATCCATCATTAGTTGGTTGCTTTTTTTTCGTAAATTTCCACTTGCAATTCATTGTTGAATTTTCCCAATAATTAACAATCTAATTTGACTAGAAATTCTCACAAGAAATTTTCATCCTAGTTTCTTCTCTCTTCTCTATTTAGGTTCACTTGAATCAGGAATTTGTAAGTGTCTCTTCATGCTTTCCTCTTACTGTTGCTATTTTAACATTTTTATTGTTATAATAATCATTATTATTTACTGTTATTATTTTTTATTTGTTTATATCGTAGGCGTGACCCTGTTTTTTTGCTCATTTTTGGCTACTTTCAACCTTTAGGAACCAGGGGGAAAAGGAGGAGGAAGAATGGTTGAACCTAAAACTAGTTGTGAATTTATTCCAAGGAAAACAAAGCAATATTGGAAAGACTTTTGGAAAGATGTGATGAAGGATCATTTGCTTCAAGAAATCAATGGACATTCATTAAAAAAAATAATGGAAATGATTGTTAATTATAACAAAAACAATCTATCTGAATCGCTAAATAGTAATAACCATCATGGTGTATGATTATCGCTTTTTATAGTATCAACTTGTTTTCATTTCCAAGTGTTAATGTTTGCCCATTCTATAATGGTGTTAACATATTGGTGAAATTGATTGATACAGAAATAACAGTTTCAACAAATCAAATCACATTGAATTTGTGATTTGATTGAACACAAACACCAACACATACACAATAATATGATTCAGTATTGATTATTTCAATTCCTGGTGATTACTTACTTTCCTAACTCCTCTTTAAGTTCATAATTATCGGAGAAACGTGTTGTTATTACTGGAGTTGCCATTTAATTGTGATAATTTTGTTTAGTCGTGTTTAATATTTTGTAATTTAACAATTGTAATTAATAATCTCTGGTTTTGCTTTGAAATTTTTGTTGAATGTATGAACACACAATGATGCAGAATGAGAATCTTGTTGGTAAAAATGTAATTTTTTGATTAAACAAAGGTTGATGATTATATTGCAGTGGTTGATTAAATATTATTGTTGATGGTAGTAAAGGTTAAGACGAGGTTGATAATTAAACAAAAGATTGCAAAGAGAGAATCAAAATTTAATAAGATCACACTATAAAATCACACAATAAGAACACACAAACACACACTTTTAAAATTATTTAAAATTAGATTGAGATTTTTTTTGTAAGACGTTGGTGATTATTGAGATGGAGGTGATAAAGGTTGATGTTGCTCTTGAAAGGTGCAGATGATGGCGATGATGGCGATAGCGATGATGAAAAAAAGGTGATGAAGATGATGTTGATATCCCTTTCAAGGAGTGAATGGTTAACGTGATTCGCTATTTTTCCTTGTTTCCCTTTACTCTTTTTTCTTGATCTTCGAGCTTGTCTTCGTTTTGGCTTTTGGTTTCGTCTTCGTCCACGTCTTGATCTTCTCCTTTTTCTGCTCCTTCTCTTCCTTCTTCCTCCTTCTCTTGGATTTTCTCGTTTTCACCTTTTCTCAATGTCTTGTCTTCGTCGAAGCTTAATTCCGTAAACAGAGCAGAAAAGGAGAGTTGCAAAGGTAAAACTCGGTTAAATAATCCAAATCCTCCTTTCCTTGCTGGTAATTGGTCGTTTCAGTTAATGTACAGTTGACTGATGAGGGACTAAAAAGCGCAAGGTAAAACAATTTGAAAATATATTTTAATATTGATTAACTAATAAAAGTATTATAATAATAATTAATGATGGAAACGTTGTGTTGGCCAATATATCAATAGCAAGTTGATAATAGTAAAATGATGATGATTTTTGATGATTATAATAACAGAAAAATAAAACCAAGTCACTTAGTTAGAATATGATTGGCAGAATGAAAAGTGAACACTGAGAGTAAGAAAAGAAGATGATGAAAAAAAGTAATAGACAGAGGAAAATGAAGAGAAGAAAGAGAGTCAGAAAGGGAAAGAGAAGTGAAAAAAAGAGAAGTGGAAATGATGAGAAAACACTAACTGAATCGCGATAATTTTGTAAATTGTTAGTGAAAAAAAACGAAGACAGAGTAAAAGGAAAATCGAAAGATTGAAATGTAAGAGAAGTGAGGGAAAAGTAAAGGCTATACTTGGATTGAATTAAAAATTCGTGCAAGCGCAGGATAACCTTTCTTCACTGTCTTTCTTTGCGCACTTCCAATATTATCATCATTTTCTTCGTGTTCGTCTTCTACTTTTATCCACTTTCTATTGAATTTATCATGCAACTCGAGAGAACAAAATGGGAAGAGAAGAAAAAAAGAGAGACAGAGACAGACACATGGAGAGAGAGAGAGAAAGGGAAATCTAGAAAGGCAATGGATTCCTCTTGTTTCAATTGACTTACCTCGATGATTTTCATGCGCAAGGGTTGAATTTAAGATGATGAACATGAGAAGATGCAGGAGCAACCTTCATTACTTTGATATAAAACTGAAATTGGAAAAAAAAGGAACAGATAGAAACGGATTTGATAACAACAATTATGATGATTAGAAATGATTAAATTTGGTAAATAAAACTACTAATGACATCTATCGAGTTAACCTGTATTTGGTTGATAATTCTGATCCAAGGATCATTTGGTCATTAATACTCTTGTCCGTTTGCTTTGATTATCTCATTTGTTTCTTGTGATTTGCCTTCAGGAAATTTTTATTTTTTGTTCACTTTTTTTACCTTCAGTTGCTCTGTTGTTTATGCTAATTATAATTACTATTACCTTTTTTGACATGGATTTTGATTTACCATTTCGATTAATCATTTAGGCAGAAGAGAGGAACTGCTTCCATGGTAAGTTTAATGTAAAAACATTGAAACTTTACGAGACTGGTTACGAATAAACTTGATATCACAGAAACCGGTTAACAGTTAACTCTTCTAGTTTTTTTAATTTGCAATCAATTTATCTGTCTTCTTACTGTTTTACGCAAATTGTTTGGTATAACAGCATCGTTTGGTTATTCAACATGAACGATGTCAACCTCAGAAATAGCTTTGACCAGCCCTTTACCGTGGCTTTTTTCACATTATTTTGTTAGTTGACGTACTTTAAGGTGTTAGTAGTTGATATTTAAATTGTATTTTGTTGGGAATCTTACCTATTTTTTATTAGGTAATAAACCGAAATCCTTTGGTCCTTAATATTTGTAGATGAGTTTCAATATGAACATTATAATGCGTCAATCGAGTAATAACAATCTTTTCCAATCTCTCATCGAAGATTCTAGATTTTATAATTTGTTAACTGACATTTAATGTTTTTTTCAACATTTCAACTATTTTTCACCATAAATCGGCAATAAGACAAGATTGGTTTGGTTTGTCAGACAATTAGAGTTAGTTACTAATGATCTATTAAGTTCAATAGTTATCGGTAATTATCATCAATAATCTTTTTACTGAGCGGTTCAACCTTCATTACTTTGATATAAAACTGAAATTGGAAAAAAGGAAAAGATAGAAACGGATTTGATAACAACAATTATGATGATTAGAAATGATTCAATTTGGTAAATAAAACTACTAATGACATCTATCGAGTTAACCTGTATTTGGTTAATAGAAAAATTCTGATCCAAGGGTCAGAATTTAATCCAATTTGCCTCCAATAACCCTAATCTATCCAACCTATTATATTCAATAGTATTATGTACAAAATTAAAACCCAAATGTAAAAACATAGTAACCTTTTAAAACAAGCGGCGATGCTTTTCCAGGGGGAGCTTTATCCTTATTGTCTCCTTAGCTACGGAAACGGAAAGTTGGTAAACCTTGTTTAACACAACTTCTCTCCTTTCAAAAATTATTGTTTATTTATTTTGTTTATTGTTAAATTGTTTAATTGGTTTTGACTAGACAAAGTCTAAAAATGCATCCAACTCACGCTAAAATCATCAAGAGACCAGGAGAAAAAGTAGATGAATTTGAGTCTACTATATCTCAGGTAAGTTGTTTTTATACAGTTAATTCAGCTTAACTTTACCGGTTTTGTGTAAAAAATGAGGTTTTAATTTCTTTACATCTCTTTCTCTTTCTCTTTTATCTAGGCTCTCCTTGAGATTGAGATGAATGGTGACCTGAAGGCTCAATTGAGAGAACTATATATTGTTGGTGCTAAAGAAGTAGATGCTGATTCAAGAAAAGCGATAGTAGTTTGGATACCTCCACCTCAACTTAGAGCTTGGCAAAAACTTCATGTTCCAATAGTTCGTGAATTGGAAAAAAAATTCAGTGGTAAACCAGTTGTCTTCGTTGCTAAAAGAACAATTTTACCAAAGCCAACTAGGAAAGTAAGGTCAAAATCTAATCAAAAGAGACCTAGAAGGTAATTTTTATATTCCAATATTGTGGTTTTCATGTTCATTTTTTATATTGCCTCATACTAGCTCTTCATCAATAACTTATCCATTCTTTTCTGTTTCACTACTTAGCCGAACTCTTACTGCAGTACACGATGCAATTCTTGCAGATATTGTTTATCCTGCTGAAATAGTTGGGAAAAGAACTCGTATTTGTCTTGATGGAAAACGAATATTCAAAATTCATCTAGACAAGACTAGTCAAACCAATATAGAGCACAAGGTAAGTGTAATATTCAATATGAGTTGAATTGCTTCAAATTTAATATATTTTGCTAATTGGTCTAAATATTTATCTAATTTTGATATTTTTCTCTTCTTTTCTAGACTGACACAATTTCTTCTATATACAAAAAACTTACTGGTAAAGAGGTCCAATTTCAATTTCCTGAGCCACTTTTTTGAGCAAATGTTGAAATAAATTAATAATATTTAATCAATTATCGTCAATCATTTATTATGAATAAGTCTGGTGATCTTGTCAGCAACTAATCTGTTGCTCTAGTGATAGTAATTTGGTGACTCGCTCTTTTTTGTTTCTATTGACTATTCTTTTAAATAATGTAACAATCTTTCGAATTGTCCATTTTTCAATCTAAGCTCTAAAGAGTTTGAGTTTTTACAAAATTTGGTCAGTTTTCTCGAGTAACGTTTTGAAGATCAGGCTTGTTACCATTATGAGAAGTTTTTGACTTTCAAACTACTACTTGTACAGGCTTAATGAATGCGTGAATGAGTTTTGCTGAGCGTTTTTCAGAAATCTATGCTATATACTTCGTTCTTTGGTCAATGGTTGGTTTATGTCCTCCAAATTTATCATTACTTGAAGTCTCTTGTCATATTACTCTTTGACAAAGATAATCAAATCTTTGAAGAAAAGTCTTCAATTTTTAATTTTCGAAAGTGTCTTATTGCAGTTGAATAAACAAAATTTGAAAAAAATATGAATCAATACATACAATTAAATCTGCACAATCGCGGTTGAAGTCTGAATATTTTTCTTTTAAATGCGTTATTTATCAATCAACAATCAGCCAGCCAGCCAGTAGAGGGCTTAAGCTGACAGCTTTGCTAACATTTTGCTACTTTTAATTCTTGTTTAGAACCTTTTTTTGTATACTCTACCTTTGATCTTCACCAATTTATAACTGTTTTGTGATTATTGTGACAATAATAAAGCTACAGCATTGTGGATTAGCCTTTAATTACCATTATTCTGTTAAATAGAATATGGTAAAAGATGGACGACAATGTTCAAGGTAATATAATAAGGAACACTGAACTGTGTCATTGTTTTATTTTGACTTTTATCAATCAATGTTTTTTTTCATTCTATTGAATATAAACTTCATTTGACCCTTTTCCATGTATATTTTATTATTTCGAATACCTTACTTCTTATCAAACCAACAATTATAATTATAAACTACTGTAACACTATATTTTCATTTCTTTGAAGCTTTCATTTTGTTGTTTTTTAAGGCCTCAATTTTCTCTCTATTTAGTTTCACTTATCTCTTGAGGCCTTCCAGTTTCATTTTTTTTAATTCAATCACCAATATGGAAGTCTTGAATACATAAACTCTTTCATCTACTCGATGGATTTACCATGTAATTCAACATGTAATTAATCTTGTATCTACTTTTCTCCTTTTAGACATTTGTCGGGTCTGTCGATCAGAAGGATCTTCAGACAAACCTCTGTACCATCCTTGTATATGTACTGGAAGTATAAAATATATTCATCAAGACTGGTAAGATTAACTCTATTAGATGCCTCCAACTATTCTCATTTATCCGATGTTTTAAACACTGTTTTTACTGATTTCTTACAGCTTAGTGCAATGGTTGAAGTACAGCGAAAAGGAATATTGTGAACTATGCAACTACAGGTTCTCCTTCATACCAAGTCAGTATCTCACTGCATCTTCGTTTATATGTTGCCTAAAAATCAATCCAATCAACATTGTGAAATCATATTGATTAGTTTTTCTTAAAGCTACTATTTCACAAATCCTCCTGATTTAATAATATTTAAACCGGCAAAATTAAGTACAAAAAATAAGGAACCTCAACAATCTGATAGAAGACGTTTCAATCGGGCAATTTTTTCTGTAAAATGGAAATTTGCTTGAAATGTAGACCAATTTCTTGGTTTGACGTTTTGATAAAAATGTCAAGCTTTAAATTTTTGCATTCATTTTCTTACTTTGTTGATTGGATTTTGTAAATCTTATTTTTGGTAAACTCTAATTCTATTTTTACTTTTAATTTTACAGTTTATTCTCCTGATATGCCCAAAAGGCTACCAATTCATGATATTGTTACTGGACTATTAGGAAGTTTAGCAACCGCTGTTAAATATTGGATTCATTATTCAATCGTGGCAATAGCTTGGTTAGGCATTGTACCTTTGACAGCCTGTATGTATTTAAAGAGTCATTACTTATCGATTTTATAATTTTATTGTGCAACCTTATTAAAAAATAATATTGCCTTCATTCCTTAACTAATCAATTTTTTCTCTCTTATTCAGATCGTATCTATCGCTGTTTATTTGCTGGTTCCTGGTCTTCAGTTTTATCACTTCCTTCAGATTTGCTCAGTACTGAAAATATTGCTACAGATGGTTTCTATGGGTGCTGTCTAATTAGTTGCACTCTTTGTGCCTTTCTTAGTCTCGTATGGTTACGAGAACAAATAGTGAGAGGTGGAGGTCCTGAATGGCTTGAGCCTCCAGCCGAAGTTTTCCCACCTCCTCGTAATGTGCCCAATCGTCCGCAAAATATTCCAGATGAGCCCGGCATAGGATTAAATAATAATGTCAACAATAATAATGTTGGAGAAAATGCCGAGGAATCTGAAGGGGAAGAAGAACCTCATGAAGAAGACAATCTTCGTGCTGTTGAAGCAGCAATAGAAGCAGCTAATGATGTTGCTCCTCTTCTTGGTGATCCTGACGCTGATGTTGGAGAAGATGCAGATCCGGCAAGAATTGCTGCTCAAGAGGAAATAAATTGGAATCCCGTAGAATGGGATCGAGCTGCTGAAGATCTCACTTGGGAAAGGGTATGAATTAATCTATTTGTTGATTATTCAGCATTTTATTTGACCTCTAAAACATAATTTAATTGTGATTTCTCATTTTTATTTTGCAGATTCTAGGATTAGATGGTTCATTAATATTTTTTGAACACGTTTTCTGGGCCATTTCTCTCAACACCTTATTTGTTCTTATTTTCGCATTCTTTCCTTTTCATGTTGGTGCTTTAGCTGTTAAAAGTTTAGGATTATTAGACACCGTGTCTGCTACTAATTTCGAAGGTCTCGTCACTACTCTTTTCGGGTACATTATCATCAGCATAGCTCTAGTCGTCTTACATTCTATTGCTGCACTGTTGAGATTCAGAAAGACACAAAAATTATTAGGTCTGTCCTATGTGGCAGTGAAAGTTGCTCTCCTTTTTGTCTTTGAGATTGGTGTTTTTCCTTTAGTATTCGGATGGTGGTTCGACATTTGCTCATTAGTAAGTCAAATAACTAATTTAATCACAAAATATCTTTAAATTATATGCTCACTATTTCAATGACATTTTCTCTAATTGTATTCTTTTATTATTATTTATAGCCTATCCTTGGGGCTTCTCTTTCTGATCGAGAGACCGGCTTACGTACAGCCCCAGGAACTTCCATGTTTATTCATTGGCTAGTTGGAATGGTTTATGTCTTTTACTTCGCTTCATTCATGTACATATTAAGAGAAGTTCTACGCCCTGGTGCCCTTTGGTTTCTAAGAAATCTCAATGATCCTGATTTCAATCCCATTCAAGACATGATTAATCTATCAGTTTTTCGGCATATAAGAAAATTCGTTGCATCTCTTGTCATTTTTGGCACAACAGTTCTTTTATTGGTTTGGTTTCCTGTTTGCATCATACAGAAATTCCTACCTGGATTTTTGCCTTATCATGTCTTCCATTCGAGGTATGTTGACATAAATGTCGTGACTAAACTACTTTTAGCTTAATTTTGATATTAAGTTTTTTTATTTTTTTCTCCTTCGTATCGCCCGTTTACAGCAGCAACGAAAATCAAGCCAATGATATCTCTCTAGAATTTCTTATTCTACAATTAATATTACCAGCATTGTTGGATCACACTCATCTTCGTTCTTGGCTTAAATCATTCATCCGAACTTGGTGTGTCTGTGTTTCCTACATTTTAGACATTAGATCTTTCCTTCTAGGTGATGTTAATCCTGGCTTAACTGATGGATCAGATAACAGTTTAGTTCAAGTTCGTAACGATGAAAACAATCAACCTTATATTGTACCAAAATATTTCGCCCTAAGGATCATTTGTCTCCTTTTATGTGTTGCTTTGTCACTTCTTTTTTCCGGCCTATTTTTCCTTACTATACCAGTCATAATTGGAAGACGTCTTTTCTCAGTTTGGTTGGGTGAAACAAGAGTTCATGAATTGAACACAGCAGCTTGTGGTCTATACATTGGACTTCTTCTAGCCCGAGCCTGTGCTGTCCTTTGTAATTGGGTGCCTAGAGGTTGGAATGCAATCGCTCATAAAATAAGAGAAGGTTTTATCATTGCTTTTAAAGCTTTCGTCGCCGGGACTATACTGTTGGGAATTATTCCTCTTCTTATTGGACTTATCTTTGATGTTGTCATTATTATTCCTATCCGAGTGCCACTCAATCAATCTCCTATCTTCTACTTATGGCAAGATTGGGCCTTTGGTATTCTTCATACTAAAGCAATATGTGGTCTTGCTATGATGGCTGATTGGCGTCTCCGAGAGATTCTTGAAGCTGTAAGTAAACTTTTCTTTGATTTTCTTTGAAATCTTCATTATCTTATTGTTTTTAACTCTTTCTATTGCAGTTATACCAAGGAGGCTTAATGAATATCAATTTACAATACATTATGACAAGATTGGCAATACCAGTTATTTTGATCCTTGGTTCTATTTTGTCTTTACCTTATTTTATCATCTTTGGTATTTTGCCGATATTTGGTGTCACCTTTGAAACGAGAAATCTTTTCATTCGCAGAATCTATCCTTTCCTTTTAATTGCTTTGGTCTTGATTTATGTTATCCATTGGCAAATCAACAAATTTTGTAGGCTTTACGAGCATATCAAAAATGATAAATATCTGGTCGGAAAACGTTTGGTAAACTATGATCCATCCAAAAATAAGAAAATAGGAGCATCGTCATCGTCCAACTCATCCGCAGCTGTCAATTAATTTGATTATTCGCCCTGCTTAATCAAAAGTTTAGTCTTACCCTTCAATTTAACGATTTGACCATCGTTGAAAAGAAGACAACGGATCCATTAAAAGTGAAACATATTGTTGCTTTCTCATCAGACAAAAACTTTGTATTGTCAGGGTATGATTTTCGATACCCTTTTTTAGAGAACGTTGTAAATGGAGAATGACCCAAGTCTCGGACGGAATCCTGTAAACCTTCACCATTTTGCCATAAAAAACAAATGACGATTGTGATCAACTAACATATAAGAAAATCGTGAATCAGATTAAGCATAAAAATCTAAAAAAGCAAACAATCATTTCTGTTTATGTTACAAAATAAACAAAAAAAATCATGTTAGCTCACAAAGCACAATTTAAGTCCATTAGAAACATATATCTTCAATTCTGTCTGTAAATATGTGTATAAAAACATTTGAAAAAAATTACTATAAAGATTATCTTTAAACAATATGAAATAATTTTCACTGTTTTATTCAATATTCAAAACCAATTCATTAATCGAGAAAAAATGAATTTCCAATATTCCAATCCCACTTTCATGCTTCAGAATCAACACAACTCAACATACACTGCTGGCAATAAGTATGAGGACAGCAGATTTTTTTGAATACAGTATTCCCTCGAGTTTTTTGCTTTTTTGTTACACTGCCATCTAGGTGAACTACAAGGGGAAACCACGAATTTTACAGTTTAAACAGTTAAAAAACTTAATGACTTAATGTATTTCAATAAATTGATCCTCTTAGTGGACTAATCCAATTGTTTTAGCTAGATTATTGATTTTGAAGAAATTTTGAATGTAAAAGATTCCGACTTTGAACTCTAATTAGCATAGATTGGATTAAAAATGGAGAAAATGGTTTAAGCATATGGCAAAAATTATGAGGACAGGATTAAAATTAGCTACAGATTGGCACCAGATGATGATTTAGGTATAAATATTGTCAGAATTGGTCAGAAATACTCACGAGGGAAGTACCCGAGGTCATCCGAATAAAAGTTAATATTTTTATCATAAACCAATTAGGTTTTATGAGTGTTTAATTGTCTCGAAATCCCCCGGGTAGCAAATTAAAGATTAACGAGAAAAACAGAATCAAAATTCAATTTTTTACATGTAAAGTATGGCAAAGAGCATACAAAACAAAATGAGTGAAACAAAAAGGCTCATCGCAATGGGTTCATATTATTGCTTTCACATTGATCTATGCATAGCGATAGACAATAAATGGCGCTTTTCTGCCCTTGTGTCCATTTGCTACTCAAAAGAGGACGAACTATATTGTTTTTTAATAAGACGAATTCAATGACACACTAATCATTGAAATCGGTTCGGATGACCTCGGGTACCCCCCTTGTCAGTCATTCAGTTAACTTCAAATAATTTGCTAAAGGGTGTTGCGGATAAAAACTATAATTTATCTTAACTTAAATTTTGATAAAGATGACGATTTATTGATAATTGATTTGTTTATGTTTTTGTCTACGTTTGTTTCTTCTTCAATTTTGTTATCTTCATTGTTATCATGGTCATCGTCATCTTTATCAAAAATTAAGGTAAGATAAATTATAGTTTTTATACGCAACACCCTTTAGAAATTTTTCAGTTTTTCATTTTTCTCGATTTTTTTGTGATTTTTTGCTAATATTACACAATGCCGTCTGGTACTAAGCTCACAAGCGAGGTAAATGTTGCAATCAAAGCTTACCATGAACAGAAGCTATCCCTTAGACAAATTCTGTATTACTACTAAAATCTTCTAATTCGTTATCAAATGCTCGACTTCTCAGAGAAGTTCATTATTATTAACATTATGATTCTTAATGATTTGTGTTGCATTGTAATCAAATGGTTGGAATTTTGTTATTGATGAATTTGGATTGATACCTTTATTGGCGTCAGTGACAATGAACCAAAATATTATTGTTATTAATGCAAGAAGCCAATTTTCAGCCTATTATCAAACTCCGAATGCCAAATATTTTAGACATTCATCTTTAATCTGATCAGTGATCATCCAATAATCTGTTTTCTTTCATCTTAACTCACAATTATTATGAAAATTGGCAACTATTTTTTGAGAGGAATGAATGAAAATATTACAACCTTGTACTTTGTTCGCTGAATCAATGATTATCAGATTAATAATTATTCCTGTTCAGGTTATCCCAATGCGATAAAAGATTATCACTAATTTCCATATTAAAAACTAAGATTAATCTCGAATCAATGGTATTTTCGAAACGCGTTGGTCTACAGCATTGGCTGTTCCCATATTCCCAATTCAAAGACTGAACGATTCTTGAGCCACTGTTGATCTTTACATTACACATCTAAATTGTGCATATTTCAAAGGAAAACAAAGTTAGTCAACAAAAATATTGTTTCAACGCTAGATTTTCCCAACATTCCCTGATAATTTAGAGTTTTACATGAGATGATTTAGAAAAGCAAAAATCATTAGGAATTCTAGGAAATTAATCTTTTTAAAGATTACTGTAAAAGGATAAAAAGTTAGTAGATTTACTGATTTCTAGATGGATTAATGATGAATTTCTTGATTAATCTGGTTCAGAAGTTGGCACGGCTTCTTTTTTTGAAAAAATCAGCACGTATAAATGGATGAATTTGGTCGATGCAAATTCATTCATCAATCAGGATGTCTGTTCAAATGATTATCGTCCCTCTATTGTTTTCAATATGCATAGCTACTTTATCCTTAGGTTGTCAAGTGAAACAACACATTGAGGGAGAATCTTTTATTTGTGTTTGTAATGAGGAGCATTGTGATTCAATCAGTACTGAACCTAATTCCTTAGATGATCATTTAACCATATTTCAAACTGATAAATCATCTCATCGTCTAGCAAAGAGTCTTATCCATGTAAATGATTTGATAACCGATTCTGGTGAAATTGCTGATATTCATGTATTGATCAATGCAACGGATCGTAAACAGCAAATTATTGGTTTTGGAGGAGCTTTCACAGATGCAACTGGAATCAACATCAACAAATTACCTGACAGTTTAGCTGACAAATTGATTGAAGACTATTTTGGTCCAAATGGATTACAATATACAGTCTGTCGAGTTGTTATTGGAGGCTCTGACTTCTCAGATCGACCCTATTCATATGATGATGTTGAAAACGATTTTGAATTGAAACACTTTTCCCTAGTCAACGATGATTATCAGTACAAAGTAAGTGATTTGTTTATAGTATATTTTCCTGGTTTCATGTTAGTTTCTCAAATGTTTTTTAAATGTTATACTTTAATAATTTTATCTGTATTTTGTATTAGATAAAATACATTAGAAAAGCTTTGAATTTGACTTCAGACCTGAAATTATTTGGTTCATCTTGGTCACCACCTACATGGCTGAAAACCAGTGGAAAGTTTAATGGTCTTGGTATATTGAAAGATGAACCAGGAAGCATCTATTGGAAAACTTATGCCAATTATTTAGTGAAGTGAGTTTAGATGATTTTCAATATTATTAGTCTTTTTATTCACTCATTTAATAATCATTTTTTATTGTTGTCAGATTTTTACAAGCCTATGAAGCTCTTGGTATCAATTTTTGGGGATTAACTCCTGAAAATGAGCCTAATGTTGGTCTTAACCCTGGATGGAGATGGAATGCCTTAGGTTTCACTGGTAGCATGATGAGAGATTTCATCAAAAAAGATTTAGGTCCAGCTCTAAAGGCAGCCGGTTATGATAAAGAGAAGCTGAAAATGATGATATACGATGACAATTTGTCTAACCTTAACTACTTTATAAATGGGATAGTCAATGATCCTGAAGCTGCTCAATATGTCTCGGGTATTGCCTATCATTGGTATACACGAAAATATCATGAGGCTCTGAGTGAAGCTCATTATGCTCATCCTGAGTATTTTTTACTGTCAACTGAAGCTTGTGAAGGATTCAGATCTACTGAGGCTCACTGTAAGTTCAATTTACTCTTGATTTCAACCGATGTAAATAGTATTATATTGAATGGTATCTAAAACTTTTATCTTTTATTTTAATAGTGACATTGGGAAACTGGACTCGAGCTGAAAATATTGCTGCTGATGTGATTGAGGGTCTCAACAATTGGTCAAATGGTTGGGTTGACTGGAATCTTGTGCTTGATGAAAATGGTGGACCCAATTGGGCTGGAAATTGGGTTGACGCTTTTATTTTCGTTAATGACTCGGCACCAGAATATTACAAACAGCCAATGTTTTATGCATTTGGACATTTTAGTAAATTCTTGAGACCTGGTTCTACTCGTGTTGGTCATTCAATTAGCGCAGGAATGGTCGATGAAAACGTAAAAATAACAACATTCTTGAGTCCATCCAATGACTTGATCTTTACATTACTAAACAGAAATCAAAAGTCTATCAAATTGTCAATTGCTGGTTTTGATGAGAAACCATTTCTTTTTACCTTTGAACCAAGATCTATTACAACGATAATAAAACCATTGAAATGAACTTATTTAAAAATCTCTTCAATTATTCAAAAAAATATCATAAATAACGTAATCGGCAAAATTCTTTGAGGATATTCACGAGAATATAAAACCCTTTTCGCAATTGTAAGCATTATAAGTAAAAATAAAATTTCAAAATTTTGATTCAAAGATTGCTTTCTGTCAGTCTAACTATTGATGTAAATTGATTGTCAATAATATTGATTATTGAATATGATTTTGTTTGATAACCCAAGCCTACTCATGGACAAGATAATAGATAGATATTTTGATTAGTTAACAGAAAATTTTCTTCTGAAAAATTATTTAATATTCTTATTCAATTTAATATTCATCCTGTATGATAACTCAATATCACATATTGATTAACAAAAATCTCCTTGGCAGACATCAATCAATTCTTGCCCAGTCAATGATTTAACCAAATCCAAAACTTGTTGTGGAGCTCCAACGTTTCCAGACGTCGAAACAAACCATGTTTTAACTTATAAATGAATGAAAAATGGTAAATAATGATTAAATTGATTGTGTTATATTATATTATTTACTCACTATCAAAAGTTGATTCATCAATTTTAACACAACTTGCTAAGAGGGCTTCTTGATATTTAGTGTTCGCATAATAAGGCATCCAAAACTGACCTCGGTGACCATCTGAAATGAACATTCAAACATTTTAATTGTTCGCATAAATGCACTCAAATTTATCGTTTACCTGGGGTTGTGAAGTTAAATGTGTAAGGCTCATATACAGCTGTTTGGACATAATAATATTCCTCGCCATCAAAATCACCAACAGTCATATCGATATACAAGTCGAAAACTGACACAACCTCACTGTTGTAATTGATTGATTGATTATTAAGATTTGCGCTAGTTAATTTTTTAATTGTTACTCACATATCTCGAGTATTGCCTTGCTCAATAACGGCAATCTTTCCAGGATAAAGGTGCCTAATCTCAAGAGTATTGTACACAGTTCTTGGGACAGTTTCTTCACTTCGACCATAAACAGTCCATTCTCTTATAAACTAATTATTGTTTGATAAAATATTATAAATAAAAGTAAAGAGCAAAATCAAGTTAAACTTACATATGAAAAGGACCAATCATCAACTTTGGGTTGTACTGGATTCGGACATGAACCTTTGATTTTAACAGCGAATGAGCTTGAGATTGCAAGAGCAATTAAACCGAAAAATAAAGTTGACTTCATTTTTAACGAAACTGTTGATATTCAAGTAATGTAATGAACAACTGGAATAATAACTGTAATGACTTGAAATCTTACAACAACCTCTGTTTTTATATACAAAAAATCAAGATCTTTTAATGTCAATAGACAGATCGACTCACTGTCGATGAGAATAACAATAGCTGGCGTGTTTAATCTTCAATCATGATCTGGTTACTTGATAAATTCTTGGTACATCAATTGGTGCAAGTAGGTTCGAAAAGTGCATTATGTTTTTAAAGAATCTGGGTCCGAATTGAAGGCTAATTATATCGATTTTTGTTTTTTGCTAGAGATTCTATAGTTACCAGGTCATTTCAATTCATGTTTATAAAAATATGAATTTCCATTTCAGTCCAAAAGTCATCTTATACATTGTTTCAATTGACCAGCGCTTTTGTTTTAATACAGCTTTCTTGTACTAGCGATTTAAGCAAAAACTTAAGAGTTAAGTTTAGGAACTTTGAATTATAGGTTTTTAAGAAAATTAAAACTGAATCTACGTATTTGGGAAATAAAAGAATTTTGAGAATTCGATAAAATCGAGTTCAAAGTTTAAACTTCAATCGATTTTTGTACAGCTATTTAACCGGATTCTTCTATCAAACACATTTGTCTGGTGTAACATTCAATAACCAAATAAAAATGCACTGATAATTGAAAATAAAATTTTCTGCTTCTGACAAGGGTTCACATCGATTTACTAAAAAATTATTTACAATTAGTTAGGATAATAGAGTATAAGCTGAAACCCATTTTTACCGATAATACTCGCCGGTCAACATGGGAGTCTATTAATTTTTCTGATTGATCAACACTTTTCGTGATTTTGATTCAAAATTTTGTCGTCTACTAATTTAAGAATGCTAACACTTACAATCACCATTCTTTCAAAAATTGCATATTTTATTATATCCCACAATATTCGATTAATTATGCAAATTGAGTTATAGCTTTTAACTGATTTGTTGTCAGATGATACTTTAAATTAGGAAAATAATTCATTCACTTTCATCATTCTTATGACTCACAAAAAGATAGCTTGTTACTTCATGTGATAGATGTTAGTCTCCTTCACATCCAGGTATAGTAGGGGCAAAAAACTCGTACTTATTGCTAAAATAGCTAATGCAGTCGACTGAGATAACTTTTTATCTTGCATCAAATTCATTGTTTGATTATTCTGAGGTGAATCTTAGAGACTATCATGTGAAACAGCAATGAAATTTGGGTGATGATGATAAGATTCTATTAATAATTAGTGAAGAATAATAGGAAAATGGAATCCATACTGATTTGCTTGTAAATCGATGTGACATGTTGTACACAAGAACTGACTGCTTAGCTGAATTTTGGACTGAAATGGAAATTCATATTTTTATAAACATGAATTGAAATGACCTGGTAACTATAGAATCTCTAGCAAAAAAACAAAAATCGATATAATTAGCCTTCAATTCGGACCCAGATTCTTTAAAAACATAATGCACTTTTCGAACCTACTTGCACCAATTGATGTACCAAGAATTTATCAAGTAACCAGATCATGATTGAAGATTAAACACGCCAGCTATTGTTATTCTCATCGACAGTGAGTCGATCTGTCTATTGACATTAAAAGATCTTGATTTTTTGTATATAAAAACAGAGGTTGTTGTAAGATTTCAAGTCATTACAGTTATTATTCCAGTTGTTCATTACATTACTTGAATATCAACAGTTTTGTTAAAAATGAAGTCAACTTTATTTGTCGTTTTAATTGCTCTTGCAATCGCAGGCTCATTCGCAGTTAAAATCAAAGGTTCATGTCCGAACCCAGAAAAACCCAAAGTTGATTATTGGGATTTTTCAAATGTAAGTTTAACTTAATTTTAATCATTACATTATTAATATTAATTCATCTATCGATAATTAGTTCCTAGGAGGATGGTTTGTTTTAGGTCGAAGTGAAGATACTGTCCCAAGAACTGTGTACAATACCCTTCAGATTAATCACTTATATCCAGGAAAAGTTGCCGTTATTGAAGATGGTGATACTCGAGGCGTGTGAGTAACAATTGAAACATTAATCAGTCGCAAATCTTAATAATTTATCAATTAATTACAACAGTCTAGTGGAAATTGGAGATGAGTATATCGAGATGACTGTTGGTGATTTTGATGGGAAATCTTATTATGATGTTATTACGGATGTATATGATCCATATTCATTCAACATCACAACCTCAGGTAAAAATGATGATTTTGGGTGAATTTATGCAGATAATTTAAATGCTCAATGTTCATTTCAGATGGTCACCGAGGTCAGTTTTGGATGCCTTATTATGCCAATCCTAAATATGCTCAAGCCCTCTTAGCAAGTTGTGTTAAAATTGACGATTCAACTGTTGATAGTAAGTAAATTGTTGAATATAATTTAATAATCAATTTAATCACTATTTACTGTTTATCATTTATTAATCAGTTAAAACATGGCTCGTTTCAAAGGATAAAAAAGCTTCAGTTCCACTAAAAATTTATGATTTGGCTAAAGCATTGACTGGACAAGATATAATTGATATCTGTCAAGGAGACTTTTGTTGATCGATTTGTGATATTGGGTTATCAATACATGATGAAAATTACAATTAAACTCTTGATCTGTTTGGTTGTAACATTTCTCAAATAACAATATTAAATATTTTTCGCAAGCAAATTCTCTGTTAACTAATCAAAATATCTGTCAAGTAAAATGATTCAATCAACGATTCTTATGAGCTCGCTGATGCACAAGGTTCCCATAGATCAACCTCAGAACAAATCATTACTTTTATAAGCATTAAGATTCTCAATGTATTGTATTTACCAAAGCAAATGGTTATAATCTTATTTTTGATGAAATTTCATTGTTTAAGAGTATGAAGTAGTTGATTGGAAGAATTTAAAATGATATTCTTGTTACAATTCAAAATTGTAGCTTGAATGGATACAAAGTTTCGATAAGAAACTTATGAGCAGAATGGTCAATATGCGAGAAAGAGTTGGTTGGTAGGATGGAAGGTAAATACATAATATTTATTGAATTGACTCTTGGTTTGAATAAAATGTTTGAATTAGAGTGATTATCGCTATATGTGAAGCAACTTAGTGACTCACCAGTTAATATTTTAAACGATCAACAAATCTGTGATTGAAATTTATTTTCATTTTTCTTTTGAATGCGTAAAAACAATGCAAATGTTAAATGTGATTTTTGTTTCTGTTTGATTCATGTACTGAATGTTACAATGCAATGTATAAGTCCATTGTTTTTCAATATTTAACAATTTAGCCATTTTTACGTGATTATCAAGAGATCATGGATAAAAATGGATATATGCATTTATTGACCCTAATTCCGAATACAGAGAGATTTCAAATAATGAGAGTACTGCGGATGGATAGTAACATGTAACATATTAGTATAACATAATAGTATGACTGAATACCTAAGTAACTAGTAAGAAAATCTAAGCGCTTTCATTCGATAATGAAAATCGCTTCAACTCATCACAAGATTTGTGTGCGAGTAACCATTCAATTTCATAAATCAAGAATCGAATCTAACAACATAAATGATATGAGAACAGCGGAGTTTTAAATGAAAATCGAAGTGATCTGTTGTACAGAGACAAAGAATTTTATAAATGAGTAAAATTTTGTAAAATAAGACCGTTTTCTAATTTTCTATCGAAAGTTATTACATGAGTAAAATGATTTTGGTGCTCAATAAGTTAGTTGCAGTCTGAAATGAATCCTTTTTTAGCAGAAAATTTGAATCCAATGAGTCCACCAGCAAACGCCATTATGAATACTATTGTCCCCAATCCAATTGCTAAATTATAATCATTCGACTTAGTTGGTGAAGGTATTATTAATGAAGATGGCTGTGGATTAGTTTTGCTTTTTCCTGTAACTTTCTTGTGATTTATGTGAACTGAACAAATTTTGTTGTTGCTTTTTGATAATTCAAATAGTCCAGATTGGTTAGCATTACTTGGTTTCAAGTTTGTCAATATACAGCTCAACAATGAAACACTACTGTCGGAAATTTTCTCATAGTCGATTGTTTCACAAAACTCGAAAGTAAAACAATCAACATCTTTATTGCACTCGGAAGCACAGTGTTCTAATGATAAATCGTCAAAGGCTCCAATAATTGATTCTTTCATGTTATCTTTCAATGCAAGTCCAGCTTTATGTTCATAATCGAGTTCAGATTTTTCTGTAAAAAGTAAAGAGATTGAATATTAATAATTAACTGATATTATTTAGATTTCAAATGAATGTTGGATTAAAGAAAAGGTTTTTACTTGAATAATGGGAACATCCAGCTTCAGCCAACTTCCAGTTTGTTGCATTTATTTCATGAGCTTTATCTAAATCAATATGATTTACATGTAAGAAACAAATAGATTCATTTCTGCAGAAAATGGGATGAAAAAAGGAAAAACTCATTAGAAATGTCATGTATTTTTTAATATATTGAATCAGTTGTTAATTCGAATTAGCTAGTGCAATAGAACTCATCCAATTGTTTCATGTTTGAAATAACAATAATCTATAAAAATACAAATGCTTTTATTTACGCTTCTTTAATTATTCAACATTCTTTTTAGCACTATTTTTTATCAATATAATTAACTTAAAAAACTATGAATATTTATGGATGACAGATCCAAATGCATTTAGGATTGATTGGAAGCACAAGCTCTAAAATATTTGTTCACTTGCAATGCTTGTGGCATCCAAACTTCAGTCTTATCGCAATTTGTTTGCAAATAGACAAAAAGATCCATTTCAAAATGAAATCCGAATGAAAAATAAGCTGAAAACACTAAATATTCATACTTCATTTGATATACACTGTGTTCAATGGCATTAAGACCAGCGCCATAAATGGTTTGTTTGAATGATTTAGCAAACATTTGATATTTTGAAGGACATAGTTATCAAGTTAATTCAAATAGAAGAGGATATTTTACAAAAAATAGCAAAAGAGATCATAAAATGATCTAATATTCAGATTTTATTGATTTAATCGAAAAAATTTTGTTCAATAGCATTAAGACCACATGATTAATTTCAACATTATTGCCTTTAATAATGGTTTGATTTACCTTGTTTTTCGATTACTTCGATCAACCTATCCTTCATTGACATGATAACCCTTTGAATCATTGTTTGGTCAACATTCAGCCATTCCTTCGAGATTGATACTTTTAGTTCATTTACGTCACGATACTGACGTCCATTTGCATAAACTTTGCGGGCTCATATTGACCAAACATTCTCAATCGGATTCGAATCAGGCGATCTTGCTGGCCATTTCATTACCTCAATAGATTGCTTAGATAACCATTCTTTGGTAGCTGCAGAAGCGTGGATAGAGGCATTATCTTGTTGGAATATTGCATCATTTCCGCCCAATTCTTTGATTATTGGCAGCATATATTGATCTAATAATTCAATGTAATCTGCAGAGTTCATTGTAGTTTTGCAAAAAGCAATATCAGTTACACCATTGTAGGCGATTCCTGCCCAAATCATGACTCCACCACCTTCGAATTGTCGTTTGGAAAATTGCACTTCCTCTTGATTAAGATTCCTCCAGTAAGATTTGAAACCATCAGGACCATCGAGGTTGAACCTTTTCTCATCAGAAAACATCATTCTTAGCCAATTGTTAACAAAAATCAATGTATTTCCTCGCGTATTCCAATCTATCTTTAATGTGAATTTCTTTCAACGGCGGCTTTGCATTTGGTTTGCGGAACTCGATATATTCAGCTCTTCTTGCAGCATTATAAACGGTTCCTCTTGAACAATCCAAATTCAGCTCCCTTCTTGTCTCCTCACACGATTTCTTTTCCTGTGTAATGTGACACCATTGTATATAATAGCGAATTTAACACAAAAAAGACTAAGAAAACACAAAATAATGAAACAAATGAACTAATTACAACAAATTACTATTGATATCTACTGTTGAAAATGTCGAAAATTGTTTGCAATCAACCCTTTTTAAACAAAAATTAGCTTGGTCTTAATCCCATTAGACGCGAACATATGGGTCCCGAGTGTTAATTATGCTAAAATTAAGATTAACTTAAATCCAATTGTTTTTACTTTTCATATTCTTATCCCTAGTCAGACAATCAACAGTTTCGGAAAGCTTTAGGTGCTAAACAAACATTTAAATTGAAAAAATATGGCAATCAGATGCTGGTCTTAATGCCATTGAACACAGTGTACTAAATTTATGGTACTAAAAATGCGTTAAGCAATAGATTTTTCAACAAAAATGCTATCAAAGATTTAAAATTCTTAATATTATAATTGACTTCTTATTGAAACGATTGTTTGTTAGAAGAGGTCCTGAATCAACTGTTTATGATCTGCGTTCTAGTTCATTACTCATATAAGATAACTTTCGTGGCAAGTTTGATCTAAGTTTTGACTTACCTTTGATTGTTATCTTGGCAATAATCGAATGATTCACAATTGAAATCATTTGATTGAGCACATCTTTTAGCACAATCACCAATTGGTACATCAGATATGGTTGAGACGGCATCAAGAACTAAACTTTTGCCAGGATACTCATGGAATAGATTCATAAATGATTCTAAATTGAAATTGAGAGACAAAATTAATTTAAGAAACACAAATTAATGTAAGAGTAAATTTACTTTGATAGATGTTGCACCCATCTGCATAACTTGTTTCGTCTTCAAGTGCGTCTTTCAATGAACTCGATGTTTCTCCACTCAGAATACATTCATTATTCTGGTTAACACAATATGAAAGTGTATTACAATCATCATCATTTAAACAAGCCATGAAACAATCTTGAAGAGTACTTTTCTCGATCTTGAATTGTGCTTCATTCAATTGAAGATCAGTTTTGATCATCGGGAAATCTTCAGCTCTTAAAGGATTTACACCACTTGTATGTAGTTCCTGGGAAATGTCACCAATCTCTTGAGGTCCACTTACAATGAACAAATCTTCAGCTGTTAGGTCAATAAAGGCTGATAGGACTAAACGAAATTCACCGGATGAGACTTTATTCCTTATCTGTTGCAAAACGTGTGGTATTGTCGATAAATAGTTTTTGCTAACCAATGGTGCAACGTTAAGCCGTTGAACATTTTTTTCATAATAAGTACATTCCTCACTGTATTTTGTTTCGGGAAAATATAATGAGTAAAGATATTTAAAAGTCATGCAGTCAAAATTCGAACAATAACTAAAAGCTTTACAAGTTGAAGTTGCACTGCACAATTGTTCGCAGTCTTCCAATCTAGATCTTTTCACGATATTTGAAGGATTCGTAATTATACATTGATTCGTACGGCTATATGCATCAATCAGATTCACATGATCATAAAGCTTAACAGTAACATATATATTAGTATCAACTTGTTGTGCATGAATCGAACCAATGCGATTTATTGGAATGAATGAAGTCAAGTATTCTTCTGTTGATTGCTTAATTGCTTGCATATTGAATTCACTTATCCATGGATTTGAAAAGAAAAGTTGAAACCAAGTATAGCTTCCTGGTTCTTCATAACAACCAGAAACATCGAATCGATCACCATAATCAATGTAATGGTCTTGGTAATTAATTATTGTCACTTCAACTTGAGTTGCAGAATCAAAGGAATCATAATAATAATTACTTCTATCTTTGGTAAATATTATTTTACTCGGAACAGAATTACTGACATTTGTAATATAATAATAATCAGCAATGGCACTAAATCTATCGAAGAAGAAGTCACTTGCTAAGTATTGTTTCACTCGAAAAGGTCCTAAAGGTATCTCACCAATAAAATAGGAATAATATGATACCTTAGCCAAATGCTCAAAGAGATTGAAGCCGTGAGCTCTATCCAAGGGCCAATAGGTGAGTAGGTAAGGATCTGAATAGTCTGATGGACGATAATGACATCTACCAGTGTGTTCATCAATTTCAAATCGCCCCAAAGGATGTGGCATTTCAATTGAACGAACGAAATCAGTTTATTCTTGGATTACGAATGAAAAAACATCGCCTCGTTTCATTACTCGAGCAGTTGATTTTATAGGATCACGGTCAGGATATGTGATTATCGCTTCCATGTCCATAGTGAACTCTTTTACTTTCATAAAATCTGGTGGATGATGATTATAAACAATTTCATCATTACAATCATAACCCAATGGATAAGGAATCGGATCATCTGGAGATATGACCAACGGTTTGAACATGTAAAAGTTGTAAATATATTTTAACTCGGAATCAACTTGCTTTTTGATTGTTCGAGTCTCATTGATTGAAATGACCTCCTGAGTCTCAACCCATTTAGAATAATGCAACGAGAACCGATAAGGCAAAGAGGTCTTAACGTCAAAGTAAAAGTCGATGTAAGGTCCATTAGGATTCGTACAATAAAACCAGTGATTAACAGTACGACCTTCAATCAGATCAGATCCTACGAAAGAAGCTTTATCACTTATACTCTTGGCATAAATCATCAATCCTGTTGGTCCCAAGTGTAACAAATCTTTGAAAATCTTTGAATTGGTGACAATATCAACTGGTTCGAACCAATCTTTGATCGATTCAATCTTTTCATTCTGGGTTAAGTTCAGCCTCTCACATTTATTTTCTCGAACAGCAATCTTTTCCTCTGTCGAATGATAATAATAACGTCGGTTCATCTTATCTTGAATGGTCGCTTCCAAGTCAATAAATCCAACATTCTTTTTCAAATCATAATAATCGTGGACTAAATTGTTTCGAGTTGGATTAATGACTTCAACAGAAGCACGATAACCTGTTTGTTTATCAATTAAACTGAGAACATTCGGAACTTTTAATTCGCCCACTTTACCCCTTACAGGGCATTTGAAATCATCACAAAGAATTGAGTCAAGTAAGCAAAGAAAAAAAACAGAAATTTTGGGATCGATTTTCATCTTCGAGTTAGTTTTTGTTGTTTGATGTTTGAGTTGTGACTAAATGAAACACTCTCTTATTTTAATTTGACCAAAAAATAATGAAAATTAATGATATATGCTAAGAAATGCACGTGAATTTTATCCAGGAGGCGTCAGAAGAACATTTGATCTTATTCATATTAGGTGACAATGATGATTGTATAAATTAGATTATAATTATTATTAGCATTACTTATTGTTTATTACAATCTTATTTTACATGGAATCCTCCCACCTCGAACAAATAACAACTTGCAAGTTTATTTGCGACAAAAAACAAAATCGAACCCAAGTACTTTTCATTATCATGATCCAGGATCTCACATTTCATAATCATTCATCAATATTATTAACAACTATTGGCAAGTGTCAGTGTATCTGATTGATTTCATGATTTTTTATGGCTCGACGAAAGATCTGTTGTGCGATTCATTAGCAATTGTTTCTCAAAGTAGAGGATAATTTTGAATAAAAACAATAGTCTTACTTTCTTAACTTTGTCCAATTTAACCTGAAGTTATTTACATTTAGAGTGGCTAAATATTAGCAGCGCAACGAAGTGCCAGTTTATAGATTCATATAATAACAATCGCAATATATTGATAGCAAGTTCTGAAAATGAGTCTTCCTACCTACATGGCTGAAAACCAGTGGAAAGTTTAATGGTCTTGGTATATTGAAAGATGAACCAGGAAGCATCTATTGGAAAACTTATGCCAATTATTTAGTGAAGTGAGTTTAGATGATTTTCAATATTATTAGTCTTTTTATTCATTCATTTAATGATCATTTTTTATTGCTGTCAGGTTTTTCCAAGGTATCCTTTCCTTAGTATCAATTTTTGAGAATTCACTCCTGAAAATGAGCCTAATTAATATTAGAATATTAGAACATTTAATCTGATTTGTATAAGGTGACAATGATCGAAAATCAGATTATTGTATAAATTAGATTAGAACTATTACTTTTTGTTTATTGCAATTTTATTTTACACAAAACCCACCCACCTTGAATAAAAACAAACTTGTAAGTTTATTTAGGACAAAAAACAAGATCGAACCCAGAGTACTGTTCATTCATTTACTAATCAATTTTCGGGCATTTAATCTTGTAAATGAGCCTACTGTCGATCTTAAACCTGGATGGAGATGGAAGCTTATTACTTTTGGCAAAAGAAACAGTACGGTTTGGTAACTAGGAAAAGCAGGCGATTAAAACTGGGTACTTACCCTACTAGTAGGTGTCTCTGGTTTCATTTCAGAGACTAAAGTTGACATGACTGCCTAAAACAGGTTCATCTATTGAACCTTATAATACAACGGAAAGCTCATAAGAATCGTTTGTTAAATAATTTTTATTGAGCGATATTTTGGTATGCAATATACAAATGCATGAGCCGAATAATTGTTTACAATTCATTTAATCAACAATATATTTATTATATTTTCTTAGCCATCTGATGGGAAAGCAAAGAGACAAAGGCAGAGAAACCTGAACAAGGATAAATAATCATAACTCGGGAATAATCAACAGGAAAGTTTGCTATTGAAAATTTTACATGAATAATATTCCAGAGTTAAATCAACAGATGAAGATTTTAATTGAAAATTTCATTTTTATCACTAATATCACATGGTGGCACTTGACAGACTTTAATCAATTCGTTTCCAGTTAATTCTTTAACAAGATCTTTAACTTCTTGTGAAGGTGAAGCTTGTTTAGCCTTTGAAACAAACCAAGCTTTAACTAATTAATAAATAAATAGATAGTAAACAATAATTAGATTGATTGTATTAAATCATAATCGATAATTTACTTACTATCAACTGCTGAATCGTCAATTTTAACACAACTTGCTAACACGGCTTCATCATATGTTTGGCGAGCCCAATAAGGAATCCAAAATTGTCCTCGTTTACCATCTGAAAGCAATTTCAAGATTGTAATTCTTTCTATAAATTTATCAAAATTTATCGTTTACCTGAGGTTGTGATGTCGAATGAAAATGGATCAAATATAACCAAGGAATCACGCACAGCAGTATCATAATATGACTTGCCATCAAAATCACCAACAGTCATTTCGATATACTTGTCCAGAAATGAAATAACATCACTGTTATATGATTAATTGGTTGAGTTATCTAACTTTGTGAATAAACATTCTTTTAATTGAAACTAACTTGTCTCGAGCATTTCCTTTCTCAATAACGGCAATCTTTCCAGGATATAAGTGGTCGATCTCAATAGTATTGTACACAGTTCTCGGGACAGTTTGTTCACTTCGACCTAAAACATTCCAATCACCTTCGATCTAATTGAATAAAATAATATTAATAGTGATAACGATTGAAATGGAGGACAACTTACATTTGAAAAGGCCCAATCATCACCTGCAAGTTGTTCTGCGTCAGGACATGAACCTTTGATTTTAACGGCAAATGAGCTTGAGATTGCAAGAGCAATTAAAGCAACAAATAAAGTTGACTTCATTTTTAACGAAACTTTTGATATGCTTAACGAATCAAGCAAATGTAACGAACAATTGAAACAACAACTGTAATGACTTGGAATCTTGCGACAAAATATCTTTTTATACACGAAATTCAAGTCGAGTGTTAATACATATGTCGAATCACTGTCAATGCAGATAACAATAACTGATGAGCTAACCTTTAATCATGTTATTAAATGAATTTGCAGCATGTTTAAATCACCTTTTTCTTGATCGTTCCATGAGACTGAGAGTCAATTGTTTCTTTTATCAAGAGACAAGTGACCAATTCATTATTCAAAATGTTGGATATGAGCGTAAGCTAGATGTGAATCAGTACAAACAGTTACAAAAACTACATTTATTACGTCGATAAGGAAGAGGTCGAGTCAAAATTGACGGCTAATGTTATTGTTATTCACTTTGCAAGGCATTTCACATGTGCAACATCATTTTGATTCATAAAATGCATCAGTTATTGTTCTTGTATCAATGAGAGACATTGGTTTCAAAATTTTCATGTCTCCCTGTCAAAGTGTCTTGCAATGAATGTAATTTTTGTATCTTTTTGTACCTATTCATGCATTGAATTGAAGTAATAGTTTTCAAGTTATTCACATTTCTCTTGGCTAGACATGAGCTTCCATTTCAATCCATAATTGCAGTCAAAAATACCGATCTTTTCAGTACATCTGGCTTCCTCTCATCTTTAATATTTAGGAATAAGTAATTGACTAATTGTTTCTTGATAATTTAGCAAAAATGAAAAAATTGACTCATAGATACATCAAACATCAAAAATGGCGATTTAAACATCCTGCAAACTAATTTAACAACAGAGCCTTAAGTCTAACAAAGCAAGATCACAATAATAGCAGATTTCTAGAGCTTGATCTTTTCGCTTGCCGATGAGATGACGAATAAATTGAAGGTATATTGTTGACTGAATCAATTGTTCACAGTTAGTTAATGGTCAATGGTAACGATTAGAAGAAACCAGAAGTTCCAGTGTAAATGAATTTTTGCTTCTCGATTTTTTTATCAAAAGGTTATGCTGAAGAGTTACACTACATTACAGAGTAAACGTAAAAATATTATGTTTGACAAATGCATCATATTACTACTTCATCGTAATACTAGGTGAGTCAAAAGTCGCGCAAGTCTTTAAATCGCGATTGTGGGGCTGTCTTTTGGTTTTTTTGCACCAAATTTTTTCCACGTTATTTTCAGGCAGGGGGATTATGTTTTTCGCAATAAAAAAATTTTGACCTGGAGATGGACCTTACACCCTTGAAAGCGGGCTTCCTCAGGGTCAGAATTGCGATAATTTGGTGAAAATTTTTTTATTTTAAAAAATGAAATCCCCCTCAAAATTATGCATTTAGCTGAAAAAATTATGTTCCTAACTATAGCTGTTCAAAAGTTATAGCGATTTAAAAACTTGCGCGACTTTTGACTCACCTAGTACTTATTAAGAATGAACAAATCATGACTGTTCATCTTCAGTTTTCAACTGATGTTGATTTTTGATTTCCAATAAGTTAGTTGATGAAATAATTCCTTTTTTAGCAGAAAATTTGAATCCAATGAAACCACTGGCAAACGCCATTATGAATACAATTGCTCCCAATCCGATTGTTAAATTATAATCATTTGCATTAGTTTGTGGTGTTATTATTGATGAAGATGGCTGTGGATCAGTTTTGCTTTTTCCTGTAACTTTCTTGTGGTTTATGTAAATTGAGCAAATTTTGTTGTTGCTTTTCGATTCTTCAAATAGTCCAGTTTGATTAACATTATTTGGTTTTAAGTTTGTCAATGAACAGTTCGTCGATAAAAAACTACTTTCGTAAATTTGATTATAGTCGAATGTTTCACAAAACTCGAAAGTAAAACAATCGGGATCTTTATTGCACTCGGAAGCACAGTCTTCTAGTGATAAATGGTCAAAGGCTCCAACAATTGATTCTTTCATGTTATCTTTCAAAGCAAGTCCAGCTTTATGTTCATAATCGAGTTCAGATTTTTCTGTAAAAAGTGAAAAGATTGAATAATTAGTGAATATTGACTAGACTTTGAGCAAAGGTTGGATCAAAGGAAAGGTTTTTACTTGAATAATGGCAACATCCAGCTTCAGCCAGCTTCCAGTTTGTTGCATTTATTTCATGAACTTTATCTATCTCAACGTGGTTAACATGTAAGAAACAAACAGATTCATTTCTGAAAGAAATCGGGATAAAAATAAAATAAAAATAATTAGATCTATTCATAGATGAATACACAATAACTTTTCATTTTCCTTAACGAATATCATTATTGAGTCATTACATCATTATCAAACTTTTGTGTTAAGTTTAGTCTAAGTTTTGACTTACCGTCGATCTTGGCAATAATCAAATGATTCACAATTGAAATCATTTGATTGAGCACAGGTTTTAGCACAATCAACAATCGAGACTTCAATTATTGTTGAGACGGCATCTAGAACAGGACTTTTTCCAGGATATTCATAGAATAAATTTATAAACGATTCTAGATTAAAATTAAGGAACAAAGTTAGTTCAAGAAACTCAAATCAATGTGACAGTATTATATCTACTTTGATAGATGTTGCATCCATCTGCATGACTCGTTTTGTCTTCAAGTGTGTCTTTCAATGAACTCGATGTTTCTCCACTCAGAATACATTCCTTATTCTGGTTAACACAATATGAAAGTGTGTTACAATCATCGTCATTTAAACAAGCCATGAAACATTCTTGGAGAGTACTTTTCTCGATCTTGAATTGTGCTTCATTGAAATGACGATCAGTTTTGATCATCGGGAAATCTTCAGCTCTTAAAGGATTGACACCACTTGTATGTAGTTCCTGGGAAATGTCACTGATCTCTGCAGGTCCACTCACAATGAATAAATCTTCAGCTGATAGGTCAACTCTGTCTAAGCGAAATTCACCTGATGAGACTTTATTTCTTATCTGTTGTAATACGTGTGACATCGTCGACAAATAGTTTTTGCTAATCAATGATTCAACTTTGACCGTACCATATTTAGCATACAAATCGCATTCCTCACTGTATTCTGTCTCGTAAAATAAATATTTAGTTGTAAAAACGATGCAGTCATAATCCAAACAATAACTAAAAGCATCGCAAACTGGATTTGTACTGCACAACTGTTCACAGTCATCTACTTTAGATTTTTTTACAATATATGAAGGATTCATAATTTTACTTTGATTCGAACGGTCATAAGCATCAATGAGATGGACACGATCATGTAGCTTAACAGTAACATATATATTGGAATCAACTTGTTGTGCATGAATTAAACCAATGCGAGTTATTGGAATGAACGAAGTCAAGTATTCTTCTGTTGATTCCTTAATTGCTTGCATATTGAATTCACTCATCGAAGGATTTGAAAAGAGAAGTTGAAACCAAGTATAGCTTCCTGGTTCTTCATAGCAACCAGAAACATCGAATCGATCTCCATAATCGAGGGAAGTTTCTTCGTAATTAATTATGGTTACCACAATTGAAGTTGGAGAATCAACGGAATCATAATAATAATCACTTCTATCTGCGGTAAATATTACTTTACTCGGAACATAATCGCTAACATTTTTTGTATAATAATAATCAACGATGGCACTAACTTTATCCGAGAAGAAGTCAGCTGCTCTGTATTCTTCCACTCGAAAAGGTCCTAAAGGTATATCACCAATAAAAGTTGGTGAATCATCTTCAGGTGGTTTCATTACCAGATATTCCAATAGATTGAAGCCAAGATCTTGATTCAAAGGCAAACTGGTGAGCAGTTTAACAAATTTAAAAAAATCTGGTGGATAATAATGGCATTGACCAGTGTGCTCATCTACTTGAAATCGCCCTAAAGGATATGGCATTTCAATTGAACGAACGAAACTAGTTTCTTCTTGGATTTCGAATGAAAAAATATCGCCTCGTTTCATTACTCGAGCAGTTGATTTGATAGGGTCACGGCCAGGAAAGGTGATTATCGCTTCCATATCCATAGTAAACTCTTTAACTTTACTAAAATCTGGTAATGGAGCATGAGAATCGCTATTTTTACGCTTACATCCATAACCCAATGGATAAGGAATTGGATCATCTGAAGATATGACCAACGGTTTGAACATGTAAAAGTTGTAAATATATTTTGACTCGGAATCAACTTGCTTTTTGATTGTTCGAGTCTCATTTATTGAAATGACGTCCTGAGTCTCAATCCATTCGGGATAATACAACGAGAACCGATAAGGTAATGAGGTCTTAACATCAAAGTAAAAGTCAATGTAAGGTCCATTAGGGTTGGTACAATAAAACCAATGATTGACAGTACGACCTTCAATCAGTTTGGATCCTATGAAGGAAGCTTTGTCACTTATATTATGGGCATAGATCATCAACACTGTTGGTCCCAAGTGCACCAAATCTTTAAACATCTCTGAATTAGCGACAATATCAGCTGGTTCAAACCAATCTTTAATCGATTCGATATTTTCATTTTGTGTCAAGTCCAATCTTTTACATTTATCTTCTCCAACTGCAAACTTTTCTTCTGTTGAATGATAATAGTAACGGCGATTCATTTTATCCTGAATGGTCGCTTCCAAGTCAATGTATCCAACATTATTTTTCCCATCAAAATAATCATGGATTAAATTATTTCGAGTTGGATTAATGACTTCAACAGAACAACGATAACCAGTTTGTTTATCAATTAAACTTAAAACATTCGGAACTTTCAATTCGCCCACTTTACCCCTCCCAGGGCATTTGAAATCTGCACAAAGAACTGAGTTAATTATTAATAAGTAAAGAAAACAAAGATAAAAAGAAAAATTGAGATTGATTTTCATCTTCAAATCAATTGTTGATTTAGGATGTTGAAGTTGAGAAAAGTTGCTTCGATATTCAATTTTCCATGAAATAATCTAATTCAAACACTCTTTTAATTTCATTTGAGCAAAAAGAATCTGAAATTAATTAAATTGTAACAATTTACTTACTAACATGCAAAGGGGCGTCAGAAGATCATCTAAGTTTTAATCTCATATTAAGGTGAGAATGTGTCAAAATCAGATTATTATACAATTTAGTATCAATTAGCTCCACATTTGGAACTACAAATATGATTGAACATGGATATAAATTCAGTTATTTCATCTTTAAATTCCATTAATTCTATCAATTTATGCTCTCAATGAAGACCAACATTCCATCAGTTGAATTCTATCTATTATTCATTTAATCAACTATTCAACATGATTATTACTTATTGTTTATTACAATTTTATTTCCCTCGAAACCCACCCACCTTAAACAAATAACAACTTGTAAGTTTATTTACGACAAAAAACAAGATCGAACCAAGAGTACTTTTCATTACCATGATCCAGGATCTCAAATTTCATAATAATTCTTCATCGATATTATTAACAACTATTGACAAGTACCAGTGTCCCTGAGTGGCTTCATGATCTGTGGAATTATGCCAATAACTGGAGCCATTTGTGGATTTATAGTTGAAAACTATCTCAGATTTTAGGTTTTTGATGAAATTGCTTTCACAGTTGAAACTTGGATTTCATTTTGTCCAGCAGTAGAACCAGATTTTATTTTACTGTTTAGTTAATTTCGTTGACGATTGTTTTCTCATATAGCCTTTGAGTCTTTTAAATGATGATTGAGTTTATTGTACTCACAAAGTTTTCAGTGTCAATGGAGTGAAATAGATGACTCGCCATGATCGATGCAGCCTCTAATCATACTTAAATTAACGATTCTAAACAGCACGCTGGTGTACAGAGGGAATCTGCAAAAGAATCATTATTAATACTTGCTGCTTTGTATTGCATTGAAATCAAATGCAATCAGGTCAAACAGGTAGAATCTTGCTATTGATGAAATCGGATTTTTAGCTTGACATAACTTTTATGCTGACAATTGAAAAAAATCACAATAAACATAAAACTTCTCTATTTCAATGGTTGATAACTTTTAGAAATATTTAACTGAATTCTTATTAGAAGATTGACTCTACTCTGATTGATGTTGGTTGGGATTAGAGCTGATAGTTTTGCGAATATTTACATTCGAATTGCAAGTGATTGAAGCAAAGAAACAACAAAAAAATTTAACAAAACTTATACATAATAGATCACGAGTTGGTTGGAAAACCTGTAAAAAGCTTTGAATTTACTAAATATTCGTATAATCACTAGCAGCTAGAGTTAGGATCGAGCTATGATCTGATCAAAGAGTTGGAGATCAATCTCACTTGTACCTGGTCCTTTTCTGCCATTCTTAACGAATAGAATAGATAAATCGAAAGGAGTTTATTGTATCATTGAAATCATCATTCGATCAGATTAATACCTGTAATCAATTAGAATTGAGTAATGAAACAAATCAGTTATTGTTAGCTATTGTATCATTGAAATATTATCAAAAAGTTATTGTTTTTACAAGAGGTATCAATTTATGGCAACATTTTTGTTTTCTCGAGGTTGCTTTTCTTATCTAGTGCGAAGTTTTTGCACCCACAATATGACAAAGCGGGGTGTGAAAGCGATTAACATCTACCCCCTGAATCAACAGCTATTCATGCATCCCAAGAATGAAAAACATGAATATCTTTTCACCAAATAAAACATTGACCTGGTAACAAATCAAATACTCTAACTCGTTTGCATAATTTTCAAGTCTTCATATTTGAAAATATTTAAGTCCATAGGGAAATATAATAATTGTTGAAGGAATGGTGATTGTAATTGCTACCATTTTTGAATTTTAGGCTTCAAAGTGACAAGGCAACGAAAATCACGAAAACTTTTCTGAAAATGTACAATGAGTTTTATCGTTATGAAATGTGCTTAAGCTAACTATCAAAATTGTAATACACCAAGTCCACAAAGTCCACTTTGTGGGTCGAATCTTACTAGTTCTTAACTCGAAAAGAAATTTTTTTATATTAGTTCTAAAGCAATGATCAATTGAAGTGTTATGAAATATGAATTCATATTTTTATGCACATGAATCTAAATGTTTTGTACATTTGGAATCCATAGCAAAACGAAGTCGCTGATGAATTCAATGCAGCTTTCAATTTAAGCCCGAATTTCTTATCAACATAATAAATTTAATTTTTGTATCTGATCATGTATCAAGAATTTATCATAATATCAAGAAGATAATTGAAGGTTAACCATATCAGCTATTGTTATTCGACATGTGTATTAACATTGGACTTAGATCTCGATCCTTGTGTATAAAAACAGATTTTTATTGAACATTTGTAGTCATTCAAGTTATTATTCCAGTTGTTCATTACCTTTTCTTGATTGTCAACAGTTTTGTTAAAAATGAAGTCAACTTTATTTGTTGTTTTAATTGCTCTTGCAATCTCAAGTTCATTTGCCGTTAAAATCCAGGGATCATGTCCAAACCCAGAACAACCCAAAATTGACTATTGGACCTTTTCAAATGTAAGTTTAACTTAATCATTAATCATTAATCATTAATATTATATTATCTATTGATAATTAGTTCCTAGGAAGCTGGACTGTTTTAGGTCGAAGTGAACAAACTGTCCCAAGAACTGTGTACAATACTATTGAGATTGATCACCTTTATCCTGGAAAAGTTGCCGTTATTGAGGAAGGAAATACTCGAGACATGTAAGTTTCAATGGACGGATTGTTTCATTCACAAATCTAATTAATCAATCATTTAATTACAACAGCGACGTCATGTCACTTTGGGACAATTTGATCGAATTGACTGTTGGTGATTTTAATGGAAAATCATATTATGATGTTATTGTAGATGATGACGAACCCTACTCATTCAACATCACGACCTCAGGTAAACGATGAATCTAAGGAAATTTATGCATACAATTACAATATCATAAATTCATTTCAGATGGTCACCAGGGAATATTTTGGATGCCTTTTTTCGCTCGCCCTAAATATGCTGAAGCTGTTTTAGCAAGTTGTGTTAAAATTGATGAATCAACTGTTGATAGTAAGTAAATTATTGAATATAATATAATAATTCAATAAATCTAATAATCGTTTACTATTTTTTGCATTTATCAATCAGTTAAAGCATGGTTTGTTTCCAAGAATAAATACGTTAAAGCTTCAGAAGAAGTTGAAGATATTGTTGAATCGTTGACTGGACGAAAATTGGTTGAAGTCTGTCAAGGAGATTTCTGTTGATCAATTCATAATATTATTGATACAAGATAGAATTGTCATGTAAACTCTTCATCTGTTGATTGTAAAATTTCTTAAATAAGAATATTAAATAATTTTTTAAACGCAAACTTTTCTGTTAACTAATCAAAATATCTCTCAATAAAAATGGTTTAATTAACCATTTTGAGCTTGAGATCGGTCAAATGGTTGTAATCTAATTATTCATGGGATTGGATTATTGCAAGGTTAATCTTCAGTTTCACGAAATCTGTTGATAGATCGGAAAAAGTGTTCGATTAATCATGTTGGAAAATAAGTTTGATCGGTAAAAAATGAGTTTCTGTCTAATCTCTATTGCTTTCACTGCAGCACTAACTTCAGTTGTTCATAAATCGATGTTTTGTCATAGTAAAGCAACAGAAAATTTTTCTTCAAATAAGTTCATTTTCTGTTTGGCTGTTGAAAATAACATTAGAGAAACAAGTTCAATGAAAAACTCTGGTAATGATGCATGTATAAAAGTGATTGAACCTTGAACTATGAAATCAATTTTCTCCAAACTACTGACCAGAAAAATTTGAATTTCACAGATGGACCCACAAAAAAGGAAAAAATAGAAATCAGAAATAGTTCGCCTTGAAGTTTCTAAAATTTGTGCGATCACGAATAAAGTTAATATTAATAGATCGTTAGAGGGGTTTCTGGCAAGGTCCGAAAAAACCAGTTAATTGATAATAATTGTGACAGAATAAAGATTGCAATAAGAAATTTATAAGCAAAAATGTTTGCTGAACTCAATGATCAGTATGCAAGAAAGAGCTGGCTGGTAGGATTATCTCAGATAAACTCAGAACTTTTGATTGAATCGACTCTTCGAAATTTGAATAAAATGATTAAATTACAGTGATTAGCGCTGAATGTGCATGATTTGAGTAATTAGCACTGTTGGTACTTTGAACTATCAAAAAATACAGAATGGTTATGATAATTATTATCATTGATTGAACTTCTCATTTTCATTTAGAAATTTAATTTAAATTATTATAATTAATGTAAATGTTAAAAGTAATTTTTGTATCTGTTTGCACCAATTTATGCCTTATTGACACGTATTATTTAATATTGAATATTCTGATGCAATAAATTTTACATTGTTTTTCATCGGTATTCATTGCACCAATTTCAGGTTGCTTCAACTTGAAAAGGTATCAAGATTATTAGTTATAATTTATTAGGTGATTCAAATCGGTACAATTTTCTTCGCTTTGTTCAGTTGAACCTGAAGCTGCTCACAATTTTATTGATTCGATATTGACTTTCAATCCAGAATTGTAGATAAAATAATCCCCTTTTCAGTAAATCTGGATTCCTCTCATATCTAGCATTTTGAATAATGAATCGGTCACTTGTTTCTTGATAATATTGCAAAAACAATTGATTAACAGAACAATTAGGGAAAACGTGATATTAACATGTTGGGAATTAATTTATCATAATATCTAATAGAACATAATTGAAGGTTAACAATATCAGCGATTGTTATTCGACATGTGCATTAACATTGGACTTAGATCTCGATTCTGGTGTATAAAAACAGAGTTTATTGTAACATTTCAACTCATTACAGTTATTATTTCAATTGATCATTACATTTATTTGACACTCAACAGTTTTGTTAAAAATGAAGTCAACTTTATTTGTTGCTTTGATTGCTCTTGCAATTTCAAGCTCATTTGCCGTTAAAATCCAAGGATCATGTCCAGAACCAAAACAACCCAAAGTTGATACCGGTAATAATTGGTACTTTTCAAATGTAAGTACAACTCAATTTTTTTATTATTACTGTTATTATTAATTTATCATATTATTAATAGTTTGAAGGAAGCTGGACTGTTTTAGGTCGAAGTGAAGAAACTGTCCCAAGAACTGTGTACAATACTCTTGAGATCAGTCACCTTTATCTTGGAAAAGTTGCCGTTATTGAGAAAGGAAATACTCGAGACAGGTAAGCTTCAATCGAAAGATTAATTATTGAAAAATTTAATTAATCAATCTTCCAATTAAAACAGTGAAGTTATGTCACTTTGGGACAAGTTTATCGAATTGACTGTTGGTGACTTTGATGGAAAATCTTATTATGATTTCGAAGATGAACCCTACTCATTCAACATCACAACCTCAGGTAAGCAATAAATTCATGGTATTTTATCCAGAGAATAACAATTTTGAAAATTGCTTTCAGATGGTAAACGAGGTGAATTTTGGATGCCTTATTTCGCTCGCCCTAAATATGCCGAAGCTGTCTTAGCAAGTTGTGTTAGAATTGATGAATCAACTGTCGATGGTAAGCAAATTATTGAATATAATATATTAATATAACAATTTAATCAATCTAATAATTGTTTTTATTTTTTCCTTTATCAATTAGTTAAAGCATGGTTTGTCTCAAAGACTAAATCAGTTTCAGCTTCACAAGAAGTTAAAGATATTGTTAAATCATTGACTGGACACGAACTGATTGAAGTCTGTCAAGGAGACTTCTGTTGATCGATATTTGAAATTTGTCATATAAGATGAATTTTCATTTAAACTCTTCATCTGTTGATTGTAACATTTCTTAAATAAGAATATTAAATAATTTTTTAAAAGCAAACTTTTTGTCCATTATTTATGAATAATTATTATCCTTATTCAGGTTTCTCAGGGGTTTTCAGGTATATCTCTAAAAAATGATTCAATTAACGATTCTAATGAGCTTGCTGGTTGTACGGGTTGCCGTAGATGAGTATCTGAAAGATGCATCATGATTCTTACTGTTGTGTTTTATATTGAAATCAAATTGATCAAATGGTTTGAATCTTGTTATTGATCAAATTGGTTTCATCCCTTTATTGTGATCAATAACAATGAACCAGAATATCATTGTTATTTATGCAGGTTACCAATGCTTTGTGTATTATCAAACCTGGAATGCCAAATATCATGAATATACATCTTTTATCTGACCAGTGATCAGACAAATCACAATTATTATGGAAATTAACTAATATTATTTGAAATTAATCCTTAAGAATATTGTAACCTTGTACTTTGTATGTTAAACTAGTGATTTATCGTCATAACCATCACAATCAGATAAGTAAATGCTACTCTTTTGCTAACATAATTGCACTCTTAAACAATACATTTCAGCTCGAACAATTCGAATTTTGATTATACAAGTTTCGACTAGAGTCATGAACATGAAACGAACTGAAATTTATGCCTTTGAAGATATTAATCATAAAAGCACCAGCTGTATCAATAATAGCATCGGATAACGTTATAACAAATATTCAATATTAGAATTAGTAAGTCCAACTTTATGTTCTTAATCGAGTTCAGATTTTTCTGTAAAAAGTAAAAAGATTGAATAATTAGTGAATATTGACAAGGCTTTGAGCAAAGGTTGGATTAAAGGTAAGGTCTTTACTTGAATAATGGGAACATCCAGCTTCAGCCAGCTTCCAGTTTGTTGCATTTATTTCATGAACTTTATCTATCGTAACATGGTTAATAAGTAAGAAACAAACAGATTCATTTCTGAAAGGAATTGGGATAAAAATAAAATAAAAATAATTAGATCTATTCATAGATAAATACAAAATCATGTTACAACAACTTTTCATTTTCATTAACGAATATCATATTAAGGTAAAGGCCCACTACGGCCAAAGTCAAAACAGCCAAATACAAAGCTGCTTAAATCATATCAATTCATATTGCAAAAAAGTCCAAAAAAATCTTTCTATGGATATTGATAAGCTAATTAATTATAGTTAATTAACTCCGATCGAGTCAAAAAATGGTCAACATACACCTATGTCGATGCTCTTGTGTCCTTAAAATTATTGAGTCAATTGATCAAGTCAAACTTATTCAAAATTGTGTGCTTGTTTTGTCTTCAAGTGCGTCTTTCAGTGAACTCGGTGGTCTTCCACTCAGAATACATTCCTTATTCTGATTGATGCAATATGAAAGTGTGTTACAATCATCGTCATTTAAACAAGCAATGAAACAATCTTGAAGAGTACTTTTCTCGATCTTGAATTGTGCTGCATTGAAATGACGATCAATTGCAATCATCGGAAAACCATCAGCTCTTAAAGGTCTGGAAGCACTTGTGTGTAGTTCCTGCGAAATATCACCGATCTCTGCAGGTCCACTCACAATGAACAAATCTTCAGCTGTTAGGTCAATAAAGGCTGATAGGACTAAACGAAATTCGCCAGCCGAGACTTTATTCCTTATCTGTTGCAAAACGTGTGGCATCGTCGACAAATAGTTTTTGCTAACAAATGATTCAACTTTGACCGTACCATATTTAGCATACAAATCGCATTCCTCACTGTATTCTGTCTCGTAAAATAAATATTTAGTTGTAAAAACGATGCAGTCATAATCCAAACAATAACTAAAAGCATCGCAAACTGGATTTGTACTGCACAACTGTTCACAGTCATCTACTCCAGATTTTTTTACAATATATGAAGGATTCATAATTTTACTTTGATTCGAACGGTCATAAGCATCAATGCGATGGAAACGATCATGTAGCTTAACAGTAACATGTATATTGGAATCAACTTCTTGTGCATGAATAGCACCAATACGAATTATTGGAATGAACGAAGTCAAGTATTCTTCTGTTGATTCCTTAATTGCTTGCATATTGAATTCACTCATCGAAGGATTTGAAAAGAGAAGTTGAAACCAAGTATAGCTTCCTGGTTCTTCATAGCAACCAGAAACATCGAATCGATCTCCATAATCGAGGGAAGTTTCTTCGTAATTAATTATGGTTACCACAATTGAAGTTGGAGAATCAACGGAATCATAATAATAATCACTTCTATCTGCGGTAAATATTACTTTACTCGGAACAGAATCGCTAACATTTTTTGTATAATAATAACCAACAATGGCACTAACTTTATCCGAGAAGAAGTCAGCTGCTCTGTATTCTTCCACTCGAAAAGGTCCTAAAGGTATATCACCAATAAAAGTTGGTGAATCATCTTCAGGTGGTTTCATTATTAGATATTCCAATACATTAATGCCCAAAAACTTGATCCAAAGGCCAGCTCGTTAGCATTTTAGCTAACTTAAAATATTTTGCTGGATAATGATGGCATCGACCAGTGTGTTCATCTACTTGCAATAGCCCTAAAGGATATGGCATTTCAATTGAACGAACGAAACTAGTTTCTTCTTGGATTTCGAATGACAAAATATCGCCTCATTTCATTACTCGAGCAGTTGATTTGATAGGATCACGGTCAGAATCGGTAATGACAGCTTCCATGTCCATAGTGAACTCTTCAACTTTACTAAAATCTGGTAATGGAGTAGATGGACGAGTACCTTTACGAGCGCATCCATAACCCAATGGATAAGGAATTGATTTATCTGATGATATGACCAGAGGTTCGAACATGTAAAAGTTGTAAACATATTTTTCATCGGAATCAACTTGCTTCTTAACTGTTTGAGTTTCAATCCATTTAGGATAATACAATGAGAACCGATAAGGCAATGAGGTCTTAACATCAAAGTAAAAGTCAATGTAAGGTCCATTAGGATTGGTACAATAAAACCAATGATTGCCAGTACGCCCTTCAAATGGCATTTAAGACGGATTCTTACGGCTTCGTAACGTTGAAAAACTTAGAAACTAATTTTAACAAAAACACCGGAAACAGAAAATCAATATATCGATAGTTAGCTGTATTGGTAATCGAAATAGTAGTTTGCGGCGGAAATAGTGTATGAGTGATCGATAGTAATGCTGCTGGCCTTCCTGGGTAATCTATATTAAAGTTTTTCTTGCCTTTAATTGTGATTAATTTAATTTAATTGATTGGACTAATTTTAGGTAAATTAGAAATATTATCTATTGTGTTGTCTGTTTTCTTAAAGGCTACTTTTTTCGTTGTTTCATGTATTTAGTCTGTTTTCTGTTGCATACTCTTGCCACCTCACTTGTTTTGACTAACACGTTTTTTGACTTATTTTAGGTTTGTGAATTGTTTAATTGGTTTTGACTAGACAAAGTCTAAAAATGCATCCAACACACGCTAAAATCATTAAGAGACCAGGAGAAAAAGTAGATGAATTTGAGTCTACTATATCTCAGGTAAGTTGTTTTTATACAGTTAATTCAGCTTAACTTTACCGGTTTTGTGTAAAAAATGAGGTTTTAATTTCTTTATATCTCTTTCTCTTTCTCTTTTATCTAGGCTCTCCTTGAGATTGAGATGAATGGTGATCTGAAGGCTCAATTACGAGAGCTTCATATTGTTGGTGCTAAAGAAGTAGATGCTGAGGGTAGAAAAGCCATCATAGTTTGGATACCTCCACCTCAACTTAGAGCTTGGCAAAAACTCCATGTTCCAATAGTTCGTGAATTGGAAAAAAAATTCAGCGGTAAACCAGTTGTCTTCGTTGCTAAAAGAACAATTTTACCTAAGCCAACTAGGAAAGTACGATCAAAATCTAAGCAAAAGAGACCTAGAAGGTAAGTTTTACATTCCAATTCTTTAGTTTTTTCTGTTCATTTTCAAGCTCTTCAATGACTTATCCATTCTATTTCATTTCTTAGCCGAACTCTTACCGCAGTACACGATGCAATTCTTGCAGATGTTGTTTATCCTGCTGAAATAGTTGGAAAAAGAACTCGTATTTGTCTTGATGGAAGACGTTTATTCAAAATTCATTTAGACAAGACATTTCAAACCAATATAGAGCACAAAGTGAGTTGAATTCAATATGAGTTGACTTGCTTCAAATTTCATATATTTTGCTAATTGGTCTAAATATTTATCTAATTTTGATATTTTTCTCTTCTTTTCTAGACTGATACATTTTCTGCTATATACAAAAAACTTACTGGTAAAGAGGTGGAATTCGAATTTCCTGAGCCACTTTTTTGAGCAAAGATTAAAATAAAATTAATAATATTTAATCAATTATCGTCAATCATTTATTCGGTGATCTTGTCAGCAACTAATGTAACTGAGTGTATGTAACAGTAACTGAGAAGTTTTTGACTTTCAAACCACTACTTGTACAGGATATCTTCAAATTTTAGCTAGAAATTGACAATTTTTGGTATTTAAGAAAACGTTTATTAATAAATGTTTCATATAAGAGCCTATTGGATAACAAAATTTTCATCTCTTTTAAAGAAGTTATCAAAAAAATCATTCTATTAAAATAAAATTCAGGAAATTCTCAGGAACGATTGAAAAGCTATCTATAGTTTTGCCTTAATTTTACCAAATAACTTTTCCAACTGCATTGCGACAGCGATGTTTCCTTTAATCTTTAACTTTCCTGACATGAAAGCATTGGTTGCCTTGACCTCACCCTTTGCCATTTTATAAAATGTTTCTTCATCTGTAATCAAAGTTACATCTGGATTATCCACAGGATTCTCATTCTGGCTGACCGTTATGGGTCTACTTTCATGAGCGTCTACTATCCAATTTTTACCAGAAACTTGGAAAAGTAGAAGAGCATTGATTTGTTTCTTCAAATTATCATCGAGCAAGCCTTTGATTCCTTTGAAGACTCTATCAACTTTAGAACCATCTTTTGCATCTTTGACATCACCGAATTTTTCTGGAAGTTCTTCACCAACATAGTATTCATCAGGTAAAAAGAAGTCCAACATCAATTTTTCACCCTTGACCTCAGCATATTGATCAAAATCAGTAATACCCTCTTGTTTAAGTAAAGTTTCATCAACACAGAAGTTTCCAGTGAATTTTTCGGGAGATTTAGATAGAATGGCGTAAGCAGCATCAGCAAGTATTTCAGGTTTACGACAAACTTTTCTTATTTCAGGTCCATCAGTAATAACATTCATTGCAGCAGTCCAGACAGCAGTTTTAGGCCACAAGGCATTGACAGCAATTTTGTCATCACGGAACTCTTCAGACATTCCCAAAACACACATAGACATACCATATTTAGCCATGGTATAAGCAACATGAGGTTTAAACCATCTAGAGTTCATCACCAAAGGTGGACTTAAATTGAGGATATGGGCATGATCTGATTTCTTCAGGAATGGAATGGCAGATTTAGAAGTGACAAAAGTACCTCTGGTATTGATATTGTGCATCAAGTCGTATCTCTTCATGTCAACAGCTTCTGTGGAAGTCAAGTTAATAGCACTAGCATTATTGATAACAATGTCAAGTCCACCAAATTTAGCAACAGTCTTTTCAATGGCATCTTTAACTTGATCCTCGTATCTAATGTCAACCTGGAGAGGTAAACATTTTCCACCAGCTTCCTCAACTGAAATGAAATAAGAAAGCCTAGAGGTAACAAATCTATAGACTTGGACTTTTACCCTTAAGTATTGATTTTCAAAATAATCAAACCTTCTTTAGCTGCAGTATATATGGTCCCTGGTAATTTAGGATGAGGATCAACAGTTTTAGCAGCAATGGCTACATTACAACCATCTTTTGCCAATTTGAGGGCGATTGCCTTACCAATACCACGACTAGCACCGGTAATGAAAACTGTCCGACCTGCAAGTGCACTTTAAAACGAAAAATTGACTTTTATAAAGGAACTTCAATTGATTAAAATATGTTGAGGAACATACCCTGTGTTGATCATTGTGAAAATTTTGCTGGCTTCTGTCTTATAGATGAGCAAAGATGAGTATTACAACGCAAAGATGTTGGACTGTTAATGATAATTTGGATTTAGACACAAAACTAAATATAATCAATAGAATAGACAATAATCTTTAAATCACATCTTAGATTACAGGGTTTTACGACAAGAAACCAAAGATCAAATAAAACAAGTTTACATAACAACTTGTCAGGAAAAACTTTCAACTGAAGTCAATGGGAACTTATTTTGCACTTGCAGCCATAAAAAAACCCGCTTTATTCAATTTTAAAAAACATGCACAAAACGTTCATTTTGAATTAAAATTGATTTTATACGAATTTTTTTTCTCTTAAGAACAATACAAATCAAATTATTCAAAAAATATATTTATTTTTATAATCTTGCCTGAAAATCTGCATGAAATGCTGTAATTTTACAAAACTTATCATCTTAATATTAGTGCAATGTACTTATCCTTAGTTTTATCATCTTTGAACATTATCCTATTATGACATTAATTCCCAATTAGTCGTACTAACCTTTGTACATTAAATTATGATTATTCTGCTTAAAAGATGTCTGATGATCATTATAGCCGAAGAGTTAAATCACCTCTAAAAATGGACTTAAAAATGAAATCAACACAATATCATGATGAATGGTTCTATTTTGTCGATTTATTTGAACAATATACATTCTAATTAATGAATTAAATGTAGTTTCTAATGATACGCGACATAGCTCATTAATGATTCTTCATTCTGCTAATAATTCAGTTGACTAAATGATGTGAATACAAATCATCTTTGATCAGAGCTTTTTCAATGTTCCCTCAAGTTGCATCTTACATTTACATTTGCTTTATGAACGCTATTACTCATATCATCAACAATAAGCTTGTTTTGTTTTCTCAATCAGTGAACAAAAAAGAGTTTTAATCTAAATGATTGAAAACCAATTTTGACAATCATCTATTAACCTTCACTGACAAGTAACACAATCAAGATCATTCCTGTCTCTTCTAATCAACAACATCTTCTATTTTACCCTTTGATTGTGATCATTTTCCCTCTACTGGCTGTTGACTCTTTACCTTCACTCTGCACTTCACGCTTCTGTGGATAAACATGGACAAACTATAATTAAGTAAACAATGCTCAATCAAGTTGAATCTTAATAATTGTTCCACTTTTTGTTTTCACATTCATTATTATTCGTGTTACATTATTATCAATCAAGGTCAATCTGGAAAAGATCATTCGATAATCAATGAAATCGAATCAAAGTTGTTCAATTATCAAGCCATGCTACTTGCGGTTTACACCAACGGAATACATTTTTCTTCCCTGTTTTCTGTCCATTATACTTCACATTGAACAATTATACGCGTGTTAATTAAAATGGTGAATAGGTCAATCAGTATCAATTTGAACTTATCGATTTTTCCTGTAATATTTTAACCTTTTACTTCCATTTCAAATCCAGACATGAAGATATGGATCACCATTCGCTGGTCTCAATCAAACACTGCATTGAAACAACTCGCCTATTCAGCTTATTCCCAGATTTGGCTATGGCCTATTTGCATCGAAGTTATCGCTAAATTATAAAGTAATTTGACAATAGCTATTAGCTTCAACTGGCAGATATGATATACATTATGGAAAATACGAGTTATCGATGGTTGATTTTTGAAAGCTGCTGATGAATATTACGATCTTCTCTTTTCTGTTTATGGTCAAGTCAAACACAGTCTAAGGATCAAATGGCGATGATCAACTAAATCAACTTTAAATTTACCTTATGACTTTTTTCCAGTAAAAAAAGATGTCTAAAGAATAGGCGCATCCGATGAAAATGTAAGCAAATACAAGCAATTTTACTTCATCATTGTTTTGATAGCAATGTAATTATTTGGAAAAACACATTTCCTTATTCTAAATCACAAAATAATCTTGGTTTATTTATCCATTTTTTTTCAGTAAACTGTCCATAATCACTATTAAATATCTTGGCTCGGTTCAGTTGACAATACGGAAATGCTATCCATCATGGGCACTGATTACAAATGTATTCAAATATCATTCCGATCATAAAGAAAACAAATAACGCATTTGTTGAAACAATTATTAATACATTCAATGTGACTATTGCAACCAAATGGATCAGGCGTTAACCATTTAGTTACATTATATTACCATTAAATTAGCCAACATTTTGCATGTCTAATGAAATTAATAGAGATACAATTTACATTTTGGTAATTACCTGAGAAATAGTAAATTGATTCTATTTGCCTAAATTATGAGCAATATTTGTTTTCAACAATAAGTGTAAACTGGTGTGATTCCAACAATCATAAACCCAAAAGAAAAACCCAATTCCAAATAGCCGTTCAAATGGTGATGTATTTAGGTGATGGACATTAATTGTCTTGGTGTTCACTGGACTCGATTTGGTGATTGAACATGGAACCAGGAGAAAGTGAGGTCAATAATCGCTGTTACCCATAACCAGTAAAAGTGTTTAAAGTTAAAGATCTAAAAATATCAATTGAAATCATTGTTAAATGACATGTAAATTTTGCTCATCGGCTCGTAGAAAGGGTCAACAAGCCGAATGTGTGTTTCCCGAAAAACCTTGGCAAATCCCGAATAGTGAAGATGGTGCTAATGATAAAGGTATTTAGTATATTTGACTGTAATATTTCCAGGTAATTATGCTTTATAGCTTTATGCTTGAAATAATGTTACATATTTGTTTTTGCCTTTCCTTACTGTATACTGTATACTCTTATTATTATATTTGTATAATTTCATCTTGTTATTTCACGTTAAACTTTCAGGTTTCCCTTTTGCACGTTACGCTTTGGTGAAAGTTGTTGTTACAATTCATTTTAACGCCCTTAACAAGATGAAAGAAGCTTCAACCAGAAAATGTATCAAGATATGAAAACATAGGAGGAGAAACGAAAGAAAGGTATCAAGATAACGGCAATATGACGACTATAATGATACATAAATGAGTGTTTTTGGTTCCCTTAAGCCTAAAAATTGGACTCCGCCTGATTTAAGAAGAAAATTCATTGACTTGGAAAGACAGTGAAACAGAAAGAGAAAGACAACTTGCTGAAAGTTGACGAAACTTGGAGTAAGCCTTTCTTTCCTGATCATTTGATAATTGTCGACATTCAAGAAAATCCATATAATCTATCCATAAGCTTGTTGACCATCAATCGGTTTTGTTGTTTTTCTCTCTCTCGTTCATTCTGCAGTTTCAATAATCAGTAAGTAAATTCAACATCATAGTAACTTGTACACGATTCGAACTCAACTCAACTCACCTACTCTTATTGATAAAATTGTTTTCTTGTTCTTTCTTCACTGTTTCAACAACTAGTTTCAATATGACGGCAAATCGGAATTTAATATCTTGTGCTTTGTGGTCTTTTTACTCCCTTTTATTGGTACTTCAACCATCTTCAGTCTTTTCATCATCTTCTTCAGGTTACTCATCTCACTCAAATAATGACAAAGATTTGGTCTCAGCACCATCAGCTTATGCTAAGCAAGTAAAACGTGATGATCAACCCAAATTTTCAATTGGTCTGGGTACTCTGTCACCCTCATATACCCAAAAGCTTGGACCTGATGGCAAAACAATGTTGGACTTTAATACCGATAAAAACGGTTTCTCTTATTCAATCAGCAATGTTAACCATCAATCCAGTTTAACCCAATCTGGTAGCGAAAACAAAGCAACCAAAGTAAGTCCAATCATTATTATTCCCAAAGTCACAATCAACATTGCCCATTGCTAACCCAACCTAACCCAATTGTTTACCCAAATCATCTTACGTTAGGATTCTTAGTTTTATGCTTTTGTTTTCAATTGTCTCGTCTTGAGATTTCAATCTTAAAATGCTGGAAGTATAACCTTACTATTTTAAAATCAAAGCCATCTAACTTAAGAACATTCAGAATTTCTATCTTACCTTCATCTCTAATTGTAGTTTTATTGCATGTGTACAATCAGATATTCAGATTCTAATCACCCGATTAATTTGTCAAAATTGAAATTCAACCTTTTCTATGACCTACTCATCGAATGACTAACTTGATTGATAGTGAAAGCAAAGGTTAACATTTTTCTAGAATAATAGTTTCATTTGACCTATCATAATGTCTACTTGACATGCATTCTAATTAGAACAGCTAAATAGAAAGTTTATTATTAAAAATTGATTATTCAAAATTAATTAGTTCATTAGATTAATAACAATAACCATTGCGTTGTAAAACAATATATTCATTACCATTCATATTCAACAAAATTTGAATGAGAAAATCTTTACACGCTTTACAATGGGAATGAACACATTGTACTAAAATTGAAAACGCTTTAATTGTTATTAAGACAATTCATTTTGATTTATTTAACCAGCATTCAATTAAATTGATAGAGTTCACTCAATCATTGAGGAACAAAGATTTTCAAATTCATAGACAAACAAACAAACTGAATGCATCCATTTCAGCCCAAATTTAATTAGTAATGTTTGAAGATTGAGTGTTTACAGCTAATCGATTAGTTGATTATTTGATTGCAATTTCACCCAAATATTAAAATGCTTCTTTATATGCTTTACAAGTCTTAATAATGAGTTTACTGACTATAATTAGTGTTCACTAATTAGTATCTACATTATTGATTGATAGAGAGATGGTGTAATGAATTTAGTGAAGATTACCTTCTATTTATTAATTGATTAACAGTGAATGAGCATCAGTAAATTACAATTATCTGACATGATCGGCTTATTATCAATATCGTTTTAGCCTGACATGAAGCGTTGAAACAACCGGATAAAGAAGTGATAAATTTTCATCCAAGCAAGAATCAAGAATACATAATCATGGTCTCGGTAAAGTTTAAAGACAATTGAAATTTTCAGGTCACCGGATTCACTAATAATAATTTGGGTGTGCTTTTGTTTATATTTCTTGGTCCTAATGTCACTCCTTATTTCCCACTTTCTCACCTCTTTTTGTTTCAGGCCTTTTTCATGCATTTGTTTCATTTTCAGGTTTATCATGATATTACATTAATATGATGATCAACATCTTCTCCTTTTCATTTCACTTTCAGGTCATTCTTGTTTAGAGAGAAACTTAATTTTACATTTCAAGCAATGATAATTGTTATGTAGATTAACAAGAGAAACAGTTGACAACAAACGGTCAACAAATTTCACTATTAACACCAATAATACGACCAAACTATCAACATGATCATTTTTCCCTCCAATTATTATACATGATAAATGTCAAGCTTGAAAAATTTTATCAACTCATTCAATTATTAATTTTAATCTCTTTTCATTTTGCGCTTTGTTGCTACCTTGCTCAGGATCCAGGACATATTGATCAAAACTTGAAAAATCACAATCTTAATCCATACAACTATTATCAGGTGGGTGAACTAATTAAAATTGACGATTCAGTGGTTGACTCTTATTCAATATTAACCATTATTACCAAGTTAAATCAGTTAAACTTCCTGCTGTTTCATTTTCAATAGATATCAACATGATTTCATTAAATTGCAAGTTGATACATTAGCTTGTCTCTGTTGAACCAAAGACAATATCAGGTCATGTTTATCTTGTCAATTTGGTAATAAGGTTAAAAAATTGATATTTAGAAGTGAATGTGAAAGTTGAATTAAAAATCTTGAATTTACAATCAATTTATTGACGTTTAATTTATTTTGATACACAGAACCCAGGATCACCCAATATCAATGTCTACCACCAACAAGGCTATTCAGCTTATCCTCAACAAGTTAACGCTTTAGCTCAAATGTATGGTGCAGGAGCCCCTGGTTTTAACCAGCCCTCTGGTCCTGGTCTATTACCCTTCTCAAGTCCAGGTCAACAAGGCGGTCAATACTATCCAGGCCAACCTGGAGGTTATCCCGGAGGATTGGGATCAAACGGTTTCTTCCAACCCAATAATGGTTACACATCAAACATTTCCCCAAATCAAGGAAACAATTCACCAACCACAGCCGCCTCTTCAACTAAACCTGAAGCCAAGGAGGATGCAAAATCTTCAAGTGAAACCACAACATCATCTCCTTCCTCTGGTCAATTAAACACTTTACCCGGTGGAATTTTCAACTATGGATTCAGTCAAAACCACGGTATGGCACCCCAAGGACCAGTTAACTATCCAATGAATTATCCCATTAATCCATATTTCGGAGCTTCTGGTGGACCAGCAAATCAAGCCAATGTTAATGGTGTAACATCAACAGCTATTAATCACGGCTCTGGAGCTAATCCAGCCCTTGGCTCTGGTCCTGCCGGTATGAATGGCATGTACGGCTCACCATATGGTTTTGGTATGGATCCTTACTCAATGGCAGCTATGTCAGGTTATGGCGGTGGACCTAGTGATGCTTACAGTGGCTATGGTGGTTATGGTGGTAATGGCGGTTTAGGAGGATCAGGAATGATGGGCTCAGCTAGCTCACCTTATGCATCTCTTTTCCCTTTCCTTTAAATTAGTTAACTTTTACCCACCTTGATAAAGTAACTCACCTTTATGCTGATCTTTCTCTCCTCTCTAAAAATTCATCTCATCACAATTGCATCCATTTCAATTTAGATGATTTAAAGTATACTTTTCATTGACTTTAATTCTTCTTCATCCACTAATTAATTTTCATTTGTATTCTATCATAATCTGCTACTTGTTTACCTCTAATTGAATTTTATAAATTTGACCAAAATCTATTTAAGTTTTCTCTGGTTTCAAATTTTTTATTAAAACAATCTTTTCCTAAACAAATATCATTTGGAGTTTGATTTAAAAAAATGGCAGAACCGAGTTATGGATTTCTGCAACATTGTCATTAATTTACAAATCTTGAAATGGTCAACTTATCAATAGTGTTTAAAATGTCAACAGTGAGGGGAATTACTGCAAATCAATCAAAAGTTGTGTCAATATCTATCAACAATGCAATATTTATGTTGTGCGAAAAGTTAGAAACCTTTCATTACGAGGCTTAATCAATTAAAATTAATGTTCTACCAAAACTACACTGTTAGACAGGCATGGAAAACGATAAGTGATAATTTAGTGATCGATCGATGTTTGAACAGATGCACCATTGACGCATCCCTAACAATCTATAATATAAAAGACAAAATTTCAAATCGAAAGTTATCATTAACGTTTCTAAATAGATCTTTGAAAGTTTGAATTGAATTGAAAGTTAAATTTTCCATCATCAACATGAACTACAAATTTTGTCTCGTTATTTTAATCATCGTGAGTTTGATCATCAACGCTCAAGCTGGAAGAGGTTTCAATAGTCAGTCTGGAAACTCAGGTTCAGGTGGTCCTCCTTCTCAACCAGGAGGCTCTAATGGCGAATCAATGGGAATGCCAGGAAATTCAGGTAAGAACTAACAGTAATCACTTGATCTAAACAGTTTGTTTTTAAATTGCGTACTCTCTTTGAATTAAAAGGAGGTTCCTCATCCAACTCTGGTGGTGGAATGCCTCAAATGCAGGGTTCCTCTTCTGGTTCACAATCGGGCTCCGGTTCAAGCTCTGGTTCAAGCTCTGGTTCAGGTTCTGGTTCAGGTTCTGGTTCAGGTTCTGGTTCAAGTTCTGGACAAGGAAGGCAAAGAGGACAAAGGGGACAGTCTGGTCGAGGTCGAGGTGGAAATACGAGCGGCAAATGAAGCAGTTGAAATCTCTGAACAAAATGAACAGTTTTTAAGGCTCCTGTAACATTTAAGATGTAATACATGACATATTAAATCTAAGATGAATAATGAAAATAATGTAGTCTTTATTTCGATCAGTGAATGTTGCCATTTATTTTAAAAGTGATTTTTTTACAAATTGACGTTTTAGTCATGAAAATTTGAGGGCAAATGTAAATAAGAGATGATATTGAAGTATTGCCTTTTTAAAATAATCAGTAAATCGCTAGAGAATAGTTCCAAGGTATGAAATTGATTACCCTTGTTAAATTATGAGAAATATAAAAACCATCAAATACTAATGAGTAAAAAGTAATAGTAATAATGATAATATTAGAATAATGTTGAATGGTGGTTGTTTGATGAAGATGAAAATGTGATTAAAATAACAATGATGATTTAAGATGAGATCAAGTAAAAGAATGTTTGAAATCGTAAAGCCAATTATAAAGATTCCATGATTGCTGTGAAAGGAGGTAGAATGGATTTGCTTTTTGTTGTATCTGGTTTTCTGGTAGGAAGAGTTTTCAGAGTTTCACTACATTGAGTAGAGTTTTCTTTGTACTCAGCACAGATGAGTTCTAAAACATCAGCAGCTATACCATGGATTAAACCAGCATAGAAATTGATTGATTCTCGGTTGCAAGTTGATTTTTGTCGACGTAGATTGGCGACAACACATCTTTTGAATTTGTAAAATGAGCTAAATTAGAGAATAAAAGATTGAAAGAAAAATTATTTAGAGTTTAACAATTTATAAACAACTGTCTCTCCTTTGATTGACTTTGATTTGTCGAAAGCAACAAGAGCAGTTAATTTGATAAACACAACTTACCAGCAAACATATGGAATTTTCTTGTTTGCATCTTCACTTTCTTGAATGCCGTACAGATGATCAATGTAAGTATCCATGCATTTGTGTCCTTTTTCAAGATCAGAATTACCACATTTACCATGTTGAACAATTGCTGATCCACCCTTTTTACAGTATTTCTTTTGTTGATTTGCAATACCAAAGACGAGAAGATTGGTAACTTGACGAGGGAAAGCAGCTAAGCACCGACGAGAGTAATCTTTAATGCACTTTTCAGTTTCTCTGGCCAGACTGAATGAGAATGGACACCGAGATAAGAGAAATGAGTAAAAAGGATAAACATTTACTTTTTTAAACAGTTACCTGCAATAATTAGCAAGTCCTTCCTCAGTTTCAGGGAAACCAACTGAGGTTCTGTCTCCAAATAAGAAAAGTCTTTGAGCACAAGTGTCAACCTTTGCATCTTCAGATTTTTTACACTTCGAAGCAAAAACCAAGTCTATTTCAGAAGAAACACAAACATCAATTAACAAAATGGAACGAGTTTTAAGGAAGACGAAGTAAGGAAACGAGTAAGATTGATCAGGCAGGTTTGAAAAAGAGTGGGAAAATGAAAGATTTAAAATACTCACCTGAAGAAATAAGAACGCAAGTTATTGTGAAGATTAAATATTTCATTTTGAAACAAAAACAGTGATCCTGAGACGAAGAGAAAACACGATAAACAATGGAAGAAGAGTGAAACAAAGGAGATGACACAAGGGTTAAACTTTGATTTCTATTGTCTGTTACTTAAAAATGAACGGTTAGTAAACACTTTTCTTATCTATTTGTAACTTACAGTTGAAATTAAATTAATTTGTTTCCAATGGTGAAGTTATATTTATATTGAAAACATATAAGAAGGAGGAGGAAGGAGTTTGATGTTTGACCACAACCTCTTTATCATGAAAATAACAAAACCATCCATCCGATTGCAAAGAAACAGAGCTTCCTACCAGGATGACGCTCAGATCTTTCGGAGGGAGGTAAAGTTTATACATCATCATGAACACAAAGACAAAAAGTAGATTTAAGAAGAAGAGAAAGAGAGTTAAAAAAAGAAAGATACTAATGATGATGAAAAAGCCAGAGAAAGCGATGTACCTAACACAGTTTCTTTTGACATTTTCCTTAATCGAAAGAAAAAGGTTAGACAGAAAAAATAATCTCCCTTTCTCTCTGTCTCCCTTCTGTTTCATTTTCCTGATTCTCACTCTTAATCACTTCATTGAAAAGCCAAATTTACACTAATTTAGCACGAAATTCAAGGTCTAGGTTGAGAGTCCAAATTCATTTAATATCGTTTATCTTTTACATTTTCTGGTCAAGCAACTTTCTCACTTTTTTTGTTATTCATGTTGTTTTCACTATTTTTATTTATTTTCATCTCAGCCATTCTTGATTGGTCAATAAATAAATGAAAAATATTTACACAGGAATTACGAAAAAACAAGTTTTCTTTTTTTTCTATCACCAAAATTGATCATGATTGTATTTTTGTACTGAAATTTAGTAGATAACCATAGAAGTTACATTCAATCAAATTATGGTTTGAATTAGAAAATTGTTCAAAACAAAAAAGCTGGGGATTCTTTTGACTATTGGTGATCAAAACAATGAGATCATGATGATTAGTAAGTAAAATTTAAATCTTTATTGTTTGTCCACTTCCATTGAAAAGTCATTAAAGGTCGAAGCTCTTGTTGACTCGATCTTCGGTTGCTAAAGTTAGTTCGATGGTGTTCATATTGAAAGTATGATTTATTATTCGTGGTTAAATTTTTTTTTCGGCTTTTATTTAACATTAAACCTGATCGATTAATCGTTGGATATTTCAGTTGCTATTTTTAACTTTTCAAAGTTAGCGGGTCTCAACAACTTTATTTGTTTTCCTTGCCATTGTTTTTATTTTGGCGAGATTTTGAAAGATTTTATCAATGTTAATGTTAATTATTTATCATCTATCAATAATTTACCAAGGTTAATATACTTTTGTGTTACTAAATTTAAATTTTTATTTATACTTTGTAGTGAATCTCAGCCATTTCGTGTTTTTTCTTGTTCTGTTTACAATAGGTTAATATGGTTTTGGCAAGGTGATTCAACGCTTCTTTTATTCCTGTAACAGTAAATATAAATCTGATTATCAAAATCTATGATTACAATTTATTTTTTCAATTTTATTTTTTCCAGAAGTGATTACAACGATCAATCATGATTCCTATTCTTGGTGACTTCCAATAAAGCTGAAATTCAGATCATACGATGTCTTGGTGGCAACCAAAAATTCAACCTCAACTTGGATTGCAAATGAATATTGGATGAAATTAACCAAAAAGTCCCATCTGTTGGTGCCTTTCGATTTAAATAATTACAATGTCCTCTGATGGCAAGTTAATTTCTTGAAGATTTCGTCTATGTTGGTGAAAATACGTGTGTTGCTTGGAATTGATCGATTTTTAATGGTGAATGAAGGATAGCAAGACTAAAATAGCTGCAAGGTAAATATTTAAATACAAATGTTAGTTGACTATTATGACACGATAATTGCTATTATCGTTAATTCATGAATCAACTGATTCTTACTATTATACTTGTTATAATCACTACAATACTATAATTATTGCGTGCAAAGTCAACCGTATTAGCAGTTGAAAAAGAGTTCTCCGTCGACCTTGACATAATTTGATCTGCAATCGTCGCTTGATGAGACTTAATTTATTTCTCATTTGAATTCGATTATATGATTAGAGTAATTCATCTTAATTACTCGATGATTGTCAGAAGTAAAAAAATGAGTTAAAAGTTAGAAAGTATCAACATTAACTATACAATGAAAGCAACCCCATCAATATTTCATTTCTAATCGTTTTTTGTTTTCTTTCATTTCATTGTAGCTTCAGCGAAAGTCACAGCGAAGTCCAATGCCGATTTCAATTGTTTTTCTGGTTATGTCCAACGTCCATGGTATTGAACAATGTAAACTCAAGACTGATGGATGATCTCATCATAAATGAAGCCAATGACTTCAAATACAGATATCTGTATCCCTGAGGCTACCAGCCATAATATATAAAAGTCTGAAGCTGATGTCCTTTATAATTGCTTATACTATAGTATTAATTACTCATATTTACACAGACCTAGGTCACTGAGAGAGAGAGTCCTAATCAGTTGAAAATTTCTGTTCAGCCAATGGAGTCCAATTTGGAAAGATCAAGATGTCCATCAAGAAGATACTTTCAAAAATGGTTAAATGATAATCCCAAGCCATGGCAAAAGATGGATTCAACGATAAAATTAATTTAATTTGGATTCCATTGCAATTTTGAAGATGTTTTGCCACAAAAATCCTTCCGCTGTCACCAACTCAAGGCTATTGTCCACATACATCAGAGGGAAGGGCAAGGTTAGATTCTGGATCCAGATAAATATTGAAATGTTAAAGATTCATTGATGCATTCCTATTCAACATTGACAAATGTCCATGTGAAATCATGGTCATCAGCCCATCATTTTGGTCTCTTCTTTTCAATGTTATTTTCAAATGTTAAAGTTGAATTAGTTGAATTTTACCTTATTTTAGCATCAAATTGTAAATTAATTAACAAATTGTGTCTAATGGTCAAGGATTCAATAAAAAAAAGTGTTTCTCATAAAGCTGCCAGTTTAAAGAGGTTTACAAGTTTCGCTCACTTATTAATTTCACTTTTGATTTATTAATCGTTAATGGGTAGACCTTGAGTATTGATCTTGATAGATTGATTTACTACAACCAAATTTGATTCCTAATCTGTTTTGTTTGTTTTTGTTACTATTTAATTAAATTTAATGAATTAATAGGTTTAAAACGGTAGCTAGGACCATTATTATATCACAAAATGTTTAAATAATTGCTTGAGATCATGCACTTTGTAAGCGCACTAATCAAGTCTGGTTTACAATAAGATAATCATTTAACCAAAGGCAATGTCATTGAATCATGAACTGGATGAACAAGAAAATCAATTCCTTTCTCATTCAACTCTTCAGTCAAGACAAAAATTGGTTTGACTATTCACTCCTGTTATCATTTATCATTGTCCAGCCTGCGTTGAACCTTGACATGAAAGTTACAGCTTCAACACCGAAATAATCATGTTAAATCAAATAGTTATCGATACACTTTTATCATTCAAACCATAAATATAATGTCATTAATTGGCCGATAAAAGTACATCATAAAGCCTCGGCCAATGGGTTAAAGAAAGGGTGAAATTTTGATATTTAGTTTTGTTCATCTGTGACTTCATTGCAATGATGACTTCAATGATGACTTCAAAATCAACAATCAAATGTAATTTAATTTTTACTTCCCTCAAAGGGCACAAAGTCATTTATCGTAAATCATTCAATTATTTCATCGTTACCCTAAACTAGTGATCATTTACAATCTTTTAAAACTAAGTTGCTATTTTTATTCTGAACCATCTTGTGGCCTTAACTATAATTCAAATTGTTTTGTAAAAAAGTGCAAAAACTTAATGATTACTTCCAATCCTTCAAGCTATTTTTCAGTTACTTAATCGTTTTATGATTTTTCTCAATCATTACATGAAATAAATTGCAATTTATGTAATTTTCAATGCATTTCCTATGGCAATCTATTTTTCAATTTTAACAGTCGGTTGATTCTTTCATGTACAATCTTCAGATTGATTAAACGATATTAACCATGGAAATATCCCAATTAATTGTGGTCATGAATACATGGCTCCAATATTGATACAAAAATTGATCAAAGTTTAAATTCTGGTGACAATATTTTGCTACAATGTTTTGAATGTTGACTGTTTTCAATCTTACCAGTTTGACATCGCACTACGAGTTGTTGACAAAAATTGGCTTTCGTGTCAATTTGATCTTGATGAAGATTACTTGCTTGATTGTATTGAGGAAATATTTAAAGATAAGGAAATGGAGCTATTTCAGATGATATGAGAAACTGCAATAGTTTATTTGAAGCAATCAAATTGATTGAAAACAAATCGAGTCAAATAATAATTTATCTGTATCTTGAATAGTTACTATTGTATTTTTAAACCATCTTATGCCCTTCAATTACTAATTTGTTGTTGTTATACAGTTAATTAATGATTACTTCCAATCCTCCAAGCTATACATTTTCATGCACTCAATCGCTTCACAACTTTTCTAATATTTTCCAATTTTACTTGAACTTTCAAGATCTATTCATTATCAGATTGTCAATGAAATCCATCAACTTATTTACAATTAAAAAACAGGTGCATTATATTATGATATTTGTTATTATAACGTTTATTATTGCTATGGTTAAGTCAGTTTAATTGTTTGTGCAGTGATTTCAAGACTGAAAAATTATTCAAAGAAATCAATAATTCATGCATATATTTTGATATAACTAACTAAGTTTCAATTAAATGAGTTGGATTGAAGTAATGTAATGATATTAGTTTTAATGTTTTAAGAAAAGAATCAATCTTCGGGTCATTGGGAATTGGAATTGAAAGTAAAGTTTAAGCCTGAAGCAGTAAAGTTAATTCACTAAAAAATTTCTTCGAAGTCTATGAGTAAACTCGAGTCTAGGAAAAGGGACATTTTTATTGCAGAACCTAATACAATTTAATAAATTTAAATATTTAATAAATTAACCGGTTAAATAATCAGCTGAGCAAGTTAGCGCATCTATTTTACGCTCTTTGTTGCCTAAGAGAGCTTTAAAGCTTCCATTTCCACTTCCAATGAATGGTATTAGATGTCTTCAGCTTTTTCCTCTCTTATGGTTGCAACGTTATTCTGCTAATCACTCGTCGTCTTTTTCACCAACTCAGTCTTTATTAACTTGTGAAGCTATCAATAAACCATCAATACAATCTAAATCAGTGTCATCATTGGGATCCCCATCAATATCTTCAGGTAATCTAAACATGGAGAACATTCCAGAGGTTGACATTGATGGTAGAGGTAAATTTAAGTACATTCAAATCAAAGTCAAAGATGACTCTGGTAATGAAAAATTGATAATACGTGGTCATCGAGATGCCGGCTATCATGCTGATATCTTGGAACGAGTCCAATCTCACTATCCTAACCTTAGGTGTGATTGTCCTGGCGGTGGAAGAATTCTTCATGAGCCTGATAAAAAGAAAATATTGGTCTATGGTTATTCAATGGTAATAAACATGTGTTATGCATTCAACCTTTCAGCCAAGTTTCGTCTTTACTGTCACCCGCTTGCAATTCTTACCTTATTTCAATATTTGCCTTACTTGATTTCACATGATCTTTCACATTTGTCTTTTTGTTTGTCTCATAACTAATCTTTTTTGTTTCTTTTGAACAGGGTTTTGGTAGAGGAGATCACGAAGTAACCGTTGCTATATTGAAGAAACATTATCCTGATTATAATATTGAATGGAATAACGAAGGCTACTGAATTAGGTGACTAATTAAATCATACACTATGACTAAATGAAACTGAGCTGGCCAAATTTTGTAGTGAAGCTATCGGTTAAAACTCGCGCTTAGTTTGACCTTACTTTCCTGTATTCGTTCAAATATAAAATATATTTAATTCAGGTTAGATTCTGTCTAGTCTTTACCATTGATTCATTACAACAAAATAGGAATTTGAGATCCATTCAAAATTTTACTTTATCTCTTTTCGTTATTTTCTATGCTGTCAATTCACTCAGTTAGCTTATAATCCGAGCATTTTCTGTCTCTCTCCATATGTTTACTAATTAATTTTTCAATTTTTTCATCTATCTAGTATAACCAATGTTCACTATCACAAGACAAGAATTTGAGAAAGATTTAGAGCAGTTTTTGGAAATTTCAAGGGGAACATCTGAGCCATGGGAAGGAGTAGAGGCAAATAACCCTTCTGGTTACGTTTATGCTGCATATTCAATGACAAAGGTTTTAAAGAATGATTCCAATATCGATGAAAAATGCGCTTCAACAGAAAAAGATGATGATCAACAAGCCGTTTGTACAAATGATAGCGTGATTGTAAAATTTAATTATCATATTATATATGATGAAAGCTTTTCCGTTCCTATTCTATATTTTCAAGCTTTTCACTCAAACGGATCTCTTTTGAAAATAGAAGAAATTTGGAAAATGATACCTAAAGATTACCTCGGGAATTATTCGCCAGAATTAGAAGAACGCTTTGAAATGCTCAGCTCAATTGTTTCTCCAACTGAACATCCGTACCTTGGTGCGCCCTATTATAAATTCCATCCTTGTCAAACATCTTCTCTTCTGTACAATGCATTTAAAAGTTCAGAAGAATCGCCAGGAAAAAAGTTCAATTCTATAATATGTTGGTTATCAACTATAGCACCTTTAGTTGGCTTAACTCTTGACCCTTTTTATGCTATAGCTTTACAAAAAAATAATGTACAGGTTAGTGAATGAACATAATTGTTTTTATACTTATTTATTACCAGGGCTTTTCACATTTTATGCCTTTCGTCTATCTTATGCATATGCTTTTAGGCATAAAAGATAAACCTAAGAAAAGTCCATTGATTTTCAATGGGAAAAATTATCAACAAGATTGGTCAAAAAAAAGGCGACTATCTTTTATTTAGGACAGATTAAGGTTGATAAAATTGAAAAAAGAAAGAGAAAAGAAAGGGAAAAGATAGACGAAAGGCATAAAATTTATGCCTTTTTGATTAAAAAATGATTTAATGCCTTTTGAAAAGCCCTGGTTATTACGCTAATTTTCAGCTTTCAACAATTTTTTACAATAAATTGAGAAAAAAATCACATCTGTTTGACTTATTTAATGTATAGTTTTTATCAACAACAGAAAGTAAATAGTAAACTAATTCGATATCATGATTGTTGAACTTCGTACTTTACAATCTCTTTTATGGTTAAATAGGTAACCAAATCAGATATGGAAGATGTCAGTTGATTAAGAGTATCTTCAATAAGATTAGATTTCTTGAAAATATATCATAGAACTATTATATGTATTTTTCACGCTAAGATTCCAAGATCGATTCATGATTTAAACCATAACTTATTTGGTTAATTGCTTCAAAGGATAATAGTAAAGAAGCAAATCTGTAGTCCATGATTCACAGTGTAAAGAGCTGATGAATTCTGACATTTACAGTTTTTAGCGAGTCATAGGGCCAGGTTATCAAGTTAAACAGTCTTATAAGTTGATTTAGAATGTTGTAAAAATCGTGTAAAAGCGATGAATAAAAATTTCAGAAAGATATTCTTGAGATGGTTAATGCTCATTTTAGAGAACCATTTTTTAGTGTGCTTGGGGCAAGATTAATCTCGTCTTTCTGCAGGCATCAGGAGGACAATCAACGGGAACCATGGATGATGGTTCAAAGCACAAATAAATAGAGTCAATTAACTGTTTGCCCTTTTTAGTTATGCACCTTATCGAAATGCGTTTACCAAGTTTACTTGAAGTAGCATTATGTATTTGTTCAAGAGTATACGCTGGACCAGTAAGAGGAGTTGGTACAATATTATTTTCACTGAGCCATGATTGAATAGGATATTTCTTGAATAAAGTAATCGTAGTGTTGAAATAATTGATCAATCCTCCAGAGTGAGCTAAGGTTGAACAAGTTCCATGTTTGTCCCACTCATGTTTCCATAGACTGTCTTTATCCCGATTTGATAATTGGTTAGGCCAATCCTCCTGAAAATGAACAAAAAATATAAAACAAAGATTGAAGAAGGTTACAAAAAATAGGGAGAAAATATTTCAGCAAAGTCAGAATTAGATATAGTGAGAAATCAGGAAAAAATCAGGATAGACATGAACTTACGTCTAAATCTGGTAAAATTGGGGTCAAATCTGTTTTAGTAAAGCCCCATGTACGACAGCAAAACTCAGGCCCCTCAGAACCATTGGTCCAACTAGGCCAGAGACCGTGAATATCCCAATTTTCTGTAGAGTTGACACACTTTTTGGCAAAACAAAAGGTCGGTGTCCAACGGATGGCCAATAAGTTATAATCGTATTTGGGAGATTTACAGGCAAGAATGGAGGGTTCAATATATCTATACTTGTAATTTACACAGAATGAAATTATCCAAAAGATGCTAAAAATGATGAAAAAACCACCAAGGACTAAGGCAAGTCTGTGTAAATATTGTTGTTGCCTTACGCGCCTAGGCGAAAGAAGCGATTCACGATCGGTGAGGAATGGCATTTCAACTACTGATCAAAATAACTCGAAATAAATTTAGAAAGAAATGAACGCTGGAGTGTTCCGTTAAATGATGAACTATGATAAAAGCGTTATGTTGTCATGAATTTATCACCAACTCAAACTGCAAAAAAAAGACAACAAAACAAAACTGACAGGAATTGATGTCATGGTAACAGTTTGTAGTTTGTAACAAAATTATTCTGTATTCCTTTAAGAAACTTGAAGAAATAAAACTTGAAACTTATTTATCTCCTCATAAGATTAGACGAAAAACCAAACCAAATAAACTAGATGCATTAGCATTTATAAACTTATCCATTTATCAACTCACAAACAATAGATAGTCATTTTTAAGTTGATTAAATTTTACTAATGAGCGCCCATACGAGATAATTTAGATTTTACAAATACTTTATAATCTGTCAGATTTTAGTCAATTTAAAGATAAATATTGAAATAGGCCAAAAATCGCTAAATAACTATTCAAGCCTAGATGAATTGATTATTGGCCTTTCATTTATAGTCATATTAAGAAAATGATTATTGACAGCAAACATTGATTATAAATGTAAGTCATTATTTTATTATATTTTGTGGATTGCTGATTAACGATGATTTGTTTTAGTTTACTTTTGATTTTGAAACAATTTATCCATTCTTTTCATTTTTTTAATGATTCCATTCTGTGTTGTATCTAAATTTTAAAGCTTCAGAGATTTACAAATTGATACAAAATGGTAATTGAATCATCTTCACTTTATCCATTCCCTTCTTTCTTTTACATTGCGCGCCTAATATTTGTATACACGAATAGTTTTGTTAAAATAAGTGGTGGTGGTGCTATTCACAGAGAAATAGTGAAAAGTAATACTAACACATGAATGTTGGGTTTTTTTGTTGTAATTTAATTGTATTTTTCTCTATTTAAATACTTAGAATTGATTTAACTATTATTTGCTCTTGTGCCAATGTATACCATTGTCAAAGAGATCCACAGTTCAACCACTGTGGAACACTCTATATACTGTCACTTTTTTAGCTTCAAAGAAAAAAATTTAGTGATAGCGTCTTTTAACCAGCTTAAGGTTTATCGGTTGGTTGGTGAGGAAAAAACTGATGTTTCGAATCAAAACCAAGAGATTGGTTCACCATCTATTGATACTGACGGTGAAAAATTAAACAAAGAAGACAATGTTAAAGTCAAATTAGAGTGTCTAAAAACCATTCCTTTATACAGCGAGATATGTTGTCTTAAAAGTATTAAATTAATTGGATCCAAGCGTGATTCCCTATTGATCAGTTTTGCTGGTGAGTAACATTTTGTTTTATATTTCTTTAAAAATACCAATTTTCATTACATTTGACATGCACGTGAGTCCTTGCCCTCAAGTCTACTTTTGCCATCCTTTAACTCTCCTATTTTTCATTTTTCAATCTTCATGTAGATGCAAAGCTAGCTCTTGTTGAATACGATCCGGCTAACCATGATCTTAAAACACTCTCATTGCATTACTTCGAGGAGGATGATATTAAAGGTGGTAGAACTCAATATCCACAAGGTCCAATTATACGGGTTGATCCTGATGGAAGGTGTGCAGCTATGCTCATTTATGGTCGTACATTAGTAATTATACCATTTAGGAAAGATTTAGGCGCAATCGAAGAGACTGAGACAAGTGTTCCTGGACTTGGTAGAGATAACATAGGTATTCCTAATTCTGGAAACAACCTTTCGTCTGCAAACAAGCTTGACAAGAGTAAAACAACAAGCAATGCCTCTGAAGGGGATACAAACCAAGCTAAATATCCTGTTATGGCCTCCTACAAGTTGAATCTTAACGACAAACAGTATGCTGAAGAAAAAATTCACAATATAATAGATTTCCAATTTCTTAATGGTTACTATGAGCCAACTTTATTAATTCTTCATGAACCGGTTCGGACCTGGGCTGGTCGAGTTGCAGTCCGGCGTGATACCTGTTCAATGGTAACTTTATCTCTGAATGTTCACCAAAGAGTTCACCCTGTTATATGGTCTACTAGTCATTTGCCATTTGATTGTTTTGCTGCCTTACCAGTACCTAAACCAGTCGGTGGAGTGATAATTTTTGCTGTTAATTCTTTAATCTATCTTAATCAAAGTGTACCTCCGTATGCTGTATCTCTTAATAGTTTTGCTGATTCTACTACCGCTTTCACTAAAATAACACAAAAGGGAGTCAAGTTGTCCCTTGATTGTTCTCAAGCAACTTTTGTTAGTAACGATAAAATTGTGTTGAGCTTAAAAGGCGGTGAACTTTATGTGGTAACTCTTTTTAGCGATGGAATGAGAAGTATTCGTGCTTTTCATTTCGATAAATCAGCTTCAAGTGTTATTTCAAGTTGTTTGACCACTTGTGAAGAAGGATATCTTTTCTTAGGATCTCGACTCGGAAATTCATTGCTTCTTAAATATACTGAAAAAATAGTTGAAGGTCGGCCCAAAGCATTAAATCTTACAACGGATGCCGCAATGAATGAAGACGATCCAATGTTAGCCGGTTCTCCTGTACCTGAAGTACTGGGAGAAGCAATCGATCCCTTACCAGTATCTTCATCAACTCAGCCTAATGAAAATGTATCAACTGAACCAGAATCACAAATGGACTTTGAAGAAAACACACCAGCGAATGAAAACCCAACTGTAGTCGAAACTGAAGAAAATCTCGGTGAGACTCAAGAGCCTGCAACTTCTAGCGAAATAACTTCAGTAGTCATTAAAACCGAACAAATTGACGAAGCTACTTCAGTTATGGATGCTCGCACTGATGAACATCTATTAGAACCAAAAGTAGAACCAGAATCACAAGAGTCACAACCAACCTCTTCTAGTGTTTCTGCTATTGATTCCAACTTAAATGCTGACTCGAGACAAGAAGCTGCATCCAATTACAATGCATCACCACCTTTGGATGGAAATGGCAATATTCCCGGTTTTGACAATCCATCCAATGACTCGAATGATTCTAATAATAGTAATCGAATTAGGAATAGTCCCGAGAATCAAATAAATAACGAAAGTACTTCAGATACTTTGTATAATAATACTTTGGACAATAGTAATTTAGATAATAACACTATGGATGATAGCAATCTGTATGGGACGCCTTCAGAAAATCAAGTCAACTTTGTCAATAATGATGATCAACATATGACTGATTTAGACGAATCTCAGCATCTCATTGATGATTTTGATGAAATAGCCGATAGAAAGCCTGATGATATTGGTGATTGGGCAGCTGGTGATGTTGCCCTCATGAAAGATCCAGATGAACTTGAAGTATATGGTCAAGAAGAAGATGATGAAGATCAGCTTACAACCAGTTTCTCTTTCGAACTTTGTGATTCTCTAATCAATATTGGTCCCTGTGGACGAACCTGCATGGGTGAACCCGCTTTTTTACCTGAAGAATTCTCTCATTCCGCTGATCCTCAAGTAGAACTGGTAACTACCTCAGGCTATGGTAAAAATGGTGCTCTTTGTGTTATCCAACGATCTATCAGACCTCAATTGGTGACCACTTTTGGTTTGCCCAACTGTCTCGATATGTGGACAGTTCACAGTCCTATCGCAGCCGTACTTGAAACTGAGGAAGATGACAATGATCTCTACCAGAATTTTCAACCCAAAGATGATAAAAGATCAGCCAAATATCATTCGTTCCTAATTTTAAGTCGCACTGACTCTACCATGATCCTTAAGACCGGAGCAGAAATCAATGAAGTCGATCATAGTGACGTTTCGAGTCAAAGTCCTACTATTTTCGCTGGTAATCTCGCTGATGGCAAATATATACTTCAAGTTTCCCCAATGACTGTTCGATTATTAGAAGGAACTAGACAAATACAGCATTTGCCACTGAATCTGGGTTCTCCCATCGTATTTTGCTCGCTTGAGGATCCATATGGAGTGATTTTGACTGAACTTGGAGTTATCGCACTTCTAACATTGAAAATAGATCCAAATACTGGTAACCCACGACTTGCTGCATCGCGTCTATCTTTGTCTCAAAGCAAATCCAAAATTACTACAATTTGTATTTACAAAGATGTTAGTGGTAAATTTACTACAACCACAACAGAAGCATCATTGGACTTGTCAAATCATACCTCTGTGGTCAAATCTGAAAAAGACGGTTTAGACATATCGGAAGCATCTCAAATACCTCTTATCGCTACAACTATTGATGATGAAGATGAACTTCTTTACGGAAGCTCAAGTATCGAGATGATCAGCAGCTTACCTGATAGCAGTCAGAATAAGACAAATTCTACTTTCACTGAACCGCCAGCATCAACATCAAGCCAACAAAATGGTGAACAGTTAATTGCCCCGAAACAAATACCAACACAACCAGAATATGAACCAACTTATTGGCTATTCGCTGTTCGTGAAAATGGTGTTCTTGAGATATTTCGCATTCCTGATGCTACACCAGTTTATTATGTTAAAAATTTTCCGATGGGTTCTAAAATATTATCAGATTCTGCTCCTGGGGAAGAAGTTAACCGAGCAGATTCTGGAGTACTACCCGTCAACAGAGAGATTATGATTTCTGGAATGGGTCTATCACATTCTCGACCAATTATGTTTGCTCGATTTGATAATGAAATTCTCATTTATGAAATGTTTCCCTATCATGAGACTCATATTGTTGGCCATTTGATGATTCGTTGGCGGCGTAAAGAAACTACTTTAATTGTCAGAGAACCTCGACTAGTTAGAACGAATAAATCATCACCCACCCGAGGAAGTGCTGCAACAAACTCTTCTCAACGTCCTACCTCTAATGGTTTAAACTCAGATCTTTTATCATCACTGCCTTCAACTTCATCTTCATCTAATGTTTTGGACCGTGAAACAATGCACCAAAGATGGTTCCGTACATTTACTGATGTGTCTGGTTACTCTGGAGTCTTCATCTGCGGACCGTATCCTCACTGGTGTTTCATGACCTCAAGAGGTGAACTTCGCATCCATGAAATGAATATTGACGGTCCTGTCATCTCTTTTGCCCCTTTCCATAACGTCAACTGTCCTAAAGGTTTTCTGTATATAAATGCCAAAAGTGAACTTCGGATTGCTGTTTTACCTACCCATGTTACTTATGATGCACCTTGGCCTGTTCGTAAAGTTCCCCTCCGATGTACAATAGATTTTGTAAATTATCACGTCGACTCCAAATGTTACTGTGTTGTTACTTCAACTCAAGAAGCTTATAACAAGGTTGTTCGAGTTGGTGGTGAGGATAAAGATTACGATGTCTTAGAACGTGACCCAAGATATATCTGGCCCACTATGGAAAGATTTCACATTCAACTGTTTTCGCCAGTTTCATGGGAAATGATTCCTAACACAAAGATTACACTCGATGAGTGGGAACATGTGACTTGTCTTAAAAATGTTATGCTTAACTCAGAAGGAACTGAGAGTGGTTTAAAGGGTTATATTGCTGCTGGTACTAATTACTGTTATGGTGAAGATGTCACTAACCGAGGAAGAATATGGATTCTCGACATTATCGACGTTGTCCCTGAACTCGGGCAACCTTTGACTCGAAGTAAAATCAAAATTGTTTACTGTAAAGAACAGAAAGGACCAGTTACAGCAATATGTCAAATCCGTGGTTTACTTCTAAGTGCAGTTGGTCAGAAAATTTATATCTGGCAACTAAAGGAATCTCAGCTTGTTGGTGTTGCCTTCATTGATACTCAAATTTACATTCATCAAGCAGTTTCTGTTAAAAATTTGATTCTTATTGCCGATGTGTACAAGTCGATATCTCTGCTTCGTTACCAAGAAGATACACGAACTTTAGCTTTAGCAAGTCGAGATTGTCGATCATTCGAGGTATACGCATGTGAATTTCTTGTGGATAACAATCAACTGTGTTTCCTAGTAGCTGATGGTGATAAAAATCTTCTAGTGTACAATTATAATCCCGAGTCACGAGAAAGCGTTGGCGGTACAAGATTACTTCGACGAGGTGACTATCACCTTGGATCTTTGGTAAATTGTTTTTTCCGTGTTCGCTGTAAATATCCATCACATGTTTCTTCATTCTTCACTTTCTGTTCATCTTCATCTTCATCCTCATCTGTAAACAATAAAAATAATGAACCAACGATAGATCAAGAGGCAAAGAAAGCTATTGAGCGTCGTCAAGCAACAGTTTTCCCAACTCTGGATGGAACAATCAACTTCATCTTACCCGTCCCAGAGAAAACGTATCGTAGATTATTTATGCTTCAAAATACGATGAACGCACATGTTCAACATACTGCCGGAGTCAATCCCAAAGGTGTACATATGGTTAAATTTTATAAAAAATGTTTGACCAATCCGTGTAAAAATGTATTAGATGGAGATCTCCTTTATCGTTTCTATAATCTTTCAATAAGTGAAAAGGCTGAGCTTTGTAAGAAAATTAGTTCAACTCCTGATCAGGTAAATTTACTTTTTCTCTATTTACATTACAATCTAATTGTTTCAACAATTTTTGTGCTTCATCAAATCTAATTTAATCTGTTTTTCCTTTATTTCTTTGTTACTTGCAGATTATCGATGACCTCCAGGAGATTGATCAAATAACTGCTCATTTTTAAAAATAAGAGTTGTTAGCATTTGTTACACCATAATTATAAATATAACTATTTTTACACCACTTTGAGTATTGAGGTCATAATGATTAAATTACCTCTTATCTCCAATTGAACTGGTCTGAACTTTTATGAATTACATTTTATCCCATGGATATCATAATTATGAATGAATTAACTCTTGGTAACAATGTTGATGACTATATTAATGAACTGCTGTAACAGATTGTATCACCACTATTCAATTTAGTGTTGAATCTCAAGAGTTTATAGAGATTGCTTGATGAATTGAACTGAATCATCTTATTTGACTCAACACAAACAAATTAAAAATCTTTTAATTGTAATGACCACCAACCAAAGTATAAAAATTCAAAAACGAATCTGATGTATTTTATGTAATTATTATAACTTTTATTCCTGATCAACCATTCTGGCAAATACATTGATAATTTGATCTTTCTTTCAAGCCATGCCGAGCACAGAATCGTAAAACTTTTAGATGATGAATAAAGAGAGATTCATGATTATTGCAATTATTGCATCTTAATTAACTGAGTAGAAATAAGCGACAAAATTTAGCTGATTAAAATATCGATAAAATCAGGCATTAGTCGATTGATTGGATTCCGCGAAATTTTCAGAATCGAGTTGCAATGTTACAGTATAGCATAGTGTTGTATTGTAAACAATTAGGGGTCAGATTGCAATAAGTAAAGTATTACTTTATTTACGTTCAAAAAGTCTTACTGTCATGCGAGTAGTTAATTAACTTTTGGGCACATACATTTGTATGATATTCCCACCCTTCGCTTTAATTTAAGCTGCGTTGAGGTACCATCTTTCGAGCGCGGGAACGCCAAAGTCTATATAACTTTGACCAATCGTTTAATTTTAGATTTTCCAATCTTTAGCTTAATAAGAGCTTAATAAGAGCTTTTAATTTGGTTAGGCTTTTGAATATCAATATTGCTTCTCTATATGAAAAAACTGTAACCTAATCATTCGAAATTGTTTGTTGAAATAATATCCAAATTACAATGAAACATTGTAAATATAAGATTAATTTCATAAAACTTAATTACTGTCATTACAATATGCAAACAAACTAGACTGCCATGACGTTAGATAGACAGTTGTATTGCTTAAAATTATGATTAAAATTTCAGTTTATGGATTCCATCTAAAGTTTTGGCGATTCAAATGATATTGAGGATATATAGATTACACATAATACATAGATTACCCTTGCCTATCGAAATTGACTTTATATAGTAATAATTATAATTAAGGTAACCATAAGAGGTATAAAGGCCCTTCTCAACGTTTGGGAAGCTGTGAATACAAAAGGAAGTAGCTCGATGATTATGGCGGGTAGATGATCCTTTTCCACCCAATATTGCTTTTGATTATTTTGGCCGCTTAAATAAACAGAGAATGACTTTAACATGAAAACAAAAAACTTTTTAAGGTTAACGATTGATGAAGACTCATGAAGGCTGTCGTGTTATTAATCATCATTCACTACATGTATATGTTAAGGATAATCTTGAATACACCTTAATAAAAATCGTAAGCATTGAGTAGTAAAACTTCATTGTTTTGCTGCTCGCCTTTTTATTTCAATTACTTTTTTGATATTTGAAGAATCGTGTTTAATGACATTTTAAGCAATGAAATAGCTTAAGCAACTGTTAACAGATTGATGCCGGAATGAAATTGAACATAGTTAATATTTCTTCAATAGTTATAGTAATATACAAATTCATTGCTTAAACAAATGAAAAATTTTCAAATTCTGATTTTTTGGAGAAACTAGTCAAGATTTTCATGGCATTAATTGTAAACAAGACATTAATTGTTAGAAAATATAATAAAAATAGTAAATGTCAAAAGCCTTGTCGACAAAAGATATTTATAGTTTAATCGGTAAAATTTAGTAAAATTAGTCTAATAATTTGATTAACTTACCTAAATTTATTTTCGGATGAACTTCAGGATTTCTGAATCATGAAACAAAAAAATGAGAGAATGAGGAAAGTGTTAAAAATCAAGTTGAATATTGTAGAAATATACATTCTTATTTGAAAAATACTAACGATGGTAAATTCGTTAATTAATTGAATGTATTTTTAATTAAAAACACAGTTAACACTTACAATACAATACAATTACAATAATAATACAATTTGTATACAAATTTCGTGCTTAATGTTGAGCTAGTTTCGATAGTATCGGTAATCGAAAACTAAAAAATTACCGATTAACTCATGTTAGGTTATCTTTTTCAGGCTTATTGATGTTTTAACTTTCAATTTCAGTTTAACTTTCTCTTATCTCTTTAGTTTATCTATTATCTATCCAATTTTTAAATTGTGTTGTTTCAACCCATAATGGGTAATTGGAGTTCGTGCTGTCTTCCCGGTGATAAAAACTCAGATGATGGTGAGAGTGAAAGAGCTCGCATCCTAAATGACCCAACTGCTGGTGAGGATTGTTGTTACCCGAATGATGGTGTTGCCATTAATTCAAAAGAAGCTACTAATTATGGTACAATTAACAACGGAGGAAACAAAAGTAATGAACAAATTGCTGCCTGGCATCGGATTTTAAACAAGATGCAGGCAAACGTGATTGATGTATGCAACGTTGATGTACCTCCTGTGCAACAAAATGAATATGCGGAAAGGACTCGTCTCTATCAAAACAGAATAAACCAATTAAGACAACCATTGTTCCTCAAATATCGTCTTCCAAATAAATCATCCTCTATAAATGGACCAGGATCTGGTTATAAGCGCTTAACGGACATTGCCTCAAGTCAACGGGATAGCTCATATTTTAAAAGCATCTCTGAGCAGGACCTTTCATTAATGAATGAGATTTCCGATAGAACATTAATCGCTGTTAAGAAAGGCTATATTGTTAACATAGAGGAAGATCTTGTGGTGCAGTTTAACCCATAATCCGATGGATGTAAATTTGTGACCATTTTTCTTTAATATGTTTCTAAATGGACTAAAGCCAATGTTGTTAATCAATCAATCTCATCTTATTCATCATCACAGTTAATCATCATTGCAACTTATTCTCATTTTCATATTAAAATTTATTTTGTCTGGAAAATTAACCACGAGCTGACTCGGAAACAATTTGCATTTATCAAGTTTATTGTGTAATTATATTTCTGATTATATTGAAACAATCAATCGTTGTAAAATAGTTAAAATAAAATGTCTACTAATCCTAACATGACTCGATGTCTATTACAATTGAATCCACAACTTCCAGAGCTCAACATTGAGACATGCTAACTTATGTTAGCAATTATTATAGTTATTAATTTAACAACATGATAAAGTAGTGGTCAGTGCTAAGTAACTTTTTGCTCATGTGGGCCTATCAGCTGCGACAGCTTTTAAGGCGCCCGTCTATCCCTTGCTAAATGGATGTTTTACCTACCAAAGGCTTTAACAAGCTTAGCTAGGAATCCATCAGGAAGGATGGATGGGATAGTCCAGGGTGCTTAACCCAGGTACCCTAATTTAGAGACTTGGCGCGATTTGAAGGCTGACCTCTACAAACTAAATATGCTCGAGATGGCGACACCTTAAAATTAACCTTAAACTCTGAATTAAATTATTCATTGGACTAATAGATTGAACAAATAATTAGGAAATAATAAAGTGAACAATAACTAGAATTTCAAAATTAAGTAAAGAGTAATAACTATACTCTTTGAAATTTGATTCAAGATGATTCTGAGCCGAGCTGAAATCAATATCTTATCATTTTAATTTATTTTGCCTAAATTTAACTTTCGTCATGATTAATTGTGAATTTATACATAGAATATTTTATCAATAATAAGACTACATTAAGCTACATCGAAAAACTACAATACAGCCATGAAAAGTAATCTTTCACTACTTTCTTCTCTTATATTGTTTCAGTATTGAATGTTAGTTGATACAAGCGAGATAAATGTAAAATAAGCGAGAATCATGATGCATAAGATCCAATTTGAGTCCACAAATCGATCACAAGCAGGTTTATGGCGATGATTATCCATCTAAATATAAATAACATTTTCTTGAATTATCAGCAGTGAGGCCTAATCGTAGAAAGTAGTGCTAATTTAATTTTCATGGCTGCATAAAGATGAACAAAAAAAATTTAGACTTCTTCTTTTGCTTGCTTATTGAGATAATTGGATCTAAATCGCCACCAAGTAACTTTCATTCTATCCCAGGCATTACCAATACTGTCCAATGCAGGTCTAACATCCAGGATAGCAAAAGCAGGGTTCGCCTTCAATTGATCAGGCATAATTGGTCCACCATCATAATAGTCGATAATATAGCGAACATCTTTACCACATCTATCTACAACCCAATCATGACGATCAAAAGGTAATTCATAACCAAGCCAAGAGCGTATCCTGGCTCGAGGTGTATAATCTTGAGCGCGACCAGAGAATTTCTTCAATTTAGGTCCAGTAGGACATTCACCAGAATGGAACGCATTTTCCCACTTTAAAATTTCCTGCCAAGCAGCTTCATTGTTGGCATTGTGTATTCTAATTATGTGAGACATATCATTCTTTTGCAAGGGTTCTGAAAGGTTAAAAAAATGAAAGTCACTCGTTAGATTAAAATTTACAACAATATTTCTGTGACATATAATAAATTAATAAATTTCTGTGAGCAATTCGGACTCATTAACCACAGAGATTATTTACACAAATCATCAAGCAGCTTCACTTTATGATTTTCAATCTCAACAAATATGCGGTGAGCAAGGTTACACACAATAAAATATCGATTTCACCCCTTTTGACAAGTATTTCACAGTTAAAGTAAACTAAATTTAGTACTCGACGCAATTAACTAAATTGCTATCAAATATGCTCAGGGACCAGACAGAAATTAAATCCGAATTGCTTGCAGGTCATTTAAAGTCATTACCTATACCTTTCTCATGTTCATTTTGCCATTTCCAACCTTTCCGAATCATAGCATTCCAAAACATTTGCTCAGATGGATAGACCCACTTTTCATCGCCTCCCGCTTTTGGTATGGTGGAAACTTCTCGTTCAACTGACAATGGAAAAGGTTGACCAGGTGAAGGCTCTTGACTTGCATTCATTGGCATCATGTTGTCTGGATTAATCTTGACTTGGTTTTCCCCATCTTGACTCATTGGACACCCAGATGGTGCTTGACCATGGTTAACCGGACAGCCACCTCCTTTCGTCATTTTAAATGAGCCCGTATCAAGCAACAAAATTAAACACAAAAAAAGTTTTAATTATTTAATTAAACGTGTGTGAGAAAGTGAAAACTATAAGCATAGCAACCAAATCATATGTTGACGACAGATTCGAAAGCAAGTTGCAACAACGAAATGAGGAAAATGAGTCCCAATATGAGACTCAATCCTAAACAAATCAAAGTCCTATTGATTACAAGTCCAAATCTTATACTCGGATTTGATCAAATTTATTGAAGTAAGCATCCTCTTATTTGAACGGGGGTTACTATTACTGTATTAATTTCATTTCCCTCTTTATACCTTATTTACTGCTTTGCCCAAGTGCAGCCATCTCTTGATTTACACACCCAAATGATACCAGTAAGAGAAACTCTACTGTACATGTAACCAAAACCAGGAATAAGGCTTATTGATGTGAGTTGGAACTTACAATTTCTCACTCAGCTCAACTTTTCCCTTCTCTCTATTTTCTCTATCATTTTGTCCGATTTTAAATTGTGTTGCCTCGTATTTTATAATTAACCTTATATTCCTGGATATTTTAAAGTAACTAAACAATTCAAATGTTCCTCTGGGATTGGGTGACTGGAGTTCTCGGTTTTTTAGGTAAATTTTGTCCCATTTTTTCCTTAAATTGTCTTTTAGTTAATCCTGTCTTATGTTGATACATTGATATGAGTTCAAGAATTTTATACCTATTATCTCAGGTTCAATACCATTAATATTGTTCTGTACCCTATTTTTTCTTCTCTCTCATCATTCTTCTCTTACCTTTACGTTTATCTATTACGTTTAATCAAGGCCTTTATAAGAAAAGTGGTAAATTGTTGTTCCTGGGATTGGATAATGCAGGTAAAACAACGTTACTTCATATGCTTAAAGATGATCGAATGGCTCAACACGTACCTACATTGCATCCTACTTCTGAGGAGTTGGCCATTGGTAACATAAGATTCACTACCTTTGATCTTGGTGGACATCATCAAGCTCGTAGAGTATGGAAAGATTATTTTCCTGCTGTTGATGCAATTGTTTTCCTCATTGATGCTCATGATACAGACCGGTTCCCAGAGTCAAAAGCTGAATTAGACGTATGTACCAGACACCTTATTCTTGACTACACTTTTAAGTGACAAACGCGCGAGTTAATTATCACCATTTTATTGCAATTTAAGTAAACTATTTCCGTGTTTCTAATTATTACTTTTCTCCCTATTCTCTTTCCTTTTTTTCTCTACCTTTTTCAGAGCTTACTAACTGACGAACAGTTATCGAATGTACCTGTTTTGATTCTTGGAAATAAGATTGATATTCGCGGAGCTGCTAGTGAAGATTCTATTAGAGCATATTTTGGTCTTCATAATGTAACTACTGGCAAGGTAAATCCTAATCCATAATATTTTTATCTTTTCATTAGAGTCATTCTCCTTTTCCTTGTATGTTAACGGACATAATGAGCGATACGGAAACTTCTTTTTAGAGGTCATTCTCCTTTTCAAGTTAGCCCCTTGGTTATGCATATAAAGTTTTGTTAACTTTTCCTAACTGATCTTTGTGTAAGCTAGTTTGATTAAGAGCATAAGTGGTTTTCACTTGTATTCATTCCAAGAAGATGTAGAAAAGAATTTATTTTTGTCATTTAATGCTTAATCAGTAAATCTGTTAGCTGCTCTCTCAAGGTTATCCAGTTTGCGACTGATCAATCTAATTGTTATTTTCACTTATTTAAGTGTCACATTTTAATTGTGTTAAAGTTGATCAGCTGGCTTTGCTTTTCAAGGAGATTTTGTATCCTCGAACTTGCTCATACTTTTTTTGTCTACGCGTTCTATTTATCCCTTCATTCATTCAAAGTATATTGTTGATTTAGACTTTTCCTTTTTGCTTCTTTATCATGCTCTCTCTCTCTCATGATAAAACTTATCACAACCTGTATGATACCCGTTTTTCCCTCCTCCTCTAAATATTTAAATATCATTTAATCTGTGATGAACACTGCGTAACTTTTCCAATGATTACTAATCAAATCTTGATCAAAAGTATAATGTACTTGATTTTTTACTAATTTCATTTTATCTTTCTTTCCATTTCAGGGTAAAGTTTCACGATCCGAATTACCAGGTCGACCAGTTGAACTTTTTATGTGTAGTGTGTTGAAAAGACAAGGGTATGGTGAAGGCTTCCGGTGGATAGCTCAATATATTTAAATTAGGTCAAATTTAAGTGAAAAAACAAACCCTAACGAAACCAATCTATTAACACCAACTGTCTATTACAAAGATAATATTACTGCAAATGTTTACGAAAATGGAAAAAAACATCACCCATTTACATTTTTTCATCGTGAAAATATTTAAAGAAAAAAGGGGTTTTAAAATGGATTATAAATTCTCCTTTGAATACACATCTTTTTATTAATTATAAACCAATCAATCTTTATTCTTTTTATACTTACTCGCTCTATCGGTGAAAAAAAGATAATTTCAGAGCAAAGAATTAACAATAGGTTTCAAGCGATTCAAAGTGGATCGCATTCCCAATCAGATTTTATTGTAATACGTTTCTCTTTAAGAGATGGTGCTTTATTTAGGATTCATTATTTTTGCTAATCATAATTAATCACAAGGCATTCAGTTACCTTGCTAGAGCTAAAAATTTTTACAGGATGTGTTTAAATAACTGTGAGAAAAATGACTCTGAATCTATGACTCAGGTGCTAAATTAGTCTGAATAATGAATCTTGTTCAAACATTAATGGTGAAATTAGGTTCCATCAATACTGAAAATATGTGAAATCATTTATATTTATCTTCATCCACTAATAACAATAGATAGAACAGTTTTAGAATCTAGTCATTTAAACGAGTCATTGTTATGATTATGAGGTTTAAACCTTTATTGAAAAAGCACTAATTACAAATCAATTAGGTTGGGCCTGTACTTCAATTTGAATTGTAAATAATCTTCAATTTTGTGATTTTGAGTTTCAAACCAATCAGTTACAAATTGTAAAATATAAATTTTATCCTGTTGAAGATTTAATTTTATGTTGAAATATGCTAAGATGTAATCTTTAGGCCATCGGAAGGCTTAAGGAGGCTTCAGTTTTTGATTTTTCTAAATAATTCTAATTTTTTTATGAAAAAAGCATAAAAATCAGTAACAAAATTGCAATTTAAAATTGGAAACATGCTAATCACGTGTGTAAGTCATCTTATTTGTAGTTGCCTATAGCAACCAAAGCAGCAGTGCATTTTTGCTGCTTAAAAATAATAACATCGCATTTTTGTGTTGATTTAAAGTGTTTCTAATTTTTTGTGATTGAAGTTATCAAATATTTGTGGGAATTATGAGAGGTCTTACCTCCAAAATCAGCCAAGAGGCTGGAAAATCTTTGGCAATCTCACAAGGAATACCCGGTGAGATAACTCAATATGTTCCTCAGCGTCTTCCACCTATGCCTAGTTTTCGTGATTTACTTGCCATTTATGGGATTCGAGGAAGAAAACAATTGAGTCAAAATTTCATTATGAGACCAGCAACAATAAGAAGAATAGTTAAATACAGTTGTATCAAACCTGGTGAGACTGTAGTCGAAGTGGGTCCTGGTCCTGGTAACATAACAAGAGAGATACTTTCTCGAGGTCCGAGGGAATTGTTTGTCATCGAAAAAGATCGTAGGTTTTTACCCATGTTAGAGATGCTTGCTGATGCTGCTTATCCTGGACAAATGAAAATCATGTTGGGAGATATAAGGGACATCAAAATGGACAGCTTTTTCCATCCCGATTTAAAAAGAGATTGGCTTGATAAGTTGGCACCAATACACATTTTTAGCAATTTACCTTTTAATATCGCTTCTGTATTGTTAATTCAATGGATGCATCAGTTACATACACGCACAGGTGCCTTTGCTTATGGAAGAGTTCCTATGAGCCTAACATTTCAATATGAAGTTGCTCAAAGACTAAGCGCTGATATTTTTCAATATGGACGAAGTCGCGTGTCCGTTATGACTCAGCTTTGGTGTAATGTTCATCGCAAATGTCTGATACCTGGAAATCAATTTTTCCCTAAACCTCAAGTTGACGTTGGTCTTGTAAGATTAATACCACGAAGAGTACCATTAGTACCTACTGAAATACCCTTTAAAGTAATAGATAGATTTGTCAAACATCTATTTCATTTGAGGAGAAAAATCCTCAGGCGTTCATTGCACTGTCTTTTCCATCCAAAAGAGAAACATTTGGTTGATAAAATTTGTATAGAGGCTGGTGTTTCAGTTGAGGATCTACCTATCATGCTGTCGAATGAAGAAATTGCGCGAATGATCCAAGTTTATTGGGGAATTGTTAAAGAATCACCAGAACTTCTTGATTACGATCATACGACGCGTAAAAAAGAGCCCAAGATATTGAGAGATATGTTTAGTGAAAAAGGTTTTCGTGTCAATAAACGAAAACCTATAAAAGTAGATGATAGAAATCTCAATGAATAGTTAATGTTTAATTATTTTACATCAAAATCAAGTCAACGTAATGTCAATTATAATGTAAAAACAAAATGAAATTATAAAATTAAATGTAAATATTTAGAAAATTAGTACAATATGTATCAAAAAACTTAATGCAATGTAATTTAAATTATAATACAGTAAATAATGTGCAGCACTACTGTTGTCGGGAGAGATTCTTTGGTTTAATCTGTGTTTTGTCTTTGATAAACTTTTCTCTTGAACAAGTCAAAGATTCCTTTTTATTTAATGAATCCGGTTGCCGAGAACACAACTCAGAGAATAAACTTTCCAGATCTTCAATCAAATCTATAGATTTTGAAAGAAGGTCATTTCTACTTTTGGATTCTTTACCTTTCAATATGGTTCCATCCCGAAAAACAATATCTTTATCGGTATAGACTCTTAAAATATCATAACATTCATTAATGCTTTGTCTCCAACGTTGGTCAGCTAATTTTTTAGCATCGTCGTTTCGGTAAGATTTAGCTTGAGATAACTTTAAACTTTGCTTTCTTTTTGAACCATGATTCATATTGACTGCATTTGTTGCAACTGAGTCCAATTCAGAGTCACCCTAGAAACAAAAAGAAGATTTAAAAGGTTTATTTCAAGATATCAACAAAAAGCAAACTAGGTTTACCAAAGAGATAGAATCAGGTTGGATTAGCATAAACAGATTATCTTTAAATAAATTGATTACTAATTTATTTTACTTACCTCACATTTAAACATTTTAGCCTTTGAACAGTCCATATATTGATGCGAAGGTAAAGGTAAAGATGACTGGGGTAAAAAAGCAGAGTTCGATCCATGTGGACTGGTCATTATGGTGAAATTGAATAAAAACAAAGCACACAATCACAGATGTAAAATATTAATGAGGAGAAAGAAGATGAAACCAAACATTAAGAGAAAAAAAGCAACAAATGAATTCTTCCAGGAACCAAAATATTTTCTAATATCTAGGGAATTGAGAGAGAAGAAAACTCAAAGACAGAAAGAGCTCTGAAAGACAGAGACAATTTTCCTTTTCGGTTAAATAACTCGCCTAATAAAATTTAAAACAATCCTTGCCCTAAACTTGTAAGCCAAAGCGGCATCAGATTAAACAAAGAGTTGAGCAAAGTCAGTTATTTACAGCTAATAGTTCTTTTTACCAACTGATCCTCGGCTAAACATAATTTCAGTTACTTAAGGTTGTTAGATCTTCAACAAGATTAAAATTAATTGTTTATTTTATGCTTAGACTTTGCTGAGCCATTTTTATATTTGTTTTGTTTTGTCTTTTCAAACTTCTTTTTTTTGTCGCTTACTCTTCTTAACTCCATTTTATTCAAGTCATGTGAATCTTAATAGCCTTTGATCCAATGGGAATAACAGTGTTTCTCGAATGGTCAATTCTTATTTTTCCCCTTTATTTACACTTTTATTAAACCTCGTGTTTTGTGCTTCAATGATCATCATTATCAAGGTAAGTCATTGAGATTATTGAAACTTTTCGAGATATTACATTTTTTTATAATAAAAGTTGATTGATACACAAACAAAAAGTAAGAATGTTTAAATAGATTTAAGGTAATATTCATGCTTATTAGAGTCGATTGGTTTAATCTTTTTTTTTGCTTTCTCTTTTGATTGAACAAAGAATTGAGATTTAATACACTAATAATTAATACACTAATAGTTTCATTACATTTTGTGATTTGATTTTGATTTACCAATTCTTCCTTTAGCAATTTGGTGAATATTTCAAGGCTTTATAGGTTTTAGAGACAACGCCTGTTCAATTCACATGATTTTATAAATCAATCAGAAATCATCGATTGATTTTGATTTTATTTGTGAACAAGTTTAATTGTATTCAACCTTTATACCCAAATATCCAAGGTAAATCAATTCACCAACATTTTGTAAACATTTCCATCTGGCAAAGACTATTTTTCCAATCAATTATGACGAGTATCGATACTTCTATATATTGATCATTAATGAGCAATTAAGGCATCATGTTGAGTGTATCCAAGGAATTTAAGTTTTACTGAAATCTATTCTGTATGACCACTAAATCAGAGATGAGAGATCACAAGAGATTCCATAAACAAAGAAGTGTAATATCTTAATCTGCACTCTTACCCTTTGTTTCTTTTGTTTACTCTCACTTGGACAAGAAAATTTTTGTACACAATTCCATTTAGGCCAGCAATTCCTTAGTCGTTTCGTGTTAAATATTAGAAACAAAATAACAAATATCTGTAATGTTTTCTAATTGATGGTAAAGTTTCATGTTAACAGACAATCGGATTAATGAATCTAACAATTGTAAGATGATGATAGCTCGTAAAGACGAAATCTGGTTTTGCTTTTGAAATATGAAATTTTACAGCCTGGTGTCTGACTTTCTCTTCATTTCAGTAATGTTTCATAATTGCATATTTTCAACTTATCTTCTAATTGGTCTTTTTTTCACTTCTCAGGTTAACAATTCAACATGAATCTCTTCAGTTATGGAATCCTTTTCAAAAAGATTGCTTGGTGAATACATATGTGTCCAACCATTCAACGTGATGAAACGAAACTGGTCAAGCTTCAGACTGAAAGATCATTGACTATTTGAGGTTATCATAATAATCAACAAACTTGTTTAATTCACTTTTTTTATCATTTCTTTTGTAACCCAATGTATCTTTTTGTTTCTCTTCTTCTTTTTCCATACAGTTTTGCATAGAGAGGAAAGGTTCACTTACTTGAGATGGTCATAATGAATATTATAATAATGACAGACTGACCTTGGACTAATACAAAAAGTGGTTTTGTTTAATTAACAGAAACGAAAGATATATATTGAAAGCGAAGAAAAGTGAAAAGAATTAACCTGAAAACGTTATGATTAAGCTCTACAGTTATTACTGCATTCATGGCCAGTCCAACAAATTATCAACAGGCGCAAGAGAATCAACAATAATAACAACAACCAAAAAACATCGACAACAGTTATCACAATAATGATATGGATACTTTTTTTGTTTCTTCAAGTATTCTTAGCCTTGGCTAATGACTATGCAGATATATAAATTGTTACCTGAGGATGAATACTTGCTCATTATAACTACTATTGTTAATATCATTAATGCAATTGAAACAAAGCCTGTGAATTACAAAATGGTTATGTAACCGAGCTACTTCAACGACTTCTCCACCTATTCATTAATGTGAGTTTCCCTGAAAATATGTATCAATCTTTTGTATTTTGGTCGCTAATCTTTTCTTCTTCTTTTGTTAGGCTGGATTCAAATTGTATTGACAAATGAGACTGAACCGGATTCAATAAAATATTCTGTTTGAATTGGACAAGTAGCAACAAGCCAAGCCTCACGTTAAGCTGTGAATAAAGAATCCGATTCATCAATTTACTTTACTGAAACTTGATAATCTTGCCGGGAATCTACTTATTGGTTTTTTATGAAGATGGACCAGCAATTGCTAATTTAAGCTTGGATTCAAGTTACGTTGGCTCTTACCTATTCATGTAAAGAAAATATTGAAATTATTGTACAAGAAATCTCAAGAGATTGAATGGACGGTCGAATGAGCATGAAAATTTTAAAATTCATCCCATTTATCTGATGGACAAGTTTAATTTATTCAACCATCGAACAAAAGCTTGTTGAACGAGTTTGATGGAGATCCTGATGAGCCAATACAACAAAAGATCATCTTAATCATATGGAGAAAAATCAAAATGAATTCAGATCGGACAAGGACCATTGCCTTTCACTGTGAAGTAGCAAAGGTAGACAAAATGTTGGAGATTGAAAAAGCAGGATTGGGGAGGACTGTTTGCGGAAAGTGAGAGTCCGTAAGAAATTAAAAGTTGCTGATGATGAAAAGAATAAAAGTGAGTGAGTAACTGAGGAAGAGAAAAAAAAGAGGAGGAGGAAAGAGAGTAATAATAAGAAACAAATTTACAGACAGACTGAAAAGAAGTGAGAAGAAAGAAAAGAAGAAATGAGAAAAATGTTCGGACTGGTTAAGTGTTTAGGTGTTGGTAGCTTTTTACGATTCGAGTTTTTGGTTATCCCGAGACTTCACTAAAACTTCATCACCATCATCACTTCCATCATCATCATCATCATTACATCTTCATCTTTAATCATTCATCTATCTACCTGTTATTATAATTATTTAACGCGTGATTATCCTCTCATCCTGAAGAGATAGTATTGTGTACTTCAACGATTCTTACAATTAATATTCATATTCATTTTCATCCTGGTTTTCCATCTCAATCAGACTCACCTTGTTACAAGGGTCTAATCTAGATATGCGTTATCCATCGGTTAACAGGTGTCTACATTGTTTCCTTACTGTTACCACCATCATCTTGATTGCCTGCAGTTCATTTTCATTTGGTTATTATCAATCAAATGGTGTTCAATCGTCCATTCAACCTGGTCTCTGGAGAAGTAGTTTATCTCAAAGCAGTTACTATTATGCTGATTATAAAGTTCCCATGGTTCCACCTCAAAAAGATAAACGATTTATTCCAGATCATCCAGAATGTCCTGATTCAGGTGGTACATTGTGTAAAGATGTTCCCAATTATCCCATGTGAGTTCATTTTTTTACTCGAAAATCCTACTGAATCATCTTTATTATCCTTTCTCCTTCACTACGAACCAACTTGTCAACAAGATTATTTAATTGTTTGAAATGTGTCCTTTAACTCAGTGATAATTTTAACCCATTCATGGTTGAGATTCAATAAAGGGAGAAACCAGTTGATCTTGACATCTAACGTACAGTTACTAGTTTAATTTAATGTAACCTAAACAGATTGTAGTGATTTTGTTTCACTTTCAAATTGTTTGTTTCAGTCAAAAGGTGATTTTGTTAGATTAAATGATGCTACTAATGACCAAATAGATTTCATTTTGACCATTAATGATCACCACTAAACTCAACGTTGATTTTATTTCTTAAATGATCTGAAACTTGCTTGGAAATGCTATTAACTTCCGTTAATTTTGAACCTAATGAAGTAAGTTATCAATTATTGTTACTCACAATTAATTGAGTAAAAAGATTGAATATTTTATCAAAATTGATTGATGCTCCAATCAGAATGAAAAGGAAAGGAATGAAATGTTTACACTTATTTTTGATCAAACCTGAATACATCAGACTTTAAAATGACAGTTAATTGATTATAATCTTGATCCCTGTCCAATCAAATCAATATTTGCTGTTGTCAAATCAAGCATCAATCGCATCTAAATAATGAAATTCAAAATCATTATCAGAATAGTGAATTATTTCAAACTCAAACCGAATACTTACATATGAAAGAAGTTACCAGAAATTCAAAAGACAATTGGTTCCAATTTGTTTGATTAGAATTGGGTTGAAATGAGAATAGCACAATAGTTTGATTATCTCCGGGTAAAACATTCAAAGGCACTGATTCGACTACATGATCATCACTGGAGTTAAAGGAATTATTTAAATCAAAAATAGTATGAGAATCTGCATGAGATAAATGCAATTGATAGATCGTAATGCTTCCAGAAAATTGAGTCAAATCTAGTGCGATTGGATGAAGTACAAGTCCATGACCAGGTGATGATTGGACTACGATCACACATGCTTGTGTTAGTCTAATCAAAGGTCCATCTTTGTTTGGTAACTCAAAATATACAGCTGATCCACCAGCAGCGTCAGTTAATTGTATCGGTTCTGGTTTCTCCACCGAAGTACATTTTTCCGAAACGTAATCTGAATCAATGGAAAATATAAAAATCAAAAGAAACCATTTAAAAATCATTGATCAGTAGATATTTCAATGATTCAGTCTGTACATTGATTATGACTCAAGGATACTTTTTGACTCATTATTTGAGCTTCTTGACACAATCAGATTAAATTATTAATTGTTAAAATTACTTACATTTTTGATAGTAAAGTGCTGAGGATGGACTAATTAAGATGGAAGTAAATACAAAATAATAAACAAAAATCAAGTTAAGGGTCAACATTTCATACAATATGTTAGGCCTAAATTAGGCCTGAACTAGTGAATAGATATTCAGCAAACTGTAAAATTGAAGCCAATTTTGTGGCAATAACACATTTGATTTTCCCTAATTAATTGCTAATGTTAACTGTTCTAGTTAACCTTAAATTGATTCCAGATTTGCAATCTCAATAATGAAACTTAATACCTTAAAAGTCTACAATATGCTAATGTCCGATCTGAATTTTATTCATACCCATTATTGGTATGATCAATGATTGATTGAATGAGGAGAAACTAATCAATGAATATTTTATCGTAAATATTTTTCAAAAGCTAACGTATAAAATTGGTCATTTTTAATGTATCAGTCAGAATCAAGGTTGATATTCAAAAGCATATTTAAATATAATATTATAGTAATTATGTAGCCATTAACTTTATAAAGAAAGAGGTAAATATTGATATTGATTGATCAAAATTAAGTGAAAGTGGAATTTGAGAAAAATCATTTTTCAGTGATTTCGGTCTGAAATTTTAAAATAGCCATTTAAGCAAGAATCAAATGAACTAAACTGTGAAAAATAATTCCAACTCATTGATATCGCTGAATAATAGGCAAATACTTGAAGAGATCAATTGTTTGGCTTTAGATTTCCATTGAATATTTAATGGATTATTTAATTGTAAGTCTAAATTAAAGCAGTTGTTCAAATTAACCTCATCATGACCATTGAGAAAACGAATGATTATCTTGAAGATAATTTCATTAACAGCTTAATTGCTGGATTTTGTTGGTTTCCATCATGTTTTTCAATAAAATATTTGTTAACAATTTATGAAACAATAACAGTTAATAGGGTTGGTTTTGTTAAATTAACTACAAACTAACAGACATTTGTTAACAATTTAAGCTTTAAAAGTATAAGCTTTACTTCCTTCTGAACCTTTTTTTAACTATTAGTGTATTTAGTTGATGATACTTGTTGTGTGAATGTAATTTTACGAGTATTTTTTTGCGTGTAATTTATATTAACCAGCCTGATTTGCGTGGGATCTTAACCTTGGAAGCTTGATTGTAACTATTAATTGAACGTGCGAGTCGCAATTTTTAGATCTTTCGCTCTTGTATTAATGCTATTTGAAAATATCTTCACTACATTTGCTGATTTGAGGTGCCAACAATGAGCCAACAATGAGTATAAAGCAACACAAATTATCAGTATTTCATTTTCCTGGTTAAACAAAAAGTAGGCGACTTTTGTCAATAAACATAATTTACTGATTGTTTGAAGTTCAATCTCCATTTTTCTTCTAATCCTAAACATATCTTTTGAAATACAAAAATTATCCTCATTGGATAAGATGATTTTCCCATGATTTTTCCAAAATCTCCAAAATAATATCAATTTTTGTGAGGTCAGTTACTGAAACCAGAAATATTGTAATTTCAAATTATCCTCTAGTTACATCTTGGAATTGAAATTATCCTGAAAAATTGGGTAAAAAATTTGATTACCTTTAATCAGCGTTTCTTTTGCCAACTAACCTTGACATTTGTGGTTGGTCAGCTTTTGTACATTTACTGATTTCCCAGATATTTCTCACTTCTAATCTAATCACTTGCTGATCTCTTTGGTTTAAATACACAATTAACAGAATTGAATATTTTCCTAAATCATTTCGTCTAAAAATTCAGCACAGCTGACCTTGTAGGTTTATATTTTAATGTATTTTACCTTTTGAATCAGTCGGAAGTTGGTTTTTTCAATCTGTTTGACTTTTCCTTTCATTTTGTGGTAAAAATAGGTAAACCTGTTGTCATCTAAATTAATCTTATTCAACGTAAATTAGACAAGGTCAGTTCAATAAATCAGGTTACCCATTAGATGGTTATTTAATGAAAATGGAAACCTGAATTATCTGGTTAATCATCAAGGTTACCTTAGGTTCTTACATAGGGATTAACCAGGATAGTTGGCTGTTGTTTTTCCAGAGGCATTTGGTGACCTTCCTTGTTGGTTACTTTTCACTGGTATTAACAATTATTATTATTGTAATTAACGTCATTACCATTAACCAAAATTGTTACATTAATTAATAGTTCATAGGAATCATTTAATCGCCATTGCTGAATAAGATAAAAATCAATGAACTTCCCAGTAAAGTCTATTTAACCTTAAGCTTAATAGCCTTTTAAAAAGCAAATTATTCCATTTTCGTTGCATATAATTTAGTTTTAATCAAGGTTTCATTGTTTACCAGATCAGATGATTTCAACAATTTGCTAACAAATTTAATAAAAACACAACCATCTGTCTAATTACCCGTTAACACAATTTCAACTCTAACTAAGTTTTGCTTACAATAAAAAACATTAAGGTTAAAAATATTTCTTTCAACGAGTTTTTATTTCTAATAGTTAATAAATTGCTTTCAATTTTTAAATTGTTTTATTAATTTGAATTTTTCTTTTTCATTTCTATTGCAGCGATCACATTTACGATGTAATTAAGTCGGCTCGAGCAAATGGATTCAATTTCACCAGTTTGTTTGTCGATGAAAGTAAAGGTGATTTGGAACCTAATTTAACTGTTCCAGTTCCCGTTCCTGTGTCAAGGGAAAAGCCTCATGTCAAAAGCTACATTGTCTACCAAACCTCACTTCAATATGATTATTTACCTCATCATCCGTACCAGGAAACTCACCACCAAGGCTTTTCGCTGCACTCCCATCAAACCTATCAACCCCAAGATGAGAATCAGCATCAACTAGCTGACAGTTACAATGATCACCAGTCATCTGGTTGGGATAACTTTGGTCTTGACTCGATACCACCACCACCGCCTGTACCACAATCCCCATCATCGTCCTCTTCACCACCGTTGGGAGTATCACCGTCATCCTTATTGTCACCACTGCCATCTTCATCTTCATTGGATCGGTTTGCTCATCACAAAAGATTTGCTGTCAATCCATGGAAACCAATTGTTCGATTGGCCAATGTTACCTCAATTTACGCACAGCGTCATCGAAGACGAAGACGATCTGTGGCTCGGCAACAGTCATTAAAAAGAGTAAAGCGCCAATCTAATAATATCGCTAATTCACTGGAAGGTGAAGAAGTTTGTCGGACAAGGACAATGTTTCTTTCACCCAGAGCAGCTCTTAATGATAAATCTGAATGGAAATATGTTGTCAATTTAGCGGAAAAAGATGCAAATCTTAAACAAGTCATCAAAGTTGATGTTTGTCAGTAAGTATTGTGTTCACAGTTGATTGTCAGTTACAGTTTGAACAATCATATTTTTAGTTAACCATAAATTTGAAACCAAATTGAATCAATTTCGCATTTCATGTTGTACTTGGGTTTTGTTTATCTTGATACTTCACAAGTTTGCGTTAAGTTTTAAATTACACAGAATAAATTAGCCAACAATTTGAATCCAATTAGTGATTGAGTCCAAATGAGCTCCTAATTTTAACCATAACCATTTTTAAAAGTGTATTATGAACCCAAAAATAGGTTCAAATAAACAGTCTCAAATTTTTGGCTTTGTTAGAGCTAATTAATGCTTATGTAAAAGGTAATATTCAATAATAGTCTTATACTATTTTAGATTGACTTATGTCATTAAATTCAATAGCAAACTGAGAGTGTTGATTACAATTGATTGATAGTCTTATTGACAACCTTTTCATCAACCAGAAATGGTTTCCATTGTTTGTCAACAATCAACAATCACACCAAGAAAATCAATTAAAAATCAATTTACTTTTGTTTCATCTGAAACGTTTCCCTCAAGTCCGTCACTCTGATGTATCTTTTAGTTTATTTTGATTAATAACCAAAAATCACATCAGTTTAATAATTCTTAACCAGTGAATGGATTGATGATCAATTTCAAATGTCAATCAGTTTACACGATCAAAACAGTTGTGAATCCAACTCTCAATAGATCAGTTGGATAATTAATAGATGAACATCAATCTTAATCTTAGGCCATTTAACCATTAATGATAAATTCAATAATCGCATTTGACCATCTAATATGTTTAAACATTGAAACCAGAAAATTATTTCATCCAACATTAACCTTCAATTGTTTACCTTATCAGTGGCAAAACAATACAATACTAATTAGATAAACAAGTTAACTCAATATTACAATTCAAATTGTTCATGAAAAGGGTGAACAATTATCTAGTTTAAAGCAAAATTGGAAACAAAGTGATAAAAGCTTTACAATGAATGAAGAGTCTCGCTCTTTTCAATCAATTCATTCATTCAATTTCTTAATCCTACACATTTCTTCAGGAAGCTCAGGTCAATCATTTGTTATGAAAAAAATATTCATGAATGAATAATGATTATTGCATAACATTAAAATGAAACATGTTAACCAGAAAAAGGCTGCAAACTTGTAGGCAAACCGGAACTTTGTTGAATATTGGTTTGTTTTATCATCGCCTTTTCACTGCTTATGTCTTAATTAAGTCTAGTCTATTGAAAAGGGAATTTCCAGTTGATGATAAACATGGTAAAAAGGGGTCTCAACATGAGAAACTTTCATAAACTTTCAATTTGATAGCACATTCAACTAACCTTGAGATTGTCAACTTTATCATGATTTTCAGGTTCATTATTCAATCGTCTTCTATTCTGGTTCATTTAAATTTAAACTCAAACCCAAATTTTGAACCTTTTCAACTTTTCCCATTTTTAATGGACATTTAGGTTTTTGTGTAATTTCTGGTTCCATTTTGATTGATTGATTAATTGTAACCATAATGGGACTGATTGAATGTAATGCCAATTACTATTAATAATTGTTGAAAGATTGACTTTACCGTTAAAATGTTTGACCGTTGCTATTATTAAAGATGTAAATTGTTAAAAATCAATCCCTTTAATAGATTATTAATGGTTTAAATGATGATTAGCTAATTTTGCTCTTCTTATAATTTGTCATTACTTACAATGTCAATTGATTGCGAATATTTTAATATGAATTTCAATTTTTACCTGTATTGCTCCTTGGTCAAACCAGCTTTTCCCTTTTCATTTGTGGGTCAAGTAATAATGATTATAATAACAAGAAGAAGATGAAGATGAAAAATCTTAATAATGATAATAATTCTAATCACCGTTACAACAAACAAAAATTGTTAAAATGATAATGACAATAATAAATGAGCAAGTAGAACAATTATTCATTTTCTTACCTTTATTCATTACTACTTGACAACATCTTGTTAACTCTTTCCTTTATCATATTCCTTGATCATACAATCTTTTCATTCACAATTTATCCTGATCATGACTAGAGAATTTAGCTGTTTAATTGATCAACAATTTGTAAATTTTGAACTTTCTGTCAACCTGCAAAACCTTGACTAAAGTTATTCAATCAAATTTCAAATCAAATTGCAGTCATTAGATTGACTCATTGTTGATTGTTGATACCAAATTTGTTGCTAATTGTTTTGCTTTTCAATTTGATTAACAGGAAAATGTAAACCTGATAAACCCATCAGTTAGGTTAGCGAAGATTGAAATTTGGTTTAATGGTTGATATTATTGTAAATTGTTTTCCTTCGTCTCTAATTGTTTAATCAATGTACTAATTTGGTTTTCTCTCTTATTGTAGACAAGCTAATTCACCGTGTTCATCATCGATTTCCCTTCCATTTGGTTTTAAAAGCAGATGTAAACAAAAATTTATCAAGAAAAAACTTCTCTCCCTGGATCCTGATGGGTCGAGTACTTCAAGTGAAAATTTTTTCGTGCCATCATGTTGTGTCTGTGAAATCGTCAATCAATTGAGATGAATCAAGTGGTGATCTAAATTTTGCTTCTTCCAGTTTTCCTGTCCTTCATTAATTACAATAAAAACAATGTTTGTCAATTACTCGCCACCGTGATCATCATAAAAGCCATCATTTATGAGCAAAAACTTGAAACTCCACTGAAATACAAATTAGAGGATTTACCACCTTTTTGCCCTCATCTCATCAATTTTTGTTGTTGATTAATCAACAAATAGACTGTACAAATATCACTATCACTAGATATGTACCATGTTTTTTAATTTTATATCAATTCAGCCATCAATCGTCATCAATAGCATCCATCATCCATATTGAGACTGTTTGTTCACAAGGCAACCATTGAAGGACAAAATGATGACTCGAAAAATGAATCTCAATAATGGACCCAGTTGCGAACAATGGATTTTCCGAATCATTTTACATGAGTGTAAATCTTGACTGAAGGATTGACTTCGATTGAAATACAATGTCGACACGATTGGAATCAATGATCGACAAAAATCTTTCTAATCCATCATGTAAATGGGCACAACCTTACGATTCTCATCCTAGCTGAACCCTATTTAATACAACTTCTTATTTTACTCTATTAATCTCTTTTTTATTCCTGTATTCATTAAATTGAATTATAGCAAATCAATCAGTTTTTTATAAAAATTATTTTAAATTCTTGTTTATTACACTCTTCTACAGGATAAAGGATACCGGTAGGCCAGACGGAGATATATGAGGAGTAAATCCGAAAAGTGTCATTCACTTCTGAAAATGAGTTGATATGAAGAGAGAGGCAAAGAGACGATTCCGGGAAAACTAATGACCAATGACGGATGATTTGAGATGACTTCAGATACTAATGATAGCTTTTGTAACAACATCTGAAAATGCGGCTTTCAAGCTATGAAATTTTTATTGAAGGATACGAATTAACTTATATTTGTTTGGGTCAAAATTTATTAGAAAATCGTTGGAAAAACAGAAAGTGAAATCAAAATTCAAATTCGCTGAGCTGAATTGGATTGAATCATATAATAAATTAAACCCAAAAACTATTAAGTCGACTGACAGCTACTGCCATCTAACGAGCAAGAAAGTAAAATTTAAATAAAACAATTTGTTTGTAAACACAGTTTTTTACTGCATTTCGTTCAATCAGAAGTAATTTCAAGATCAGATTAGTTTGCAAATGTGGGCTATTCATTCAGTTTAGTAGGATTTTTTACTTACTATTATACTTTACTATTTATGTACTTACGCATTCATTGGAAAATGGACCAAACTAGATTTTAAAAATCTAACCAGTATTGGTAACCTTCAAATATTAATTATTTCCTTATTTAATAGCTTCTTGTAATAGCTTCATTCAATAGGCAGCTTAATTAAAATTTTAAAATGTGATTAAATTTCCCCTTTCTAGTGACACAAACCACTTCAATCTTTTCCTAATCGAGTTTCCTCTCTTTCATCTTCCCATCAGGTTCACCTTACATCTCAAGAAATTATTTAACAAAACCATTTGGATGAATTAATATTCAATAAAACATTACCAGACGGATGGTTTAATCACAAAACCATTGACTTTAGATACAACCTACAATAAAAATTCATCATCAGCAAGAACCAAGACTGAATCTACATGGAGTTAACCAACATTTAACCACCAAATATTCACAAATAGACCATTCAACATGCAATTGAAAATTAATTGAACTCATAAGCATTAATAAGAGCAACTTTTAACTACAATTGTTTTGTTCAATAATTTATCAATTTACAAAGGTTGATATTTGTTAAACTAAAATGTACTTTAAAGTAAACCTTATTACAAGACGAGAGTCAATTTACTCGTAAATAAACTGGAGGAAAAGCTCATGGTAATAAGACTAATCATCATAATACCATGAAAAGTGGAAAATAAAGAGTAGACCAAATAATGATATTAAATGATATTAAATAATAAAATATAAATAATACTAGACCCAAGTAAGAAACTGTAACCGGTTAAAAAAAGGTAAAAACACAAAATAAGACTTTATCAAAGCAGCTTTAATGGCAATCCTGAATGAAGCAAAAAAACTGATTCCTCAAGATAGTTACATATACTAATGGGGAAAAGGTGTAATAGGGAATGTTTCAGGGAAAAAGGAACGATGAAGATGATAGAGATGAGGAAGAAGATGAAGATAACTCCAAGTTGATGCTCGTATAAAAAAACAAAGATGAGATTGCGCTCACAGCTATTAGTTGATTGTTGTACTAAATGGATATGTTTTGTAGCCAGTATTGCCTCAGTGTCTATCCAAACCAGAGTAAAGCAAGTTTCACCAACTTTTTTGCTTTTCGTTTTTTTGTACATTTTGTTTCTATCTTCATCTTCATCATCATCATCAAAATCACTATCACCATCATCATAAACATAATCTCAATCATTCATTTACAGACCTTCATAGTTGATATGTTGAATAAAGACGGAAAAACCATGAAAATCTTTTCTACTCAACTCTTCTAATCGTTAAAAGGATTAATAACATTGATTATTTACCTTGATTTACAAATGTTTTTCCTCAGATTATAACTGCGAAACAAACATAAACTCAAATAAACTCAAATCAACCCAAATCAAGTTCATCACTAAATCTTCATCTTCATCTGTTGTTGACATTTTCATCCAACTCTTATTCTGTGATTTGTTGAATGGCAATACATTTAAAGTTATCATGTTTAACCTCATTCCTTGTCTAACCAAGTTTATTATATTAACATTATCAACTTACAATGTTTCCTCAACTTTACAGCGACATAAAATTCCTATCGGTAAGAAGTAAACATTTTTGTCCAAAGTCAAAACCTTTTCAAATAGTCAACAGGTTTTGTTGAAACATTTAACCAACATTATTGATGTCATTTTTTGGTGTAAAATTTGTTAATAACAATCTGGTTTCACAATTAATCAGGTTTGCTCATTAATAGATTCACCAGGTTTTAATGTACCAGGTTTTGAACTAACCAAACCTTTTCGTCTTTTCATGTTTCCCATGTTTCACTGTATTCCAATGATTAATTACTCTTGAAATTAACTGAAAGATTAAAATGGATTAATTATCAGATTTGGGTGACTTTATTTTATACCTAATTGAACAATTAAAGGAAGAGTTGAGGAAAAAGTAAAATCTTATTAAAAGAAGCACAATAATTACTGTTTAATTGGACAACTTGATTAGTTTTTCAAGTTTAATTTAATCCTCATTTTTCGCTCTTTCCAATTTTAATCATCAACTAATCCATTTATAATTGAGATATAAAATTGAATCTCAATTTGCCTGATTCAATGAGATGTAATCGAAAAATAAAAGAATCTTCTTTGCCATTTTTTGCTTTCTTATTCGCAATACTCTGGTTGAACCCAAAGCACCGGTAAAGTGTAGTTAAACGAGTCAACAAAATAGACATTATTTACTTTTGAGTGAAAAAAGGAAAGTTTATAATAACTTGAATCAAATTGCCTCCAGACTTGAAACTGATATTCAATCTGAGAAGTTCAACATTTCCAATCTCGAGATATTTTCCTTCTCAGGGAGAAGAGTAAAATTAAATAAATAATAAAAGGAAGTTTCGTTTTGGGCAACAAAACGGAAATTATCTTTTCATTTCATGATGACTTGAGAAAAAAAAGCGTTTCTTTTGTAACTTTTGACTCAACTGGCTACAGGTTGATTGAAATCTGTTATTGACTGAAATCATTTCATGCTGCTTGTGTGTGTTTCCAGGTTAATTAATTGTTTCTTCCTTTCTGATCATTCTATTTGTTTTTTCTCGTTCATTTCAGGGGGCATTTTTACACCAGGAAGCACTGAACTTCAAAGTGCATTTAAATATGCAATTTCGTTGCACAACAAGAATGAATCTTCACGATTCCAGGTTGAACCAATTACAGATGTTATCGACACCAATGACCCGTTCAGGTTTACCCGTCAAAGTAAGTAACAGATCATGTTGATCAATATACAAAATTTTTAAATCGACCAGAATCGAAAAATCTTTCAAAATGATCGAGAGTTAACAATTAACTCCTCTCGATAATGATCTGTAAAATTTTTTAAAAAGCTATGGTCGACATTTAACTCCATTCAAAATATTTCAGTAGTCTTTTTGTATTGATCAAAGCATAACATAAGTTCGAACGCTCGATTCATTCAATTTCATTTAAGGTCAACCCGTTATTTGACCTCTAATTGACATTGAGAAATCATTTCTCAAAATACAGATCTGATCAGATAGCGTTTGTAAGATGTTCATAACTCATGCCGTTGAGTGATTACATATCTTTCATTTAATCAATTGGTTTTGAGAGAAATTCGTTTATCTTAACAATGGTAAGAGTTATGAATATGTGATTAACATTAACCGATGTAAAAAAAGACGTCAGAATGTCAATTAGAGGTCTAATAACGGATTGACCTTGCATGACCTTGAGCATTCAAAATAATCATTCTTCGATCTCCAGAAGTTAATGTTGCAAGTCTGAGGTTTGTAGTAGTGTTTCACGATATCCAAAAAAGGTCATTCTCTGAGAATAAAAAAGTTTTAAGATCGGTCAGTGTTTGTTAGACATTCATACCTATTACTAGTCAAAGAATATGAATTATTGCATACCGTTCAGTTAATCAATTGGTTTTGTGAGAAATTCAATGATTTTTTCAATGGTATGAATATGTGATTAACATAAACCGATCTGGCAGTTTTGTATTCTCAGAAAATGACTCCCAAATGTCAATTAGAGGTCTAATAACACATTGACCTTGAATGTGTTATTCATGTGTTACATCCTGTCAAGTTTGTGCAACATGTCTGGTGAATATGTAATACTTTTTAATCATTCCACAATCTCGTCCCTTTCGCTCACCTTTTGCTTCTAATTTGTTTCTACTCAAAACACGTGCTATCGTTCGTCGTACTGATTTTGTTAGTGATATTTACGTATTGAACAACGTGCGAGTGCGTTACCCACAGCTCAGGGATTTTTTCAACCAGCATCTTGGTTGTAGAATTGCAATCTCAACTGGTAGCTACGGAAATATAATACATGAAGTTATATATATCAACCACAGGGACATTGACATTCATGTCGGGGGCATTCGAAATAACGATTCTTCAATCGTTATTTCAAATCAGTATCGAGATTACAGAAGTTCATGTTTCAAAACTGAGGTTTGTTGCATCAATCGTCCGTGAGTTATGCATACATTATAGAAAATATGGAATCAGACCACAAACTGATTCGATTTCTGCTTCTAAAGATTTAAAATCACAACGCGGATCTTCAAGTCAAGCTGATGGGTTGGAGCCATTACATAAATAGTCCTGAGTGTTTGACTTCTTTTTCAAGGATAAAGATTAAAATTTCTCGAAGAGAAAGTAGAAAAATCTCGGTACATCCCATATGGACATTAAGCACTTACGCCACATTTAGGAACCCTGAAATTCGAGATGGAATTTCGAACTGAGATTTAGCAAAATCTGATGCTCTACATTTGTGAATTTTTTCTCAATTTCATTTTATTTGTTCTTTTTGCATAAAAAAATTGATTTACTTATAGAAAATTTTCATTTGCATTCTCTTAAACTTGCCTTGCATGACCGTATTACTGATTCTGTTCTAAACGTGAACTAAAAGGTACTACAGAATGACTGCCACTGATTATTTACCTTTGCATCTTTTTTAGTGATCCCATTTCTCACCGGTTATGCTTTTGACTAATTCAAACCTGATAAATATTGCATCTATTTGTATTATGTAAGTCAAAAGTCTAAGTTAAAATAGAAAATGAATTCCGCGAATTTTACAAATTTGATCTAAAACAAACCCCAAATCAAATCAAATACATGAATAAATCAAGGGAAATTAAACTTGAACAGTGAAGCCCACATTTGTAGGGGAAAATGGAAAAGCTTAGATTTAAATTCAAACAAAAGCATTGTGTTTTTCAGTTGAACTCAAAAAATCTTTTAAACCTTTTCAATAAAAGTTTAACTTTTATCCCAGCAAAATATCTCAAAGAACAAAAATAAAGATTGAAATAAATTATTACAGTTAACTTTCCAATCCTGATTAATCAATCAGTTTAACTCGAGTTATTTAATCAAAATCAACTGGGAGTGAAAAATAAGAATAACATAAGAAAGTTTCTTTTCCTTGCAAAGGTATTATAATACATTATTATTAAATTGTTAATAAGATAATAATATTTTTCATTTAACTGTGTGTTTTCAATTTACCATTCAATTCCCAGTGAATTGAATGTAAAATATAGGCGTTGATATGAGAATGATTTTAATGAAAAAGGATGAGATGTTGATTGCCTTTAGTTGAAAAGAGAATCATGAAGATGATGAAAAATCATTTAACCCTTTTTTCCCTATTAACTCATGGTTACAACTTAATCAACATTCATTTTATACCGGCGCAAGAAGCAAAAAAAGTAAAGAGAGAGAGAAGAGGATAAATAGCAAGAGATGATGATGAGCAACTTTTGCAATTCAAATTTGCTTTTCACCTTTTCCCGAGTGAAATAATCAAATACATGTATAACTTACATGAATATAAACACACATTATTCTCATGAATTTAGAGCTGAATTGAGGTTATTATGTGCATTGCTGTGTGTGTCTGCATATATTTCAATGAACTTGTGTAAATCATTGAGTAAATCCAAGTGAAATTTTTTTTCCATTTTTTATTTTCCTTTTTTTCTCACCTTTTGGTTTCGCTCATTTTTCATAATGAAAAGTATTTACAGAAAAAAATTCATTTTGCAAAACTTTCACCTTTTAATTTGCATTTATTCATTATAATTATCATTGATTGACGATCAAACAAAAGATTGGAAAATGAAAGTTGGAGTAAACATCGAAATTTTGATTTCACTTTGAAAGTTGTTCAAGATAATTGAGACTTGAAAATTGAATAAAAATGCAAAACCTGGGAAATCATCGAATCAAGTAAATAGAGAAGAAACCACAAAAATAAATCCAAGAATATTAAGATTGCTCAGGGCAATCGACAATGGAAATGCTAGAAAACAGAGATTCAGCATTAATCAGTGAAACTTATTGTTGATTCACCGACAGCCCTGAGTAAAGCATTATTTACAATTGGACTTGTTCAATGGTTCAATTGGAGGCAAATTTTTGAGTAGTTAATCAAGCATTTGTTTGAATCAAAATTTTCGTCACTTGCAACCTTTTCAAGACTCTGCTTTGCTTTTGGAAACTTTCATGACAAGAAGCAGAGACAGAAATTTTTTCATTCTTTTCATGTTTTTTTTCGCTGAAACAGTAATTAAACTAATCAAACTAATTGAGAGTAAAAATTGATTCCAAGCGAAATAAGATGAAGAGTAAAGATCAAAAGCAGAAAACATTTTCTGTTTTTTTCACCCAACAATATTTAGACAATCCAAATGCAATCATTAATGTTGATTGTCTTGTAAAAAGTGTTCAAATCACGCAAATTACCAATCCTTTTCAATTGATTTTTCATGTTTTCATTTGTAATGCTTTTCCTAAAAGGTAATTGCTCAGTTTATCATTTAAGTTGATGAAAGTTGAGAAAATTTAAAGAGAAAATTTTTCTCGAGAAAAAAGGTTTTTTATCCAATGTTAACCATTTCTCGATCCTTTGTACTTTAACTTCCCAGAAGGTTTCAACTTTGATTATTGACTGTATTAAGAAACATTTACATTCATTTAACGATTTCGTTTGGACAAGAGTCGAGTTGAAATGTTGATGGAAAAGGTTAAAAGTGTCAAACTGTGGACAAACTGAAACTTGGTGCAAGTGAATAATCGAGGAAAAGGCAAGAAAGAAAAGCTGAATAATCTTTCCATTCAACTTGCACATTCATCTTCATCATCATCATTATCATCGTTTTTCTTGTTGTTTTTCCTTCTTTTTCTTCATCTTCTTCTCTCAACCTTAACCTTGTTAAACTAGACCAACAAGAGCATTTACCTGTGAATAGATAACAAGATATTTCTTATTCTTCTCATTACACCTTCACCTTGCCTGAGTTTCACATTTAATATAACAAAAGTGATGAGGTTACTCCTCATTAAATGGCAAGATTAACTCTAACCAAAAAATCGTATTTCGCTCAAAGTAATTGTTCCAAAAGCCTTTTCACTATTTGCATTTTTTTCAATCTTCACCTGGATTCATGGTTGTTATTCCTGTTTCACTCATTATCACCATTCAATGCTAATAATCATTACAAGTCATCTTTTTATTGATCAAACCTACAAGAGTAAAGAGGTTTCCTTGAGGTTATTTTTTACCTGAAAATTAAGCCTTTATTGCATTCACATCATCAACAATGAATCATCAAAGTGCTTATGTTCATGATGATGATAATGAAGAATGAAAAAAAGTCTGTAAAAGAAAATTTTCTTTGTACAAAATGTTAATTAACACATTTTCACCCTTTTTGCTGTTACACTCAACCATAATCCAAGTTGACAATTAAGATCTTAACTTATCTTTTTGTTTCATTTGTTCAACAATTAGTAAAGGTGGAAAGTGCAGACAACAGCAAATGAGTTGACATTTGACGAGAATTGAACTAATCAGCCCAAAACAGGTAAACCTTTTACCTGAAAATGTGCAAAGAATGCAAAAGAAAATCCAAATCTTTTCAATTGTCAAATGTCATGCAATTTTCAGATCAAATCAAGACTTAAATATTAGTTATCCAAATAAGTTTAGATTGTTACATAAAAATGTCAATCCAATGATGAACCAAATTGTGGTTCATGTAACAATGTATCGATAATTTGAATCGTTAGAGACTTTTCGATGAAAAATTTTTCCATTTTCTTTTCATCATAATAATCAAACATTTTTTTCCCTTCCAACAGTGTGCCTACAGCTGAGTCGAGGTATATTTACCCTTGTTACACCAATTATTGGACCATCTTATGAGACTCTTGTTTCTTATTCAAATACCTTTCAGGTAAGTAGCAAATGTTTCACTTTGGTTAACCTTAAGTGAAGGAAAAAAAAGCAAGCGACGAAAACAAAGAAAACAATTGATTAAAGAAATGGAAACAATCAATCACGAGATTGAACTTGGAATGAAACGAAAAAGGTTTCGAAAGGAAAGCGAAAGATACTTTGTTTCGATTATCTGATTTCATATCCTTACAATTATTGATCATCTTCATCATCATTGTTATTAGATTAACGTTAGTGTTAAGGTTACATTATTTATGAACATGGTTACAACTTGGATAAAGAAGAGAAGAGAAAAAAAATTCTGAAAGATTATCATTCTTTTATTTTCAGTTATTAATTTTGGATTCACCTTATTCCATGCTTTAGACAGTTTCACCCTTCATGATAAACTGGGAAAAGGTTTTCACTGTCAATCCATAAATGGTGTAAAATAAACAAATGTCGAGTTTACTTATTCAGACATTTTTTCTTGCTTCTATTACTTGATGAGATTCATCCTGAGGGTTGAAAGGAAAAGATGTTCACATCTTTTCACATCTTAACATGATTTGTACAAATGAACAAAACCATGAAATTTGAAGTTTACAGAAAAAAAAGATAAACTTGATAAAGAAAAGATGTAAAGAGACGAAATTTGTTTTCATCTTTCACCTTTTCAATCTTCTGTTGTTCATTTTACTTGCATTTCAAGACATTTCAGTTATCAGACAACATGGAAAACTCGTCTTTTACCTCAACATGAACAGGTAAAGAAAAGGTTGAAAGAATCATTTACTGATGAAAGGAAAACGAGTCAACATTTACTTTTTTCTTAAGGTAGGCTCATGATGGAATCCATGATATGGACAAGCTTCAATTTGAAACCTTTTCTAGTTGAAACTTCATTGAGATACTTTTTTTCTGTTCAGCCTCAAGCATTCTCATTATACATTTGTTTCATGCTTAACCCTCAATCGACTGATCCATACTCATACAAGCTTACACTTCATTTTCTGGACCAAATATGTAACTACGAACATTTAACTTTAGGTTTAATGAAACATTGATTAGATTTTAATTTCAGGGAAAAACTTCTAAATGAATTCGAAGTTGAATATTTTACTCTTTTCTCCAAGTTTAGTGCTTTTAGTTTACTTGTCATCCAATGTTTACATGTTTAGCTTTTCATCTCAAGTGACTCTTGATCCTCTTCAACGATTAAATCATGTTTACATGGATAAGAAGGTAAATTTGGGAGATTTTTTACATCAGTTTGAAATTCAATTAAACTGTAATTGTTATGGAAAATGAATGAAACAATGAATTTTCATTTCTAGTTTTTGCATCAATGATGACTTTCGTTCAAGTGGGAAAATGGTTTTGTTTGTTGGTTAATAAATGATTCATCAATCTTGGTCAGAAAAATTATCATGAAATTGATTCGAGTTTGTTGTGGTGACAAAAATGCTATAAAGATGATAATCTATTATCAGAGTTTGAAAATAATGATGCAGTGAATAATGAAGAAAATGATTTCTTACCTTTCCTTTTTAATACCTTGCTTCTTTTGATCCTCTCATGATCAAAGATGAATGATGCTGGCTATGATCAACCTTTACATCTTTCATTTTAACAGCAAAATTGAGGACATAAAGTGAGGGATGAGAGTGAAATTATGAAATATGAAACATGCAAAAATTGAGCCTCTTTTTCGCCTTTCTTCATTAATGAACTTATAAATATATCGAGAACATTATTGATGTGAAATTAATGTTCAATAATCCTTTAGAATCATTTTTTTCTCATGGATTCGATTGCGATTTACTAGTATAAATGTAAAAATCAATAATGCTTAAACTTGAATTAGTCTCAGCTCTTGAAGAAAGTTTGTAGTAATTAATTTTCTGCTTTAATCGTTGCTATTTGAAATGGAATTAGATTTATTATTCCTTTTTTTCAATTCCAATGAACAATTATCAAATTGAAAAATAAATGTTTATTCAGTAGAAATCAATTCCAATCATCGATCTAAACATTTTATTTAGAAAAACTATTTCGAAAACATGGATAAAATGAACTGTTGCTATTGTATGAACGAGCTGAGACTAAACAAGTTAGTCAAGACTGAAAGTTACATAAGTAACATTTTGAACCTTTTATGCGATTTGAGATTTTAAAGCAAAATCAGATGCAAAACCATTGGGTTAGTAAGTTTACTTGTCATAAGGTATGATCGGTAGAGTTTTCAACAACTTTTTCGAAGTTTAATTACGGCAGTTAGATCAGACTTAAAATGGACTTCTTGAAATGTTGTGCAAAATATAATAAGTTACTTTATCAAAAAATATCAAGTTATGTGTACTAATTTTCGTCGCTTATTTTTAAATTTTCTGTTATTCGTGTTACTTGAATGAATTTTTTCCTCTCTTTTTTCATCTCAGATGCCTTTCATTCATCCAGGATATCCGGAAACAAACAGTCAAAATATTCCCAATTTTGGATTAAACATCCGACCAGAGTATCTCAAAGCAATAGTCGAAGTTATCAAATTGTACAGATGGAAAGACATAATCTACATTTACGATTCAGACGAAGGTAAGTAAAAAAGACCCATTCTAACAATCTGTTTGCCACATGAAAATGGAAACAAATTTTCGTTTGTTTGGTGCAAAATTCATGTACAAAGCTAAAAGTTATCAGATTATTCAGTCAATTTATCAATGCAAAATCAGATTATCAGTTTGCACAAAATCTGAACAAAAAACAATTTTCATTCAAATGTGAATATAAAATGGACAAACCAGAAAAGAGTGAAAAAAAGTGTGAAAAAAAACATTTTGCTTCATCATAAAATTGTGAATATCTACAAGTGAACAATGATCAACTGTGAACTGGAAAACATGAAAACAGAAATAATAAAAATGATGAAATTCTAATAAAATGTAATAAGGAAGAAGAAGAAAAATGTTGATAATATTGAAATTACCCAGAATATGAAACTGTAAACATTCTAATGGATCATTAGGTAAGCAAGAATCCATTCAATAGCAATAATAAATGGAAATAATGTTTCAGACTCTAGTCAAGGGAAGGCAAGACAGGCTTACTCCAAGTTATCAAATTATCGGTTAACTGTGATAACAATCAAATTTTATTATTAAAACAAGAAACTGAAACTTGTCTGTTTACATTAGATAATGGCAATATTATTAGAGTGATAAGAGCAAGAAAAAAAATCAAATTCCCAAAAAGCTGATAGTAAAAACTCCCAGTTGAAATTAGAAAATAACATCAAAATGATAACGAGATAACAGTGCAATAAAAGTGTTGTGGCAATGTTACAATATTTGATAATGAGATTTTCGTCAATTTCGAGACAAAATATTTTCTTTGGACATTTGAATTTCTCTTGACTCCCAGTTTGCCATAAATTTTGTATTACCATTGAAATTACCTTTAGGAATGAAAACTTTATACTTTTGACTTTGAGTTTGGACTCAAACTGAGTATTTGAAAAGTTTGTTCAAAGTAAAGAAAGTTCATGCTGAGGCACTTTGAGACTCTTTAAGATAACTATTAATACTCTAAAGGAAATAAATAATAAAGCATGAGATTTCATTTCTCTCATCTTATATTATTTTTTGTTGAGAATTTTTTTTTCTCTTTTTTCTTCTTTGCTTCAGAATTTTCCATTTTACTATTCAATATAGCAACACCATGTTGAAGTGAAAAAGTCATGACAATTTAACATTCAACCGTGACTTTTCCTCATTTTAGTCTTCAAGAGGTTTACCTTTTTCCTCTTCTCAGTATTGCCATCATCATCATCAGAATCCTCTTTTCTTCATCATGAAATGATAAAAAATTATTCTCAACCTTTTGCCAGGTAAAAGTTTATCTTTATAAACTTTATCTTTCAATGTGAATACAATAAGGCTTTTTTTGGGCAAATTTTTTTACTTTTCTTTTTTATTTCTTTTCTTTCATTTTTTTATTGAATTTTATCTATTCATTCATGAACAACTGCACAATCCACTGAAACTTTGGACATTTTTCTCTCTTTGTATTACCTTCTGTTCCAAGGAATGAGAAGAGGATAAAACTTTCGATAATATGATTGAAATGATATAAGAATGAAATATTTCGATGGATTAATTGGATTGATTGAGTAAATGCTTTTTTCGCCCTTAATAGTTTCTTGGTAAACCTTTGTTGAAACTTGATGAGCCCTTGAACCACATGAAAGTATATCAATTGTGTTGCATGAAAATGTGATAATGGTCAGCAAAGTTAGGCGATGATCGATTCAACGAAAATGCTCAGTAATTTATGCGATTTGCAGTAAAGTTACAAAAAGTGAACATAACTATTGTAATATAACGATTGTTAGAATGCAATTTGATGATAAAAAATAAATGATTATGTGGCCGTGTATGCTTATTTTATGCTAATAAATACCCATTAAAAGTTCATTTCACGATTCCGTGACATTTCAATTTTGGTAAAAATGAAGTTGCGTTGAAACAAGGTTAAATAATTCTCCAAAACTGCATGGTGCTCAATCATTTTATTACAAAATTTTGCAGTCTTTAGATTTCGAAATAAATCTTAGTACGAAGAAAAACTGCACGAGAATATTGTTCATTGTTCAGGCAAATCAAATTTCCTGAATGCAATTGTTTTACAAAACCTAATATAGAATGATTTATTTTGATTTGCAAAACTAAGATATTGAATTGGATGCTTGATTTTTTTCCTCGTTCAGTCATTTTTGGTTCGTTTGAAAATTAGCAAGTTTTGCAAATATTTGTGAATGAAACTAAATGAACTGTAAAGCATTCCTGTCCATTGTTATTGCCAACTTTAATGGAATGAAAAATTTCAGAATCAAAGGTTTACTCAGTTATCAGTTTCCCAATCAACATGATAATAAGCAGAATATAATTGATCCAATCAACCAAAATGTTTACCTTTTTCGTCACTTTTCTACTTTGGCTGATTATCATCAAGTTGAGAGTATTTTTTGTAAACTTGGAAAGGATAACATGAATGCTGAAAATAATGTTGAGAAGCGAAGTGAGAATGGTAAAAGTGATATTCAATTATCTTACTTGGCTAATGTAGACGTTATTATTAGTAAACATTTTCTGCTTTTCCACTATTTTCGTATTACATTGGAGTTGCATGATCTTGGTAAAGTGTTCTTAAAGTGAGTATTCAGATAAATGTTGAATTATCCTTCTTTACTGTTGGTGATGAGACGAGAGAGAGAGAGAAAAAAGAAGTAAATTTTTTGTTCACTTTCAAGAAAGTGATAATAGAAAATAACATTTCTCCTTACCTCATCCCTTTCCTTCGATATTTCTTGAGCTCAACATTTTCCTCGTCACATGCATACATTTGCATATAAAACAATTTCACTGGCATCATTAACATTTTTTTTCGTTCGAAGTTTCCAAGCTTCACATTGAAGCAAAAGTGTGATATAATTTTGTTCATCTTACCATGCATAATAAAGACCATATGACAGCATGCATATTCATGAAGGGAATAAACTGAGAGCAGGTAGATTAAAGGTGTTCAAGATTGAAAAGTGTTGGTTTACGAAATAGAGCAAAGTTTACGAATTAAAGAGCAACAATGTTCCATCTCTGAGCTCATCTTCAATGAGAAAATCAAAAGCTGGGTTCATTTCAATTTCACAAGTTTATCGTTAAGTGTTTCAAAATCCAAATGGATAAAAGTTTGAACAGAATTGAATGATTCTGTTGCAAAACATATTCAGTGGATTTACATGATCGAGAAGTAATGCTTTCTGCTAACCTAACTTGACCTAACATAACCTCTCAACAAACGTTGCCACTGATCTTGATTAACCCTTTGACCAAGGATTACAATTTGGCTCATATTTCATCCGTCACTTGAGTCTCTGTTTACTTACAGTAATTTGACCTGCAACCTCAAAGCTTAGCTCAGTCATTTGACCCAAAACTAACGATAATAAATATTGATTGAATCTTTTCTCTGATTGGAAGTTATCATTGCAGTACAAGATTCATCGATTGAGTTTACATTCAAAGGCCCTGATCATGAATCTCAAACTTTGACCATTTCAACAGAATATTGAATTTATCTGAACCGTCCGAACTTCATAACTTTCAGAACTGAGCATTAATTTATCTTCGAGTTGATATCTTGAATGTTCTGATGTTTCATTTGCATCTTATTTAGAATGTTTTTTTTCTCGAAATCTAAATTCGTATTTTATTTGATTGTGGTTCTTGATAAGTTTTGATCATTAAATGTTGACTCAGAATAACACGCTTTAATTGAATGAATCTGAATGAAATTGAGAAGAAAATATCATGAGAATAGAGGAATGGTAATCGAGGATTCAATTGACAACAAGGGAAGGTTAATGGATTTTGTTTTTATTTGATAAATTGAGTTGTTAAAAGGTAACATTATTGTAATATGATAAATGGATTGACAATATTAAATTACAATGATTATAATCAGAGATTCTCATTCATGGGAATTGAAATTTGCCTTATCAGATTAACAGGAAAAGGGAATAAAAAATAATTTATTAAATGTTCTAATAAAGAAGTCGCGCAAAAAACCAACCGACAAAAGATACAAACTAATAATTTACTCAAGGGAGTTGAACACTTTTCTTGTTATCATCTTTTTTATGCTCGTTTGCTTCATTTATTGAATGCAAGAGACTTGAATAATCTCCAAGTCAAATCTTTCTTTTCATGGAAACAATTTGATAAAGTTCTGCAGTAAAACGAATAATAACAATGTTTGTAATGAAACGCGCAATATAATTGAGATATTTGATTGATAAAGTTACATTAAAATTCGCAAGTTTCAATTGTTCCGTAAATCGTCACCTGATTTCATCCTTTAAGCCAAGCTATTGAAACCAGAACAAAATCCAACCGATTTAAAGTTCTGTCAGTTTCTACTGTTCTTTTCTGCTCTCTGATTCAGGATTCTTCAAAACACTTCTTTGAATCAAATGCGAATCAATCATGCATTCAATCCCGGAATTCCCAGAAAGTGATAATTTTATTAAGGTTGAAGAGGGCAAATTGCTTGAAAGACGTAACATTACGTGCAAGAAAATTTAAATATTTATTCTGTTTTTGATTGGACTTTTTCAATTAACTTTTATTTGTTAAAATTTTGATTGATTCATTGCTCAGGCTCAGCCACAAAAATTTAGAAACGTCATGATGCATGATTTTGAAATATTTCAAATGCTTATTTAATTGGTAAAATTCTTTGAATTTTCCCTGATAAATCCATCAGAATAGACTCCAATGATTTGTGAACAAAGTTTTTGATCACAGCTTAGAGATGAGTGATGAACCAAACAAATGATTATAAAATGAGATGCTTAGTTTGCAGCAACAAAGTATTATTTTGTATCAATATCAATATCTTTGTAATCATAACAAAAGATTCTGCTTAAAAAATCTATTCCCAGGATTTTCCATAAAAGAAATCAGTTTGACTAACGAAAATTTCCATTGATTTTCTTCGATCTTCAATAATGAAGACAAAAAGAACTTTTTGTGGTACAATTTCGATTCGAATTTAATAATTCAAAAGAGTCTGATTTTCACGATTGTTTGTATTTTCTTATATTTTAGGTTTAATTAAACTACAACACGTCTTTTCAATTTTATACTCGGATGGACACACTCTTCATTTGCGAGCAGTGAAGAGAATCGCCAACGGTATTGAAGGCCATTCTTTCCTTCGAGCAATTGAACACAAAGAAAAGGACGCAATGAAATATGTTATCGTCGAATGTGACGCTAAAGTAGCCAAAGAAATGATCTCTCGTCATGTTCGCGACATCTATATGGGTCGACGAAACTTCCATTATTTTTTAACCAATTTGATTATGGACCAGTTTACAGGGATGAAAATTGATGAATTTGGTGCCATCAATATAACTGGATTTCGCATACTCAATCGAAGTTCAATCTTTTTCCGAACTTTCATTAGCTCTTGGAAAGCATTGGATCCTTTCCACTGGCCAGGAGCTGGACATCGTTACATTTCGGTAAGAAAAACAAAAGAAAAGTTTTGCGAAAAAATGAAACCAAAAAATAAGAAAAGAAACAAACTAAACAGGAGCAAAAATGCAACCAAATTCATTATTTATTTTAGCTATCAAATGGCAAAACAAGAGTAAACTTGAAAAAAAAGATAAAAAAACTCCCAACTGGGAGTGAAAACTGTTATCTTTTGTTTTATTTATAATCAACTACGTGAACAGAACAAATCATTGGATTGACCAAGAATAATTCATTATTGATAATCATGAAGTAGTAATAATAAGCAGGGAAAAAAAGGTTAATCGTAAAAAAAATGTTGACCGAAGAAGAAAAAGTTTCAACTGGCAAAATGGATGCTTTTATCATCATCATGAGATTAAATGTCACAATTGACTGAATAATAGTTGAAAGAAGAAGAAAACATTTTTTACTTTTAAAAATTGAATGGAAAAAAAGAAAGAAGCAGAGAAAAGAAAGCATTTCTAGATTATGAGCAAACATGATACAAACTTGTAACTGAATTCTGTATTCGCCATTCACACATTAATCTCTTCATAACATGAGATAACTGAACTTTCCAAGACTACTCATGTTTCCCTTGTTAACCATACAATGCAGTAAAAGGATGTTAATCTAATGTTACCTGGGTCAATATTTAGTTTCAACAAAATGTCACTTTTCCTCACTTTACGATTCAATCAGTTTCACCAAGTCTCCATGAAATGAGCAATAATCAGGAGAAAGTTTTGTCTGAAAATGAATTTTAATTGACATTAAAGGATAAACAAAAGACCAGAAAATGTTTCATTTTGTTTCAAATGTACATTTGGTATCGAGTAAAAAACTATTTTTAGTCGTTCTTTCATACCTTTGGTCCATGTTATCAGATTTGTTTCCATCTTTTTCTTCTGCATCCTTCATCATCATCTTGAAACACAATTCATGGAACCATCTATTATTTCACTGAATAGATTCTGTTGTTATACTCTTTCTCTTTCCTCTCATTTTGCCTCCTTGTTAGAACATCTTTTTTTTCTTTATCATCATTTCGTTCCCTTGTTGCTATCAGTTTGTGTGTTCATCAATCAAGGTAAAACATTTTAATCGAAAAATATTGAACAATTTTTCTCAACAAAATTATCATCATTTCTGTCTTCCTGTTTACATCTTTCTCACTTTTAGTCGGTGTAAAGTTGAAAGAAGAAGAAAAATTTTCCTCATTGTCTTCATTATTATTGTACAAAGAATGTAACCCAAAATTACCTTTTTTCAGGTGTATTAATACCACTTTGTCTTCCATGTCATCTTGCGTCAATACTTTATCCTTTCAATATTTCATTTTCAGCAAGTTACCTTTGCCAGTGGTTGTTGATTCTCATGTGAATCAATGTTTTTGTCTCTGCTTTCGATCTCAAAGTTTCATTTTTTACTTTTTCGTTGAAAGAAACAAAGTTTTAAAAGTTTGATTGCTTCCAGGCTGATGCTGCTCTTATGTTTGATGGAACTCGAATCTTGCTTGATGCACTGGATCGCATATTGACCGATCGACCCAATGTATTTGATGCCAATTTACGTGACAATGAAGTTTATAATGGAAACAATCCAAAGCCTGGGATCAATTGTGCTGAAACTTATCCAACTCTTTACTGGGAACATGGAAGGTTAATTGTTCAATACTTGAAACAAGTAAGTTGATTGATTTTGCAGCTCAAATTTCAGCTACAACCACAAATAAGAAGCTTTTGGTTCAATCCTTTCAAATAACATTTTCTCATTTTTTAAGTGTTTCAAATTTCTATTCATTTTCTTATTAGGCAAATCAAAAAGTTTAACAAGAAAATTGCATTCGAAAAACTTTATCAAATTAAAACAATTAAACAAAAATTAGCGCAAATATTGAAATAACTTTAATTGCTTTTCAAAAAGGGACAGATTGTCAATAAGACTTTCACAGAAACTTGATGACTTGAAGTCAAATGTGTTTTCAACATTCAAGCAATAACTGCGATTCTTACCCTTTCTACCCAAAACGGAATGATCCTTTGATCCAAAAAATGATGAACAGAGTTAACTAGAGCTAACTTGCGTTTATCAAGCAACGAACAATAAGAATTCTTTTTTGTGCCGAACATTCTGATCAACCTAATAATGATATATTTTACTTCTACCCAAACACTTTTTTCTTGTTCCTTTTTAGACTAATATTGAAGGTTTAACGGGGCGAATTGTCTTTGATGATTCAAGTGTTCGTCGCAATTATTCAATAGACATGATTCAAACCACAATGAATAGTGAGATGACCAAGATTGCTGAATGGTCAGAAGAAGAAGGAATGTCTTCAGTTCCAGCAAACTATCATCGAGTTTACCAGAATAACGCCAATTATGAAAATAAAACTTATATTGTTACGAGTATTATTGTGAGTAAATTTTCTGTTCAATTTATTTTCTTTGGTTTTCACCTTCAAGTCTAAACGAAACATGAGAATGATAAATGAAAATATTTATTCACAGGAAGAACCTTACTTAATGTACAAAGAAGTGGGTGAAGATGGAGTTGAATATGAAGGTAATGATAGATTCGAAGGTTACTGTAAAGATTTGGCAGATTTAATTGCTGAACATTTGAAGATAAATTATGTGCTTCAACTTGTGGCTGATAGAAGGTATGGTGGAACCGATAAAAACTCCCCTGTTGGATGGAACGGAATGGTTGGTGAATTGATTAAACAGGTAAATAGATTTAAACATTGTTTTTACATCGATAATGGTATAAAATGGAAACATTGGATTAGTCAGTTTTTTGTTTTGCCAAACTTTTCTCTCTTCTGTTTGTTTGCCTTTTAAATATTTCATCGGTTAATTCAGTGTTTACCGTTTCAATCTGATTTACTGTTGTTTTCCTTTTGATCAGATAAAATCTCTCTCCTGAGAATCAAATCTCAACATTTTTATTGCATTTTATCTGTTGGAACAATGTTTTCCTGTTTATCCTGAAATATCATTCAGCTTACATTTATCCCATTCAAGTGAAACATTTATCACGACAGATTGAAAAATGTAAATATAAAACCAGAATCAATATCAACTTGAATCAATCTTGAAAATGTGTCAACTTTTCACTCAATAATATTAATGCATTTTTCAGTTCAATTAGATACGCCATTCAGGAAATCTTGAGTTCCTTGGATGATCAATATGTTAACCAAACAGTAAAAGGGTTTGATATTGAACAGTTGAAAATGCGGGGCAAAAGTTTCGCCTATTTTGATGACGCTATAACAGACAAGGTGTAGATTTAGGTGCATCTTGAATGATCTTTTCCGTACTTTTAGTCCGAATTGGCTAAACATGGGAATTTAATTACTTTAAAATTGCATTTTATGCAAAATCAATCAATTGGAGTATAAGTTCAACTCGATTAAAATTTCCCTTCGACTATTTACTAGACTGAATTTGTACTTTCATGTCTCATGTTTTAACGGGTTGAATAGAAACGTTCCATGAACAGATTGAAAAGTACTTTCGCAAAATTAGAGTTTAATGCTTTTTGCAGATACAAATACAAATAAAAAACAATGAAATTTTTTAAATTGAACTAGATGGTGTATTGAATGCTATTAATGGATGTTTTCCATGAGTTTGTCTATGAAATGAATCTTTTAGCAATCAATTTGAATCCAATGAATCCACCAGCAAACGCCAATATAAATACTATTGTGCTCAATCCGATTGCTAATGCGAAGTTGTTTGATTTCGTTGGTGTTTTCGCTAATGCTTCAGGTGTCTGTGGCTCAGTTTTGCTCTTTCCTTTAATTTTCTTATGATTGATGTAAATGGAACAAATTTTTTTGTCGTTTTTTGATTCTTCGAATAGTTGAGGTTGATTAACATTATTTGGTTTAACATTGACTAGTGTACAACTCGACAACGCAATACTGCTATCGAATAATTTACTATAATCAACTGTTTCACAATATTCGAGAGTAAAACAATTAGGATCTGAATTGCATCTGGAAGCACAGTGTTCTAATGATAAATGGTCAAATGTTCCAACAATCGATTCTTTCATGTTATCTTTCAATGCAAGTCCAACTTTATGTTCATAATCGAGTTCAGATTTCTCTATTAAAGTAAAAAGATTGGATAATTAGTAAATATTGACCAGACTTTAAGCGAAGATTTTATTACTTGAATAATGGGAACATCCAGCTTCAGCAAACTTCCAGTTCGTTATATTTATTTCACGAGTTTCATCTATCTCGATGTGATTAACGTGTAAAAAACAAAGAGATTGATCCCTGGATGGAATGAAAATTAAAAATTGTTTAAATTAATTAAAATTACGGCAGTCTTAATGTAAAGTTCATCTTCTCAAATCTGTAAAAAGATTCTTACTTGTTACTCATTCAAAATATTTTGGTCTTACAAAATATTTCAATAAAGTACACTTTCAGTAGAAGTAGCAAAAATTTCAGTTTGAGGTTATTATGTATGCCGTCAACTCACCGATTTGCATTGTTTTCACAGTAATCGAATGATTCACATTTGAAGGAACTTGATTGAGCACATTTGCTAGCACAATCCGTCATTGATACATCATATTCGGTTGAGATGGCATCTACTACTAGACTTTTTCCAGGATACTCATGGAATAGATTTATGAATGATTCTAAATTGAAATTGAGGGACGAAATTAATTTAAGAAATGAATGAATGAGCTAATATGTTATATTTACTTTGATAGATGTTGCATCCATCTGCATGACTTATTTTGTCTTCGTGTGCGTCTTTCAGTGAACTCGGTGTTTCTCCACTCAGAATACATTCCTTATTCTCATTGATACAATATGAAAGTGTGTTACAATAATCATCATTCAAGCAAGCCATGAAACAATCTTGAAGAGTACTTTTCTCCATCTTGAATTGGGCTTCATTGAAATGACGATCAGTTTGGATCATCGGAAAATCATCAGCTCTTAAAGGTCTGGAACCACTTGTATGTAGTTCCTGTGAAATATCCCCAAGCTCTTCAGGGCCACTTACAATGAACAAATCTTCAGCTGATAGCCCCTCGCCACCTATGGAAAACTCACCAGAGGAGATTTTATCCCTCATCTGTTGTAACACGTGAGACATGGTCGACAGATAGTTCTCATTGACCAATGGTATAAGATCAAATTGATCTTGAGCCCGAGAATATGTTATGCAGTCATCTTTGGCATCGTATATAGCTGAACCAAAATGCGTCTGTTTATCTACTAAACAATCATAATTGGAACAATAGGTAAAAGAAAAACACTTTTCAGTTGCACTGCATAGCGCTTCACAGTCCTCGACTTTCATCCTTTTAAAAATGTTTGCAGGATTTATGATTGTATATTGATTCATAGGACGATACGCATCGATGTAATGAATACGATCATGTAGCTTAACAGTAACATAAAAGTTAGAATCGACTTGTTGTGCATGAATTTCACCAATGCGAGTTATTGGAATGAATTGTGACAAGTAAATTCCCATTCCGTTCTTGAATGATGGCATATCAAATTCACTCAGCGAAGGATTTGAAAAGAGAAGTTGAAACCAAGTAAAGTTTCCTGGTTCTTCATAGCATCCAGAAACGTCGAATCGATCTTCATAGTCGAAGGAACCTTCTTCGTAATCAATTATGGTTACTTCAACTTGAATTGGTGTGTTAGGAAAGTCATAATAATAATCACTTCGGTCTTTGGTGAATATGACTTTACTCGGAACAGAGTTACTGGTATTCTGCGTGTAGTAATAGTCAACAATGGCATCAACTTTATCTGAGAAGAAGTTGGATGCTTTCCATTCCTCCACTCGAAAAGGACCTAAAGGTATATTACCAATGAAGGTTGTTGTATAACCTGCAGGTGGTTTCATTACTAGATAATAAAGTAGATTGAATCCATGATCTTCATGGAAAGGCCAGCGGGTAATTAGCGTTACATCTGACAAATAATCTGACGTTAAATATCTACATCGACCAGTGCGTTCATCAACTTCAAATCGTCCTAAAGGAAGAGGCAATTCAATGGAACGTACTGTACCAATTTTTTCTTTGATTTCATATGAAATGGTTTTGCCTCGTTTCGTTACTCGAGCAGTTGATTTAATGAGATCAGTGTCAGAATAGGTAATGATAGCTTCCATGTCCAAAGTAAACTGCTCGACTTGACTAAAATCTGGTAATGGATAGAGTGAAGGAGTACCTTTACGAGCACATCCATAGCCCAACGGATATGGAATGGAATCATCTGATGATATGACTAGCGGTTTGAACATGTAAAAGTTGTAAACATATTTTGACTCGGAATCAACTTGCTTTTTGATTGTTCGAGTCTCATTGATTGAAATGACCTCCTGAGTTTCAATCCATTCGGGATAATACAACGAGAACCGATAGGGCAATGAAGTCTTAACATCAAAGTAAAAGTCAATGTAAGGTCCATTAGGATTGGTACAATAAAACCAATGATTAACACTACGACCTTCAATCAGTTCGGATCCTATGAAGGAAGCTTTATCACTTATACTGTTGGCATAAATCATCAATGCTGTTGGTCCCAAATGAATGAAATCTTTAAACATCTCTGAACTGGCGACAATATCACTTGGTTCAAACCAATCTTTAACCGATTCGATCTTCTCATTTTGGGTTAAATCAAGTCTCGTACATGTATCTTTTCGTACAGCAAGCTTTTCGTCTGTTGAGTGATAATAATAACGTCGATTCATTTTATCTTGAATGGTCGCTTCCAAGTCAATGTAACCAACTTTATTTTCCACATCATAATAATCATGGACCAAATTATTTCGAGTTGGATTAATGACTTCAACAGAACAACGATAACCAGTTTGTTTATCAATCAAACTGAGAACATTCGGAACTTTTAATTCACCCACTTTACCCCTTTCAGGGCATTTGAAATCATCACAAAAAACTGAGTTTATCAAGTAAAGAAAACAGAGAGAAAAAGAAAAGTTTAACACATTTTCCATCTTGAACTTTATTGTTGATATTTAAAAGTTGATGCTGTGAAAAGTTGCATAAATAAAATAATTGAACCTGATCCATTCAATTTTTACTCTAAAAAATCAGAAATCAAATAATTCTGCACGGAACATTATATCTCAACAATTTATAAGCGCTGAAAGGGGCGTCAATAGATTAAATAACAATAGCAGGTTATAATCTCATTTATGGTTGGGGTGAAAATGTGTGAAATCTTTGTTGTGGTAAATATCTTGATTAATTAAGGATTAATTCAACTGACTAGCTTTACGTTAATCCTAAAAAAGTGGGTGTTGAATTCAAATCATTATTAAAACCAACAATCTTGGTTTGACCTGAAAGTTGTGATGATCAGACTTTTCGATGATTACTTATCCTTGTACTCTACAAAATATTTCAGTGTGTTTCAAGAATAGCATCAATAAATTAAAATAGCAAAATAAAAAGGCTTTGTTGTTGATTAATCATGATCGACAATTCGGAACTAAGAAAAGCAACCTCGATCCAAAGGTTGAATTCCACATAATCAGTGATGTAAATTTGAAACTTCTAATCATTAGTTAATTATTCTGGTTAATTGCTTTTGAAATCTTTCTTTTTGCGCATTTTCTATGAGAGTTTTCAATACGATTTTCTATCAAAATCCTAAAAAATCTAAAAATAACCTTCCTATGGAGATGATTGATAATTATATAACCTGCCTCAATCAATTTCAATAAATAAACGATAACAAATCTTCACACAATGTGAAGGATCAAACTTAATCCATTAGTGCTATTGAAATTTTCCATCGACAGTTTTCGAGAAAATCGAGGTCAAAGTCGAGGTCGAGTTAAAACCTTGCTTCTTTTTTCATGAAAAGGATTTTTTCCGTTGTAAAATACAATGAGCAATCATAATATTTCGAGAAAGATAATTTTGTGTAACTGTACAACAGATCACTTACATTTACGAATATGTTATTCGCTTTTAGCAACAATGGTAGAGAATGAGCTGAAACTCATATCAAGAATGGTAACACTACAATCATTTTTTCACAATTTATTACATTTTACTGCAATATTCTAAAATAAGAAGTGATTCGAAATAGACAAAAAAAGTTATAACTTTGTATTTAATTTGTTGTCAAGTGAGTGTTTTATGATGGCTAATATTTAATTTTCATTCCATCATTCTTGAAATGCCTAAGCAGCTAGCTGTCGATTCAGGGTGTTGATACGTTCCAATATTGCATCCAGTTATGACATAGCGTTAGTGCACAAAATTTGCACTGGTTCAGCCAAGTTGAAATGAAGTCTACGCTATAGATTGAGATAACTTTTTATCTTGCATCAAAAGTCATTGTTTTAATATTATGGGATGAATCTAGAGATCGAGATAGTATAAAAGTCCACTTCTGAGCCTCATCCTGCGCCACCGTCTGAATCTGTATCTAATTAGCTTTTCAACTTTAAACGAATTGACGTCATCCGTTGTTGAGTCATAATTGTCAATATACCGTTGATAAATTTTTGTGAAAAGTCTACTATTCTCTCCATCTTTTTGATAAACTAACCAAGTTATAATTCCAGACTGTTTTTTGAATTCCAACTCGATTTTTTTCTTGAGAACTTGAGTGATGGTAATAAAAAAATTAAATAATTCAGTAAATGGAAAAATTATGAAACAAAAAGAAAATCAATACAAAGTAAACAATCAATGTTGATGCTACATCCGCAAAATCAAGTGGATTAAGGCCTGTTGAACTTGCAGGCCCCTCAATATTTGCTCGTCAAATTATAATTTTATTTAATTTATTAATTTTATCCCTATTTATTTAATTGGTGTTAGAGAGTAAAAAATCTTACGAAGTCGTTGTCAAGAGAGTGTTTTATGATGGCTAATATTTAATTTTCATTTTCATCATTCTTGTAATGCCTAAGAAGATACTTGTCGAGTATTATTTTATTTATTATTATTTTTTATTTTTCATTTATTGGTAATTTTAACTCTGAAAATTCAATAAGATTTAGTGCTAGTCTCTCAGTATTTCGAAATAGGCGCAGTAGAAGTTGGTCTATGAAACGAAACCTTTCCGAGCAGCAAATTTGAATCCAATGAATCCACCAGAAAACGCCAATACAAATACTATTGCACCGAACCCGACCTCCAATGCCAAGTTATTTGATTTCATCGATGTTGTCAATGATTCAGATTTATGGAGATCGATTTTGCTCTTTTCTGTGATTTTCTTATGATTGATGTAAATTGAACAAATTTTTTTGTAGCTTTTTGATTCTTCAAATAGTTGAGATTGATTAACGTTATTTGGTTTAAAATTGGTTAATGTACAACTTGACAAGGAAAAACTACTATCCGAAATCGGGTTGAAATCAGTAATTTCACAATATTCGAGAGTAAAACAATTAGGATCTGAATTGCATTTGGAAGCACAGTGTTCTAATGATAGATGGTCAAAGGTTCCAACAATTGATTCTTTCATGTTATCTTTCAATGCAAGTCCAACTTTATGTTCATAATCGAGTTCAGATTTTTCTGTGAAAAGTAAAAAGATTGGATAATTAGTAAATATTAACCAGACTTTAAGCGAAGATTTTATTACTTGAATAATGGGAACATCCAGCTTCAGCAAACTTCCAGTTCGTTATATTTATTTCACGAGTTTCATCTATCACAATGTGATTAACATGCAAATAACAAAGAGATTGGTTCCTGGATGGAATGGGAATAAAAAATAGAAAAAAACAAACTCATTAACAAAAGTGGCAAAAATTTAAGTTCGAGATTATCATTAATGCCATCAACTTACCGGTTATTACCATTTTCACAGTAATCGAATGATTCGCAATTGAAGGAACTTGATTGAGCACATGTGCTAGCACAGTCAGCAATCGATACATCATATTCGGTTGAGATGGCATCTACAACTAGACTTTTGCCAGGATGCTCATGGAATAGGTTTATGAAGGATTCTAAAGGGAAATCAAGAGTCGAAATTAATTTAAAAAATGAAATAATTCGTTAAAATATTTACTTTGATAGATGTTGCATCCATCTGCATGACTTGTTTTGTCTTCAAATGCGTCTTTCACTGAACTCGGCGTTTCTCCACTCAAAATACATTCCTTATTCTGATTGATGCAATATGAAAGTGTGTTACAATCATCGTCATTTAAACAAGCCATGAAACAATCTTGAAGAGTACTTTTCTTGATCTTGAATTGTGCTGCATTTAAATGATGATCAGTTTTGATCATCGGGAAATCTTCAGCTCTTAAAGGTCTGGACCCACTTGCATGTAGTTCCTGTGAAATGTCACCAACCTCTTCAGGTCCACTCACAATGAACAAATCTTCAGCTACTAACCCAACATACTTCAAAAGAAAGTCGCCTGATGAGACTTTATTCCTTATCTGTTGTAATACGTGTGGCATAGTCGACAAATAATTTTTATTGACTAATGGTGTAACATCAGATCCATACATATAACGGTGATGAGAACTGCACCCATCTTTGACCTGTATTGAAGCTGAGCCCCAATGATCTCTAAGAAGTATTAAACAGTCATAATTGGAACAATAGCTAAAATCATAACACGTTTTAGTTGCACTGCATAGCGCTTCACAGTCCTCGAGTTTCATCCTTTTCACAATGTTAGAAGGGTTGATAATTGTACTTCGATTAGAACTACCATAAGCATCGATGAAATGTACACGATCGAGTAGCTTAACAGTAACATATATATTGGAATCTACTTCTTGTGTATGAATCGAACCAATGCGAGTTATTGGAATGAATGAAGTCAAGTATTCTTCTGTGGATTCTTTAATAGCTTGCAAAGCGAATTGACTCATCCATGGATTTGAAAAGAGAAGTTGAAACCAAATAAAGTTTCCTGGTTCTTCATAGCAACCAGAAACGTCGAATCGATCTTGATAATCAATGGAAGTGTCTTCGTAATCAATTATGGTTACTTCAACTTGAGTTGGTGTATGTGGATGGTTATAAAAATCATCACTTCTATCTTTGGTGAATATGACTTTACTCGGAACAGAATTGCTGACATTCTGAGTATAATAATAGTCGACAATGGCATTGACCATATTTGAGAAGAAGAAGGGCGCTCTGTATTCTTCCACGCGCAAAGGTCCTAGAGACACTTCACCAATGAAAAGGGGTTCATAATTTACGGGTGGTTTCATTACTAGATAATAAAGTAGGTTAAAACCAAGATTTTCATGGAAAGGCCAGCGAGTGATAAGTGTGATATCAGAAGAATAATCATCTGTTAAATATCTACATCGACCGGTGTGTTCATTAACTTCAAATCGTCCTAAAGAAACAGGCAATTCAATTAATCGAACTGAACCACTTTCTTCTTTGATTTCGTATGAAATGACATCGCCTCGTTTCATTACACGAGCAGTCGATTTGATAGGATCAGTGTCAGAATAGGTGATTACCGCTTCCATGTCCAAAGTGAACTGGTCAAATTGACTAAAATCTGGTAATTGGGTAGTCGGACGAGTGCCTCTACCAAAACATCCATAACCCAATGGATAAGGAATTTGATCCTTTGATGATATTACCAGCGGTTCGAACATATAAAAGTTGTAAACATATTTTGACTCGGAATCAACTTGCTTTTTTACTGTTCGAGTTTCATTTATTGAAATGACCTCCTGAGTCTCAATCCATTCAGGATAATACAACGAGAACCGATAAGGCAATGAAGTCTTAACATCAAAGTAAAAGTCAATGTAAGGACCATTAGGATTGGTACAATAAAACCAATGATTAACAGCACGACCTTCAATCAGTTCAGATCCAATGAAGGAAGCTTTATCACTTATACTATGGGCATAGATCATCAATCCTGTTGGTCCTAAATGAACAAAATCTTTAAACATCTCTGAACTAGCGACAATATCACTTGGTTCGAACCAATTTTTGATCGATCCAATCTTCTCATTTTGGGTTAAGTTCAATCTTATGCAACGGCTTGATAGCACAGCTATCGTTTCCTTCGTTGAATGGTAATAATAACGTCGATTCATTTCATCTTGAATGGTTGCTGCCAAATCAATATAACCAACTTTATTTTTCTCATCATAATAATCATGGATCAAATTATTTTGAATTGGATTGATGACTTCAACAGAAGCATGGTAACCAGTTTGTTTATCAATCAAACTGAGAACATTCGGCACTTTTAATTCGCCCACTTTGCCCTTCACAGGGCATTCGAAATCATCACAAAAAACTGAGTTTATTGAGTAAAGAAAACAGAGACAAAAAGAAAAGAGAAAACTTTTCATCTTAAACTTAATTGTTGATAGTAAATACTGATACTTAAAGTGAAAAGTGAATTAAATCTTATTTCCAATGAAACAAATAATTGTGCGAAGAAAATTATGTCCAAACAATTTATAAGCATCCAAAGAGGCGTTATAAGATTAACTATTAGTTGAAAGTCTTAATCTCCTTTATGTTTAATTGAAAATGTGTTAAAATCAGATCAATTAATAGATTCTATTCGTGTTAAATATCTTGATTTATTAAGAATTGATTCAACTGATTAGTTTCAAGCGAATCTTAACAATGGAGGTGTGAAACAAACAATAATTGAACCCAGAAAACTTGGTTTTACATGGAAATTGTGATAATCATGGATAATTGTGGATGATTACTCATCTTTTATTCTGCAGAATTGTTCAGACTGTTTGCTTTGAAGAATAGCACTAATAAATCTATAAAAATAAGCAACATATATTAACAGCATAATATTATATGTAATTGTATAATTTTATCCGTATAGCTGACGTTTCGTTTCGTGGCAAACCAGAATAACTAAAAGCTAATGCTATTCCTTTTCCGAAAGTTCATTCTGGGCTTTTCAAAGAGCCGTTACAAAAAATGTATTCCGAATTTCTCAGGATTCAGAAAGGTATTTGCGTGCCTCGAAACTTTTGACGGCAATTTAGAATTTTTTTTAATGATTATCATCTAAATGTCATCTTTACTCTTAGAAATTGAGTTATGTAAGCTTATTTCATCTGAAAAATGTTGAGACACTCTGTAATTCCGCTCTAATATGGGTGATTTTCCACAAGAGTCAAGATTTACCCAGTAATTATCCATCCATTTCTGGTTCACAAAAGTTGAAACTAAATAGAACAATGAAAAACAAAAAAGTCTACAACACCGGGGGTTCCCAAGTGGTCTCCCTCCCAAGTACTAACCCAGCCCGAAACTGCTTAACTTCGGAGATCGGACGGGATCCGGTCATTTTTGTTGTAGATTTTTGAGGGTCTGCATTGTCACGAGGACCGACTTCCTTGCTGGCCGAGGCCAGCTCAGTCTTAAGCTTAAGACTTCTACATGTCGACCGACCACCTCCGGGTGTCCTCTGAGAGACTCTAGTCATACCACAATCTTACGGAGTGAGGTTGGCTGGTTGCTAGTCGCTCTCCCAGATACTAACCCGGCCCAAAGCTATCAACTTTGAACCAGAAGCACATTGACTATGCTTTCAGTCTGGTGTGGTCGTAGACAAGCATAATGTGATAAAAGTTATATATTATGTAAAGCAATTTCTTATAAACAATATACCGGTACTTCAGTTTGCTTTGACTTTACACGTAAAAACTTTACTCAAATACCTAAAATTTCTAATAAAATTTATTGAGACTCAACCATCCATTCCTGCTTCGCAAGAAGTTGAGACTAATCGAATAGAAAAATGAAAGCAGAAAGTCTTGGATGATTACTGCTTTGTGAACTATTTGACTACTTGGTCAATTGATTCAGCGTCAACCCTGTTGTTCTCGGGAAGAACTCAACCTACTTTAGCCATACATCGTGTCTTCTAAACCTTTATAAGCTTAGACTTAGCTGCTTAACTCCGGAGATCGGATGGGATCCGGTGTTTTCAGTCTGGTATGGTCGTAGACAAGGAAAATGTGATAAAAGTATTACAAAATATTAAAAAATTTCTTATAAACCATATACCGGTACTCCAGTTTGCTTTGACTTTACGCATAGATTTCAATGAACTTATACTCGAATACCTAAATTTCTAATAAAAATTTATTGGAAAGTGTCAAAAATTAACAGGTCTCACAGTTTCCAGTGAAGAAATGCTTAAGGGTTCCCCTTTTACGATTTTTCACTTTTCCTATTTTCTAATTAAATTTGAATATCTCAGCAAATAATCTATACATCTATATCTATACATCTATACATCTATACATCTATACATCTATACATCTATACAATATATAAAGTCAAAGCATCAAATTTTCGCGTCAAGATTATGGTCGAACTGAGCGGGTTCTAAGAAAAAAAATTACACAGCGTGAAAGCCCTAATTCAACTAAAACGACGAAAAATAGGAAACCTGTCCTCAGAATCTCATGACCTCTGAGAAATTCATGAAAATAGAGACTGGGGGAAAAAATGTAGAATCCGTATTCAATAACATTGAGAGAGGGGGAAAAACTTTTTGTTATTTAGGTTGATGGTTGATTTTTGGACCAGGATTTTATGTAAAACTTTGTCATTTGAGTAAAGAGGAAAGAGGGGACCGACTTTTTTCACCAGTTTTTTACCGTCTTTTCACCGTATTGTCCGCCACTCAATCCAACACATGGACAATACCGTGAAAAGACGGTTAGCATGGGTGGTTAAAAGAAACTTACGATCAGCCATGATCGTGTCTCAGCTTGTTGCAATAATCAGTTTTTATTAATTACAAAAAATGCGTGAATGTTGTAAGATGCTAACCAACAATATCCGTCTCTGTGCGATAATCACATGAAATTCAATAAAATAAAATTCACTTCACTTTTGTATCCGGCCAACCTGATATGTATTTTTTTGCTGTACTTCGGTTTGCTTTGACTTCACAAAAAATTTAATTAACTTTTATTTAAATGCCTAAAATTCATAATTGAAATTAATATAAAATAATTGACGGTCATCTGATTAAATGCAACCATTATTTTTTATGTTTGTGTCACTCGAAAGCCAATTCACACAGGTTGTGCTCAAATCAAGTCACAAAATAATATAATATATTGATTAACCAGTTCGCTATTAAATTTGACAAATAAATATACAGCTATTATAGTACTGCTTGAATGCTATATTAATAGATTTAAATGGAGACTCGAAAAATTTCATTTTATCATTTTATTGTTCTCATGTCTATTTATTGTCAAGATGAGAAGACTGAAATTTCCGGAAAACATGACATGAGATGAATATGAGTTACCAATAAAATGTCATGAATCTTTCATTTGTAATTTTAACTATAAACTGAAATATGAATCGCACCTGAAAACATCATGCAAATTAATAAATTTTAATCCATTATTCCATGAAATTTTAAGTTTATCCAATTAGATCATTTTATGCATATTAATCGATATCTTTTGTTTTTCCTTGATCAATCAGGAAGCTGATATTGCAATAGCACCATTAACGATAACTTCAGCCCGTGAACGTGTCATCGATTTTACTAAACCTTTTCTATCACTGGGAATCAGCATCATGATCAAAAAGCCAGCCAAAAAGAATCCAAGTATCTTCTCCTTCATGAATCCATTGAGTCAAGAGATTTGGATGTGCATCATTTTAAGCTATTTTGGTGTCTCAGTGGTCATGTTCATTGTCAGCCGATTCTCACCCATGGAGTGTCGAGTTGCTCATACACATGAGGGTCAAACCGTTTTGACAAATGATTTTACTCTTTACAATAGCCTTTGGTTTGCACTTGGAGCCATAATGCAACAAGGAGTTGATGTTTGTCCAAGGTTAGTCCATTATCTCGTAATCATTATTATTTTTGTGTGTCATTCCAATGAAAGTCTTTACCTTCATCACCTTTATCATGATCATCATCAAAAACAGTATTATTTTCATTCGAAAGAGATGAAGAGCAAAGAGCAACTTTTTCCTTCTTTTCCTGGTCAAGTTATGTAAAAAGGTGAAATTGTGTTCATTTTTACTTCTCCTGTTTTCAGGTTAAATTGTTGATTCTTTTCACGTTTATTATTAGACTTGAAGCTTTGAAAGAGCCAAAGATGTTAGCAATTGAACACCTTGCTTGGCTTATTAAAAATGTATCACCTCAACTTTGCTATTTAATTAATCAATTGTAAGAAATATTCACATTTACATTCAAGTTACACTCGACTTTTGTTGAATAATTTACAATTTAACTTTATTCTCGTAATCTCATCATTTTACAGTCTTGTGCTAATGATAATGAATGTACGAATAAAGTTGATTCATCGATTTACTTGATCATAATTCAATTATTGAATTGATGACAAATCAGTTATCATTTGTCCATTAACTTGGCTAACAGTGAAGCTCGACAAAAGTCAAGAGTCAATTGTTTTACCTTCATTGGACAGCTAACTCAATTGACCATCAAAACAAAATCATAAAACAGTATGACAATCATTAGCTTCTGTTGGTGACACATTCAATTGGTTAATCAAGTGTAAAACACAATTAACTTTAAGATTTTCAGTTATTCTGGCTTGAATAACATTTAACTGTTTATTGGGAGTAAATCAACATCAGTCAACAAAATATCAAAACAACAGTTTTTATTAGCAAAGATAATGAAATATCCAATGAAATAAACCGGAGTTGACTTTGAAATTAACTTATTTAGGTGCCAAATTATGGAAACACAGATTATTATTTAATAGAAAATCTCAATTTTTTATTCGATTTTACAAATGCATGCGTTTCTTCGAGTTTTCAAAATGCTTTGTCATTAATTGAGTTTAATTGTGATAATTCCGTGTGAATACAAAAGAGCAAGTGATGTCGGTAGATAAAGGTTCTGAGAATTCGAGTCTTTCAATGAAGTCGATGAGCTGTTATAAATGCCATCTTCTGCGCCTGTTTCAGACTATCATGAACTGGGAATTTAAAGATAAATTTTGGATTTTCAGAACAAGAATTGGAACTTTGCTACACATTTTGGGCTGAAAAAGAAGCACAGAATTAAACAGTAACAAAAATCTTCAAAAAATCTTTATTCTTGAGAAATATTCGTTCAACTTTCAATCCATCCATGTTATCTATCATGTCTGTCACGTACCTTCGTAACATAAAGTAGGTTCAGTTATTAAGCCGAACTGAGACAAATCTTAAGGCTTTGCAAAGCACCAACTTTTTGCACAACTAAGCATTGAAATCAAATGTTGACATAAAATTGAAAGACGATTGGCATTACAGCACCTCATCAAGACAATGAAAAATACATTACTACTTTTAACTAATCTGTTCAATTGCAACATTAAAAACTTTAATATTGCAATAATCAAATAATAAGCTTCCAAATTAACAATTTTTTCATGAAAACAGCCATGATAATGAAGGAAATGGTTAATCAAAAGCATTGACTATTATTGAATCTTTTAGTGATTCAGAATCTATTAGGGTGTCAAATAAGTTTTGCGGTTGGGTATGAAGTTTAGCTTAGAATTGACTGAAATTTCATTCAATCAAATTATGGACTCGTAGTATTAAAATATCGTTTCAATTTTCCAAATCGAATAATTGATGTCGTTTTTGTGAGCGTCCGAAAATTTATACCGAAAAAATCGACAAAATTGATTTTGACCTCCGTTCCTGAATAGACCTAGTCTTCTTTGAATGAATTTTCTAAAAATTAAGATAGATTGGGGTCCATAGAGATGAGATCAGGTACTTAGGTTAGGTTCGCAAGTATTGAGAATCTGAGGTTAAAAATTTTGTGACGCGTCGCTAGAAAATTTGATGAAAAAAGTTGGTGAAAAAAAAAATTTTGGTCGATTTTTGTACCCTTTAAAAAGCTGTAAAAATGCAATAATTTTGTGAATATTTGTCCGATTTTGATTTTTTTTGTTTTATACTGATTAATTAAGGCTTAGTAATGTTTTAGCCAAAAAAGATCACAATCAAATCTTTTTTTCATAGTGAACCGCAAAATATATTTGACACCCTAATAAAATGAAATGTTTATTATGGGCAAATGAATTGTGACTATAATCAAACTAACCAGAGCAGAGTTACTCTGAATTAAATTGAATTTCAATCAGGTGTTTTATATTCATTGAATTTTCGATTCAATTGATTAACCTTTTATCGTTAAACCTGTTAGGCTGTTATTAATATCAAGATTACAAGTTAAGTAAATGTTGGAAACAAAGGATGAAAGACAAACACGATCAACTGTCATTGGAGTTTGAATGTTTGGAATGCTTTAAAATGTTGAAATGGCTCCGATGAACAAAACTGAATGAATTGAATTTTAAATGGGAAAAGAGTGAGAAAAAAATTCTAAACTGATAATCTCTCATAGGAATGATTATTGACAGGGAGGTTGTACAATGTTCTGAAATGAATGTTGATGAAATTTTTATTATAAGCTTTTTCACTTTTTTTCTCACCATCATCATGTTTCCATCATCAGTTTCAATGAGTCTCAATGGATCCTTTTTAACCATGATCATGTTCATGAAATATAATTTTGATTTCACATCATTCTCACCATTCCCATCAACACCAACATCCTCATCCCCCATCATCATCATCACCGTCTTTCCATGAGAATCAATATGTACAGAAGAGAAAGAGAATGATGTTTTCCTTTCATGTCAATATTGAATCAAGTAAAATCATCTCAACTATCAACCTCAAACAAATTATTATTAACTGAATCAGTTGATAGTGTTAAATGATTCTCACTTTTTTCTCCTTCTTTCCTCAACTGATTTAATTCATGTTTTTCCAATTCTTTTTCATCTTTTTTTATTATTGCTACAACACTTGATGAGACTTGACAAGCAATAGTTTCCAATTGAGAATTGAATGAAACAAAATGTAATTTATTGTATTCCTTTTTTGATTGACATTTACAAACAAGATGTATTGACGCCAATACAACATTCACCTGTTTTGATACATTTTCTTGTATAACATTTACTTGTCTCATTTGTTTGGATGTTTACTTTGCTTCAAATTGAAAGTAAGTTAATAAATGTCATCAATGAAAGACAGATTAATGCTAATGGTTATGGTTATTACCATTAACCTTTTTTTCTTGCCTCTGTTTTTTTCTCATGTAAAGTCTAATGTGATTCAAGTCAATCTGAGGATTGAATGAGTTGTAACTACATGAGTTGTATATCTCATTGATCAACTGATCGTAATGGAAAAATTTGATTGAGATCGACTCGAATTTAAACAGCTTTTGCAATCTTGGTTCATATAATTTCATCCTTTTCATTTTACATGATGAGGTGGTCAGTTCATTCGACTGGAATGGTTTCATTTGAATAACATCTAGGTAAACTTTGATCATGAAGTCAAGCTAATCAAGTACTGTTGGGATCACTCGGATGAGGAAAGAACAGTAAAAAGATTTCCTATTGAAATACAATGTATTATCTAAAAAATAATCTCGCCATTCCGTTTAACTGTAACGCTTGTCCATCCATTTCTGGTTCACAAAAAGTTGAAACTGATCAGAAAAGTTCTAGTAACAGTAAAAGCAAAAAAGTCTACAACACCGGGGGTTCCCAAGTGGTCTCCCTCCCAAGTACTAACCCGGCGCGAAACTGCTTAACTTCGGAGATCGGACGGGATCCGGTGTTTTCAGTCTGGTGTGGTCGTAGACAAGCATAACGTGATAAAAGTTATATATTATGTAAAGCAATTTCTTATAAACAATATACCGGTACTTCAGTTTGCTTTGACTTTACACGTGAAAAACTTTACTCAAATACCTAAAATTTATAGTAAAATTTATTGAGGCTCAACCGTCCATTCCTGCTTCGCAAGAAGTTGAGACTAATCGAATAGAAAAATGAAAGCAGAAAGTCTTGGATGATTACTGCTTTGTGAACTATTTGACTACTTGGTCAATTGATTCAGCGTCAACCCTGTTGTTCTCGTGAAGAACTCAACCTACTTTAGCCATACATCGTGTCTTCTAAACCTTTATAAGCTTAGATTTTATCAATATGTCAGAAGTGCTTTTGATTAGATAGTCATAAAAAACAAAGAATTAAACTGGATCAAATTTTTGTTGCATATACTCAATCTGAACTGGATCAAGTTTTGTTTTGCTGAATATTGATTAGATGAATTTAGCAAATACGTTTACTGAACTGGTAAAAGTAACAAATTCGCAAAATTAGTGTATAAATGTTTTCGAATTTATTAATATTAAGGTAACATAAATAGAGTAAACACATTGTGGATGCGCGATAAAAATTTCGAAATATTCTGTGGGGAAAAAGTTTGGGAATTTTTAGTTTTTTCTTTTATCTCGTAAGATAATAGTTGATTTTTGGCTGAAAATTCATAGTTGGATACTGTAGCTCACACTCAAACTCGAAGGAGAAAAAAAATTTCTTTTTGATACATGTTGGACTCTCATAGACAGAAACAGACTAACAAGGGAAGTGTCTCAGGTGTCTCGAAAATTTCCGATCGAGACTAGTGTCATGCGACAGAACACAAAAAACTAGTTTGTAAAGGTTTGTCGGTTTCAGATAGGAAACTTTCGGGTCACGAGAAAATTCAGGTCAAAAAACTGTTTTCTTGCAAAAAATGGAATGGAGATTTAAAAATTAGAGATTATATAGGTTTTTAAATATTTTAAATGATTTTTTCAGGTCTGGAAGCCTTGGAGAATAAATTAAAGTTAAAGTTAAAAATTAAAAATTACGTTGTTAATCAACATCTAAAGTTGCGTTCATTTGTTATTGATAATTTAATGAAATTTCAATAGGATTTAGTGCTATTCTCTTAGTATTTTGGAATAGACGCCCGTTAGAAGTTGGTCTATGAAATGAATCCTTTCCTGATAACAAATTTGAATCCAATGAATCCACCAGCAAACGCCAATATAAACACTATTGCGCCAAACCCGATCTCTAATGCGAAGTTATTTGATTTCGTTGATATTGTTAATAGTTCAGATTTATGTGGATCAGTTTTGCTCTTTCCTGTAATTTTCTTATGATTGATGTAAATCGAACAAATTTTTGTGTCGCTATTTGATTCTTCAAATAGTTGAGGTTGATTAACGTTATTTGGTTTTAAATTGGTCAATGTACAACTCGTCAATGCAACACTGCTATCGGAAATTTGATCTAAAGAAATCATTTCACAATATTCAAGAGTAAAACAATCAGGATCTGAATTGCATCTGGAAGCACAGTGTTCTAATGATAGATGTTCGAATGTTCCAACAATTGATTCTTTCATGTTATCTTTCAATGCAAGTCCAACTTTATGTTCATAATCGAGTTGAGATTCCTCTGTACAAATTAGAAAGATTAGACGATTGGTAAATAATTGGTTGAATCAAAGAAAAGGATTTTACTTGAATAATGGGAACATCCAGCTTCAGCAAACTTCCAGTTCGTTACATTTATTTCACGAGTTTCATCTATCACAATGTGATGCACATGCAAAAAACAAAGAGACTGACTCCTGGATGGAATGGGAATAAAAAATATTAAAACATACAAAATCATCAACAAAAGTGGCGATAATTTTAATAGGTTGAGATTATCATTAATGCTATCACCTTACCGATTTTTATTGTTTCCACAGTAATCGAATGATTCACAATTGAAGGAACTTGATTGAGCACATTTGCTAGCACAGTCAGCAATTGATACATCATATTCGGTTGAGATAGCATCTACAACTAGATTCTTTCCAGGATACTCATGGAATAGATTTATGAAGGATTCTGTATTGAAATTGAGGGACAAAGTTAAAATGAAGCACAAATCAATAAGTTAACATATTTACTTTGATAGATGTTGCATCCATCTGCATGACTTGTTTTGTCTTCAAATGCGTCTTTCAATGAACTCGATGTTTCTCCACTCAGAATGCATTCTTTATTCTGGTTAACACAATATGAAAGTGTGTTACAGTCATCGTCATTTAAACAAGCCATGAAACAATCTTGAAGAGTACTTTTCTCGATCTTCAATTGTGCTTCCTTGAAATGACGATCAGTCGCAATCATCGGAAAATCTTCAGCTCTTAAAGGTCTGAAACCACTTGTATGTAGTTCCTGAGAAATATCACCAATCTCTTCAGGTCCACTCACAATGAACAAATCTTCAGCTACTAACCTACTATGCAAACGAAAGTCGCCTGATGAGACTTTATTCCTTATCTGTTGTAATACGTGTGGCATAGTCGACACATAATTTTTATTGACTAATGGTTTAACATCAAATTTATCCATATACCAATGATGTGAACGGCAGCCATCTCTGAACTCTAATGTAGCTGATTCCCCATCATTACTTTGATGGATTAAACAATCAGAATTGGAACAAAAACTGAAAGTATCACACTTTTCAGTTGCAGTACAAAGCGCTTCACAGTCTTCGACTTTGGATGTTTTTACAATATTTGTGGGATTAATAAGTGTATATTTTGGAGCATCTTGCTTATAAACATCGATGAAGTGTACACGATCATAAAGCTTAACAGTAACATATATGTTAACACCAACTTCTTGTGTATGAATCGCACCAATACGAGTTATTGGAATGAATGTGGTCAAGTATTCTTCTGTTGATTGCTTAATTGCTTGCATATTGAATTCACTAATCGAAGGATTTGAAAAGAGAAGTTGAAACCAAGTATAGCTTCCTGGTTCTTTATAGCAACCAGAAACATCGAAACTATCTGCAAAATCAATGTTTGAGTCTTGGTAGTTAATTATGGTTACTTCAACTTTAGCAAGTGTGCTGTGGTAGTTATAATGAAAATTGTTAAGATCTCTGGTAAATATGACTTTACTCGGAACAGAATCACTGTTATTCTGATTATAATAATAGACGACAAGGGCATCAAGTTTACCACCCAAGAAGTCCCTTGCTCTGTATTCTTCCACACGAAAAGGTCCTAAATGTGTCGAACCAAGAAAAGATGGTGCTTTAGGTGGCTTCATAACCAGAAAATCCAGTAGATTGAAGTCATGATCTCCATGTAAAGGCCAGCGAGTCAGCAGTTTAACATCAGACCAATAATCTATTTTTAAATAACTACATTGACCGGTGTGTTCATCAACTTCAAATCCTCCTAAAGGTAGAGCCATTTCAATGTGACGAACTGTAACATCCTCTTCTTTGATTTCGTATGAAATGACATCGCCTCGTTTCATTACTCGAGCATTTGATTTGAAAGGGTCACGGTCAGAATAGGTAATGACAGCTTCCATGTCCATTGTGAACTCTTCAACTTTACTAAAATCTGGTAATGGAGAATATGAAATAGTATTTTTACGAGCACATCCATAACCCAATGGGTAAGGAATTGGATCCTTTGATGGTATGACCAGAGGTTTGAACATATAAAAGTTGTAAACATATTTTGACTCGGAATCAACTTGCTTTTTAACTGTTCGAGTTTCATTTACTGAAATTACCTCCTGAGTCTCAATCCATTTAGGATAATACAACGAGAACCGATAGGGTAATGAGGTCTTAACATCAAAATAAAAGTCAATGTAAGGTCCATCAGGATCAGAACAATAAAACCAATGGTTAACATTACGACCTTCAATCAGTTCGGATCCCACGAATGAAGCTTTATCACTTATACTGTTGGCATAAACCATCAATCCTGTTGGTCCCAAATGAACCAAATCTTTGAAGATTTCTGAACTAGCGACAATCTTTTTTGGTTCAAACCAATCTTTGACCGAGTCGATTTTCTCGTAACGGGTCAAGTCCAGTCTTGTACATGTGCTTTGTACAGCAAGCTTTTCCTCTGTTGAATGATAATAATAACGTCGATTCATTTCATCTTGAATGGTTGCTTCCAAGTCAATATAACCAACTTTATTTTTCCCATCATAATAATCACGGACCAAATTATTTCGAGTTGGATTAATGACTTCAACAGAAGCACGATAACCAGTTTGTTTATCAATCATGTTGAGAACATTTGGAACTTTTAATTCGCCCACTTTACCCTTTACAGGGCATTCGAAAGGGTCACAAAAAAATGAGTTTATTGAGCAAAAAAAGCAAAGAAAAAAATAAACGTTGGAAATATTTTTCATCTCAAACTTAATTGTTGATATTCAAGGTTGATGTTGCTAAAAGTGGATAAATAAAATAATTGTGGAAATAGTATTTTGTTTCAACAATTTATAAGTCTTAAAAGGGGTGTCAAAAGATTCATAATCAATCGCAAGTTGTAATCTTATTTATTATGTGTGAGGTGAAAATGTGTGAAAATCAGATCTAGGAATAGAATAGATTAATCTCGTAATCAATTAAGGTTTGTCGTACCAATTTCACTTTAATCTAAACAATTGTTCTGTAAGTTTCAATCAGATGTTGAAACCAACAATCTTGGTTTTACCTGAAAATCGTGATAAACCTTGTCGATTCTTACTCGTCTTTGTATCTGTTTGCATTTCAAGAGCATTATTCATAAATTATTACGTTTCTTTTTGTACCAAAATAAGTTTAGTAACTGTTGACACTGTTCAGCTTTCTTTTGCTCAAAAATGATTTGCGATCAGCCATGACCCTGAGTCCACTAGTATAATATTAAATTGTTAAAAATTCAATTTATTTTAAAATAATCTTGATGCGACACAGTTTAGCTGCAAATCTGAATACTTGAGGATATGAGTACAATTTTATTCAAATAATGTCCATTTCGTTATGAGTTATAAAAATAAAATATTTAGCTGCTCAACAGAACGTCTTAATCCTGGTTCATAAAAAGTCGAAACCATCTGATTAGAACACTAAAAGCAAAAAGTCTACAACACCGGGGGTTCCCAAGTGGTCTCCCTCCCAAGTACTAACCCGGCCCGAAACTGCTTAACTTCGGAGATCGGACGGGATCCGGTCATTTTTGTTGTAGATTTTTGAGGGTCTGCATTGTCACGAGGACCGACTTCCTTGCTGGCCGAGGCCAGCTCAGTCTTAAGCTTAAGACTTCTACATGTCGACCGACCACCTCCGGGTGTCCTCTGAGAGACTCTAGTCATACCACAATCTTACGGAGTGAGGTTGGCTGGTTGCTAGTCGCTCTCCCAGATACTAACCCGGCCCAAAGCTATCAACTTTGAACCAGAAGCACATTGACTATGCTTTCAGTCTGGTATGGTCGTAGACAAGAGGAATGTGATAAAAGTAATACATAAATCAATCTGGTTATAAAAGATACACTTCTGTCTTTGAACCTCAGAATCAACTTGCAAAGAAACAAAATCTCGCTATAACCATTTTCCTTTGTCAAAGAGTTTATTGAGCCGTAATCAAAGATGAATCGAGATTTATTTTAGTTTCAAGATTCAAAAAATTATTGTACAAACGCTTTCGCATTCATCGTAAAGTAGGCGCAACCAATTTATGCATTTGTCTCTCAATTTAAGGGCAGCTTTACATCTTACAGAATTGTCATTAGATATCGATTTTGCAGATAGTAATTAGCTGAGAAGTATCCTGGTTCACGGTTCATTCAAGATTCCAGTTCTGCATTATCAATCAAGTCTTTGTGATGGCAAATCAAGTATGATTTATTGTTTGACAGATATATTTCTCGCTAATTTAATGTGGATTCAGTCATTTCTAGTTAGTCAAATTATCAAACTAATCATCTCAATACTTAACTGAGTCGCTTCTCGAGCTGTTTTTGTCACACTCACAAGTGTAAATGTCAACTTTCGATAATCAATGTAACAATTTGGTAGATTACATTTTAAACATTCTCTATCGATTCAATCCATCAGTTCCATCATCAAATTGCATGATTTTCCAATGGCAGTTGTTTGCTTTATCCACTGCCATTTCGCTTGATGCATAATAATTCCAGTTTGGGTTGTTTTTTTCCCTTCCATTGGTATTTAGCCAGTGAGAAATTAAAAAGTAATGAGGTTATTTAATGTTGATATTGATTCAGGGTTGGAATAATGTTGAGAGAAGAAGGGAAAATCTCAAGAAAATTTATCTACATAACCATTTATATTATTTATTGATGAGATGAAGAGTCTGTACATGAGAATGAAAAGGAAGTATAATAACCGATTGAGGTTATTTGGAGTGAAACCGATTACTTGGAACTTTTATTTCTTACTTTTCTCCTTCAATGATGATATGATGATGAAAGGCAAAGAAATGATCAAGATGATGAGTTGCACTGGCAAACTAAAAACTGCCCAGTTAATTATGGTCAATCGCATTTGTACCATAAGAAGCTCTTCAAGTCATTCAATCACAATCCATTTGTTTCCAATTAATCCACTAATCTTTCAATTTAAACCTTTCAAGAGTATCTTTCAATTACTCTAACCAAATGATATAGTTAATCAACAACCCAACAATTTCCAACCTTCAATTCATCTGTATTTACATCTGTTACTATGAATACATTTCCTTGTAAATGGACAAGAACTTTGGATTCTGGCGTCAATTGGAAGCCCTTACTGAGTTCACATTTCAGGAATTGTATTCAATCAGGTGTTTTGGTTGTTGACCTTAATAGTCCAGAAATATTTCCTCGTTTGATTGATGATTGCTTTTGCATCTTCATTTCCTTCTGGTTCAACCCATCTTCCTTCACTCATTGATCTACACTTGGATATTACTGATCTTAAGGTTAATCTTGATTACATATCATTGTTATGGACATGCTTACAGAATACTCAGACTTTTGGATGAATCAAGAGGAAAATTATAAAACTTGAATTACCATTCAATTGAGTTTACCTTGGCAAATGTATTGAAATTGAATATTTATATAAGTGTGTCTTGTTGGGATTCACTATTCAATTCAGGTTGAATACATTTAAAGTATTACTTTAACTGTTTGTCGGTCTGAATAATAATTTCATTAGATCCATGAGCCATTCACATGTTTAGCTGTTCACATGTAAATTCAATTTTGGGCTGAAAAACAAAAATAAAATCTTATTTTCACTACTCATGTAAGGCAAAAACTGGAGCAATCCTTTGCTTATAAAGGTTGACAAATCGGATAACTAGTACATATATCAATATTTGAATAAACCAAAGATTGATTGTAAATCTAGTAAAAATGATTTTAAAAGCAAACGATTTAACTCATTACAAAGTAATTTTTATTACTATTTGATATCGCTTTTACCTTGTGTCCAGATAAAAAATACTTACTTTCTTAGAAAAGATTTAATATTTTAAATGAAAATTATTGTTGGCAAGGATAAGGCTATCCACTTATTTCACCCGTTATCCGTTTTACTTCTAACTTAAAAAATTATAAAATGTATTTAAAAGCCATTTTCTTACATTGATAGCTTTTTCCGACTGATTACCATTTTTCAGCATTCTCATCCAGATGTTCAATGTTTCAGAAAAATTCAGATTGTATTTGCGTTTGAAACACGCGTACTGCATTTGAAACTAGTGTTAAAACGTTTTCTTCAATACTGCATCAATAAAATAAAAAAAAGTGTAAATTGAACAAGATTTATTAATTGACTTTCATAGATTTTACATTTTCTAGATTATTCATATTCTTATTAACGACTTCAGGATTGAATTTTTCGTAGATTCCTCACGATCATGCACATTCAACTCATTTGGTAGGCATTCCTTTAGGCGCTTGTCGTGCAGCACGTCCATAAGGTCCGGTTCTGGCTGCTGAAACAGATCCAAAGAGGGCGATAAGAGCCATTAAAAAGACAGAGGATACAATTTTGATCAATTGCATTGTTATTTTGTTGATTGGGTTTTACTTGATTGAACACAAAATTGAAATAACACTTTACTTTGTATACTTGAATCTTAAACAGATATTGTTGATGAGAAATGATCGGTTTAAATACTTATCTGTCTTGTTTATTCTTTATTCCGTTTTATTTGTCATGGCTAATGAATAATTTCAATGCTCAAGTTATGCGTCATTCATTATTTATCAAAAGCTGTGTTTATTTCGATGAACAATTTTACAAAGTCAATATCTCTAAATGTCAAACTAATTAAATAATTCTTGCAACTAGACAGATCGAGGACACGCAAATTTTTTGACAATTTAGAGGTATCTTGATTGTGTCTAGTACTGAAACACTGACTGTATGCCAACTATCATAAGACAGTCATTTACCTTAAGAAGAGTTATTTAAATTGAAACACTATGGTGCTCATTTTTTTGTTTGCATTAGCTTTAAAATAGCTTTTAAAATATGACGCACAGACACAATATTAACATAGACACCACATCAACCTGAATAATCAAAAAGTTTTACCCTCAATAGTTCTATTCTACATTTTCCCTTTTCTTTATTCACACGAATTTCTCAGAAACCGGAGCTCCGAGAAAGTTCTTACTATTTTCGTAGATATAGTGATTTGGGTGCCGTGCTGTCAAAATTTTCTTTAGAAACCAAAATTTGTCAAAATTTTTATGTTTCGACTTGATATGATAATATATAATAATAATGTAAAGTAACATTATTATTACTTAATGTATCGATTGTACGAAAAACTGAAGAAAGGTGTCTTTGAAAGCGAACATTTTTATGTTGTCTAATTCATAGATATAGATAAGGATCTCTTAATCAATAAGAAAACCTTACAATCTCACAATCTTAAATTTTGCTTCAATTGGAATGAATTTCTCTATATATTAATATTTCTCTTTACTTTTAAACTGAAGCCATTAATTTTTTCTTCTCTATTTCTGTTTGTTTCCACTCTTTCAGATCTTATGCTGGTCGCATTGTTGGCAGTGTTTGGTGGTTTTTCACTTTGATTATAATTTCATCTTATACTGCTAATTTGGCTGCCTTTTTAACCGTTGAACGGATGGTAACACCAATCAACAGTGCTGATGATCTTGCCAAGCAAACTGAAGTTGAATATGGAGTTCTTAAAGATTCATCTACAATGGAGTTTTTTAAGGTTGGTAAACAATGAAACTTTACTCTTAGTTTTCCATTGATTCTAATGTCTTCTCTTTTTGTTCCTCCAGAAATCAAAGATACAAGTTTACTCTAGAATGTGGGAATTCATGAATTCACATCCCCATGTTTTCGTAGACTCTTATCAAGAAGGAATACGCCGGGTTCGTGAATCAAAGGGAAAATACGCCTTTCTAATGGAATCAACTTCAAATGATTATATTAATCAACGTCAACCTTGTGACACCATGAAAGTTGGCCGTAACCTGGATGCTAAAGGGTTTGGTGTTGCTACGCCATTGGGATCACCATTAAGAGTGTCACTTAACTTGGCTGTTTTGCATTTAACCGAAAAGGGTGACTTGACTCGACTGGAAAATAAATGGTGGTACGATAGGTCCGAGTGTAAATCGAGTGACAGCAAAGAATCGAGTAAAAGCTCATTAACTCTGTACAATGTTGCTGGTTGTTTTTACATTCTCATTGCTGGACTAATTATTTCAATGATTGTCGCCATGATTGAGTATCTCTGGAGATCTAGAAGGGAAAGTGAGCGATTCAAAGTTCGTGAAACGTTGATTAACCACAAGATGAATTGAAGAGGCTAAACACGGATATCCATTAAATGTGATTTAATTAAACCATCAACCAGTATGACCAAATGTAATGAAGATAATTTTCCTGCTCTTATTGTGATAAAGTGCCCACTCATCAGCATAATGGTAAATTATGCAATAGAGACGATATTAATGTGAAATAATGCTCAAACAAATTAACCAGATTAATCCATGTTTCACCTTTTCGCTCTTTTCCTCCATTCAATTTATATGTATTTAAGTTAATTCAATCAACAGTTTAAAAGTCAATATCTAATGTCAATTTAAAATCATCTTTAGGCACAATTACTTTGCACTCTGCTCAAGTAAAATATCAACAATTTACTTAGATACTGGTCTTGGGTTGTAAGACTAAAATTGGATAAATTGTAATCTTATTAAAATCTTGTATTGTAATTACTTTGATGAAAAAGCACAATTTGTTAATGCATCAATTACCGTATCGGCGCACATAATGTCACGGTGCCTCGGATCGAGCTCGCTCGTAATAAGTGAGAATTTTAGTCACTGAGCATGCGTTAAGAAATAATATTCTTGAATATAATCAATGATTATTAATCATTGTAACTGTTCAACTTTTGTCAGGTGAATGCAACACTTTTTGTTTTCAAATGGACTTGAAGTTTTTGTATTTGGCGGTGTATTTCTTGTTGCCAAGGTTTTTATTCCTGATGATTTAAAGAGCGCCAGCATCAAATTTCATTTACTCTTTGCTTTTTGTTTCATTCAATTTTATTTTCGTCTTTTTACTTAATTTCAAACATAAATAATTTACAATAATGATGTTAGTTTCCATTAATTTGGTTTATGAAATGAATCCTTTCTTTACAGCGAATTTGAATCCAATGAATCCACCAGCAAACGCCAATATAAGTACTATTGTGCCCAACCCGATTGCTAATGCTAAGTTATTTGATTTCGTTAATGTTTTCGTTAATGCTTCAGATGTATGTGGATCAATTTTGCTCTGTCCTTTGATTTTCTTATGATTGATGTAAATGGAACAAATTTTTTTGTCGTTTTTCGATTCTTCAAATAGTTGAGATTGATTAACGTTATTTGGTTTTAAATTGGTCAATGTACAACTCAACAATGAAACACTTTTATCGGTTATTTTATTATAATCAGCCGATTCACAATATTCAAGTGTAAAACAATCAGGATCTGAATTGCATTTGGAAGCACAGTTTTCTAACGATAGATGGGCAAAGGTGCCAACAATTGATTCTTTCATGTTATCTTTCAATGCAAGTCCAACTTTATGTTCATAATCAAGTTCAGATTTCTCTATTAAAGTAAAAAGATTTAATAATTAGTAAATATTAAATAGACTTTGAGCAAAGGTTAGATTAAGGAAAAGGATTTTACTTGAATAATGGGAACATCCAGCTTCAGCAAACTTCCAGTTTGTTATATTTATTTCACGAGTTTCATCTATCTCAATGTGATTAACATGCAAAAAACAAAGAGATTGGTTCCTGGATGGAATGGAAATAAAAAATAACAAAATACTCATTATTATAAGTCACTTACATTTGGAGTCAGTCTTACAATATGAGATCTGACTAGGAAGGGACCTTACTGGTACGGCTCGATTCGGGAAATTTCATGGAAAATCGATAGAAATAAGTTTGCAAAGATATTTGGTAAATTTTCGCTTCAATTTTAATTGCAATTTTAAGTCTAATCAGACCTATTGTAATTAACTAAAACTATGAAAGATGCCATTCTTAAGTTGAGAGTAACATACATTTTTTTGCTTTTTTGTTCAATCTCTTTGTTTCTGTCATTTCCATTTCATAACAATAGGTCTGATTAGACTTGGAATTGAAATAAAATTGAAGCAAAAATTTGCAGATCCTTATATTACTTTACAAAACATCTTTTTTAACTTATTTCTTTCGATTTATCATGAAATTTCCCGAGTCGAATGGTAACTATCCTTGTGAGCATTCATTTGTTGTTTGCTACTAATTCAATATCTTTTCAACTTTCATAATATTAAATAAAATGCTTAGAAATAAAGCTCTAAAAATATTAGGTTTTAAAAGGTTATTATAAATAAAAGTTAAACTTACTTATCATTGTTTTCACAGAAATCGAATGATGCACAATTGAATGAACTTGATTGAGCACATTTGTTAGCACAATCAGCAATTGATACATCATATGGTTGAGATGGCATCCACAACTAGATTTTTACCAGGATACTCATGGAATAGGTTTATGAAGGATTCTAAAGTGAAATTAAGAGTCGAAATTAATTTAAGAAATGAATTAATTGGTTAAAATATTTACTTTGATAGATGTTGCATCCATCTGCATGACTTGTTTTGTCTTCAAATGCGTCTTTCAATGAACTCGGCGTTTCTCCACTCAGAATACATTCATTATTCTGATTGATGCAATATGAAAGTGTATTGCAATCATCATCATTCAAGCAAGCCATGAAACAATTTTGAAGAGTACTTTTCTCGATCTTGAATTGTGCTTTATTGAAATGACGATTAGTGTATAGCATCGGAAAATCATCAGCTTTTAAAAAATTGGATCCACTTGTATGTAGCTCCTGGGAAATATCACCAATCACTTCAGGTCCACTCACAATGAACAGGTCTTCAGCTACTAACCTATTATGCAAACTAAAATCGCCTGATGAGGCTTTATTCCTTATCTGTTGTAATACGTGTGACATGGCCGTCAGATAATTTTTGTTATTTAATGGTATAAGATCAAATTGATATCTAGGCCGTTTAAAATAAGTGCAACCATCTTTGGTCTCGGCAGAACCTAAATCCCATGCAGTACTTTGGTATATTGAACAATCATAATTGGAACAATAACTAAAAGAAAAACACCTTTCAGTTGCACTGCATATCTGTTCACAGTCTTCGACTTTCTTTCGTACCACGATATTTGAAGGATTTGTAATTGTTTGTTTGAGTGACGCAGTATAACCCTTAATGAAATGCACACGATCATAAAGCTTAACAGTAACATATATATTGGAATCGACTTCTTGTGTATGAATTTCACCAATGCGAGTTATTGGAATGAATGAAGTCAAGTATTCTTCTGTTGATTCCTTAATTGCTTGCATATTGACTTCTCTCAGTAAAGGATTTGAAAAGAGAAGTTGAAACCAAGTAAAGTTTCCTGGTTCTTCATAACAGCCAGAAACATCGAAACTATCTTCATAATCAATGTTTGAGTCTTGGTAGTTAATTATGGTTACTTCAACTTGAGTTGGTGTATTAGGATATTTATAATAATGATCGCTTCGGTCTTTGGTGAATATGACTTTACTTGGAACGGAATCACTGTTATTCTGAATATAATAATAGTCAATAATGGCAGCAACTGAATAGGAGAAGAAGTCCTTTACTCGGTATTCTTCCACTCGAAGAGGTCCTAAAGTTATTTCACCGATGAAAGTTGTGGGTGAAATATGTTGAGGTGGTTTCATTACCAGATAATAAAGTAGGTTAAAGCCATGATCTCCACGATGAGGCCAGCGAGTGACTAGTGTATCCGAAGATGGATGATCTGCTGATTCATATCTACAGTGACCGGTGTGTTCATCAACTCTAAATCGCCCTAAAGGAAGAGGCATTTCAACGAAACGCACAGAAAAATTTTCTTCTTTGATTTCGAATGAAATATCATCGCCTCGTTTCGTTATTCGAGCAGTTGATTTGATAAGCTCACGATCAGAATAGGTTATTATCGCCTCCATGTCCATAGTGAACTCTTTAACTTTACTAAAATCGGGTAATGGAGTAGATGGACGAGTATCTTTACGCTACCATCCATAACCCAATGGATAAGGAATTGGCTCATCTGATGTTATGACCAACGGTTCGAACATGTAGAAGTTGTAAACATATTTTTCATCGGAATCAACTTGCTTTTTAACTGATTGAGTTTCATTTGCTGAAAGGACCTGATTCTCAATCCATTTAGGGAAACCCAAAGAGAACCGATAGGGTAATGAGGTCTTAGCATCAATAAAAAAGTCAATGTAAGGTCCTCTAGGGGTCGTGCAATAAAACCAATGATTAAGAGTACGACCTTCAATCATTTCGGATCCTATGAACGAAGCTTTATCACTAATATTGTTGGCATAAATCATCAATGCTGTTGGTCCCAAATGAACCAAATCTTTGAATATCCCTGAACTAGCGACAATATCAGCTGGTTCGAACCAATCTTTAACCGATTTGATCTTCTCGTTATGGGTTAAATCAAGTCTCGTACATGTACCTTCTCGTACAGCAAGCTTTTCCTCTGTTGAATGGTAGTAGTAACGTCGATTCATCACATCCTGAACGGTCGCTTCCAAGTCAATAAAGCCAACTTTATTTTCCACATCATAATAATCATAGATTAAATTATTTCGAGTTGGATTAATGACTTCAACTGAAGCACGATAACCAGTTTGTTTATCAATTAAACTGAGAACATTTGGAACTTTCCATTCACCTTTTTTACCCCTTACAGGGCATTTGAAATCATCACAAAAAACTGAGTAAAGAAAACAAAGGAAAAAATAAAAGTTGAAAATATTTTTCATCATAAAACTTTTTTCTTGATGTTTTACCGTTAATGTTGTGAAAAGCGTTTTGAATAGATAATCGACATATTTACAACTTTTATTTATATTTGAAATATCTAAACGACAAAAATCATATCTGAATAATTAATTGGATAATAAGTTCAAAAGGGGCGTAAAACGATTAGCTAACAATTGAAAGTTTTAATCTTATTTATGTTTGAGGTGAAAATGAGTAAAATTCAGATCATTGAATAGATCTTTTTCATGGCAAATTTTGATTAATCAAGGATTGATGTACCTGAAAATTTTTACGTTAATCTTAACAATGGATGAGTAAGATTCAAACAAGTATGGTTAAACCTGAAAATTATAATGATAAATAAGATAAGTGATAGTTAAACCACTGCATCGAGAAGTTATGAGATAAAAACTCGAGGGCGAAGCCCGAGTGTTTTATCTCATAGCTTCGAGATATTGTGGTTTAACTGATTTAAACCACTATGTAATCTAATCTCAACACTTTTTTTTAATTTTCAAGACAAAATTTTGTCTTGATTTTCCATTTCTTTCAATGGGTTTTCATATTTTCATTTTAAGTTTCTTATCATTTTCATTTTTCATTTTGACTTTTTTTTATCAGGTCTAATCACCAGAGAACGGCAAGACTTCATGTAAAAACATATTCAGAATATGCGACATATTATTCCTCTTTATGCTAGGTAATGTTTCAATTAATACTAAAATTATTAAAAGTATACCAAAGATATGCCAATTTAATCATTAAAATTCATTAAGAAAAATCGAGTGAGGGAGAAAAGAAAGAGGGGAAAGAAAATAGAGAGATAAAAAGTGAGAGATAAAGGAAGCAAGAAAAGAGAGATAAGAAAGATAAAAAAGAAGGGAAAAAAGAAAGAAAGAAAAAGAAAGAGAGAAAAGAAAGTAAGCAAGAAAAGACAGAGAAGAGAGAGAAAAAAATGCAAGAATATGTTTTTTAGTTGATCTCATTCAATAATTTTATTTGAATGTGATTTTTCAGAGAATATGTTTTTATCAAGAATATTCTTTGCCGTTCTCTGCTAATCACTCTCTTTATCACTATCTTAGACCAAACTGTGCATATTTATTAGGTAACCAAGAAAGTTTTGATACGTTTTGAGTGTATTCATTTGAAACAATTAATTAATTTAGCTAAATTTATTCAATTGCTACGATTTTTTATGAAATATAAATTTGATATTTGCTCTTCAATTTGCACTAAATTTCATGTTTGCAAACATTGATTAACATGCTTAAATTTTGATTTAATTTATTGACTAAAAAAGCAAAAAATTGAATAAATTTAACTAAATAAATTAATTGTTTGAAATGAGTACACTCTGAGAGTATCAAAACTTTCTTGGTTACCTAATAGTTAACATTGTTAGTTAGCCATCAAGTTAACCAATTTCAAAATAGCGTCAGATTATACAATTTAACCATTTGATTAAATACTGGTTACCCTAAACATAGTGGTTTAAATATTGATAAATACATTCAATTCATTAAAAACCAATTTATTACATCTGGATCAACTTAAAACAATGGATTTGGAGCAAAAAAACAGCACACAAAAAAATTGTGATTAACCAAAAATTTAATGCATTTAGAAAGCGACGAAAGAATAGTCTGAATGGTGAAAACTGTCTAGAAAATACTCTATCGGCTCTTTGTGTGTGCATTCAAACAATCATTATTCAAAGCCAAGCAATCTTATTCACTAATTTGATCGATTTCGCCATCTGAAGAAAGAATCGTTTAAAAATTAGAGGAATTGAACTAACAAGATTTACTATTGCATAGGCTACAATTTGCCAAGTAAAAACCCAAAAATCATTGATCTTGTTGATATAACAACTTAAATTGAAAGAGATTGTAATAATCATAAAAGCATCTTGATATTAGATTTTGAAATATTGAAAATTTACTTCAGGATGCGAGTAGATCTAGCGAGTTACATCATCAACATCAACAGCATTAGAAGTGTTTTTGGGCGCTTTCACTTTTTTCGAACACAGAAACATTTTGACTCTTGGTAAGTCAACTTTTCAAAATAAGACCATTATTTACTTGTCTTTGGCATGATTCACGAAAAGGTAAAAAAAGACTTGCAAAAGACTTAAAAAAGACTAAAAATGACCAGCCAAAGGTTATAGAATGACCGGAAAAAAGTTGAGAAATAAACAACAAAAGTAAAAATTGAGTTTCTCTTCTGTGGAGTTTAAATTTGTCCGTTGATAGCAAAAGTTAAGTTCATTTAAATATTCGATATATTGTAAAAAATATCGATGCGGAAATATCGAACATTATTGCACAAATAATAATATTTGTACATCACTATTGTGATTTGTATAAAAGTGAAGGAACCACTCCTGTACAAGACACACAAACATGTAAGAGATGTGTACTATTAATTTCATTTTTATTAATACTCATGTTAACCTTTAAAATGATGTTTAACTAAAACTCTTTTTACTAACCTCGTGTGTAAAAATGTAACATTCATTAATCGTTAGACCTTAGACGTTAGAATAGACCTCTGTCTGACTGAACAGTCTGGCGCTATAGCGAGATGAAATTGTTATCATTATTTCCTAGCGCTCGATATCATATATGGTATATATTCATTAGTTTTAACGAGATTTCGGACAAATTACATTTTTACGCTTTCTTCTCCTTCTTTCATGCTGATAAACAATTTCAAACATCTGAATAAACCGATGATTGTTCAATATCAATGTTTAAACCAGCAAAACTACTGAAACTTTAATTCAATCTAATCATTTTAATCAACAATCAAGTGATGATTAGCTTGGCATTTGCTTCCAATTCAATATAACAAACATGTACCTTTTGGATTTTGCCGACAAATTTAAGATCACTTTTTTTCTGTTTCCTTCACCTTTTCTCATTAATCTTATTATTATTATTATTATTATTATATGATATTATTATTATTAATAGTTGTTGATTGTTATGTTCAGTTGAATGGTTGAAAGCTATTTCAGATGAAAGTTGACGAAGATTCGAAAAGATGATGTTGGCCAAACTCGAATCTCATTGATTGCTCAAATTGTGATAATTCACATGAAAAAGGGTGAAAAACGAAAAAGAAATGCAAATCAATTTTTTGTCCAACATTCAAGTGATTGATAAATGATAAGACTCTCGGCCCCAAGGGCCTCGCTTTTTATCCTTGAATATCTCCGATGTAGTGATCACATGTGTGCATGGCAGTGTGTATGTAGCATGGTTTTTAATTTTAATTCAATTCAGCCATCAACAGCATACATATTGAGACTGTTTGATCACAAGGCAAGCATTGAAGGACGAGATGATTTGTAGCCTTCAAATATTTTCTCATTTAATAGCTTCTAATACTGGCTTCATTTAATAGATAACTTATTTAAAATTGGAAATGTTATTAAATCCCCCTTTTTAGTAACATCAATCCCCATCATCATAAACATAATCTCAATCATCCATTTACAGACCTTCATAGTTAATATGTTGAAAAAAGACAGAAAACCATGAAAATCTTTTCTACTCAACTCTTCTAATCGTTAAAAGGATTAATAACATTGATTATTTACCTTGATTTACAAATGTTTTCCTCAAATTATTACTGAAACAAACATAAACTCAAATCAAGCCAAATCAAGTTCATCACTAAATCTTCATCTCTTTTTCATCTGTTGTTGACATTTTCATCCAAAACTTATTCTGTGATTTGTTGAATGGCAATACATTTAAAGTTATCATGATTAACCTCATTCCTTGTCTAACCAAGTTTATTATATTAACATTATCAACTCTCAATGTTTCCTCAACTTTACAGCGACATAAAATTCCTATCGGTAAGAAGTAAACATTTTTGTCAAAAGTCAAAACCTTTTCAAATAGTCAACAGGTTTTGTTGAAACATTTAACCAACATTATCTCAAGATATTATATTTTCGTTCTTATGGAGAAGAGTAAAATTAAATGAACAATAAAAGAAAGTTTCGTTTTGGGCATTAAAACGGAAATTATCTTTTCATTTCACGATGACTTGAGAAAAAAGAGTTTCTTTTGTAACTTTTGACTCGACTGGCTGTAAGTTAATTGAAATCTGTTATTGACTGGAATCATTTCATGCTGCTTGTGTGTGTTTCCATGTTAATTAATTGTTTCTTCCTTTCTGATCATTTGTTTTTCTCGTTCATTTCAGGAGGAATTTTTACACCAGGAAGCACTGAACTTCAAAGTGCATTTAAATATGCAATTTCGTTGCACAACAAGAATGAATCCTCACGATTCCAGGTTGAACCAATTACAGATGTTATTGACACCAATGACCCGTTCAGGTTTAACCGTCAAAGTAAGTAACAGATCATGTTGATCAATATAAAAATTTCCAAGTCGACCAGAATCGAAAAGTCTTTCAAAATGATCGTGAGTTAACAATGAACTGCTCTCACTGATCTGTAAGATATGTTAGAGACCTGTGTTCGATATAGACTGTAGTACATGTATTAGCATTAGTTTTTACAGATTTACTTTTGGCTCACAGATTCGTATCGGCAACAGGTTTTCATATTGTCATGAAGATATTCACTAGAGTACTCGAAGAATAACGCATTTATTTAACCTGAGACATCTTTCTTCCAACAGTGTGCCTACAGCTGAGTCGAGGTATATTCACTCTTGTTACACCAATTATTGGACCATCTTATGAGATTCTTGTTTCTTATTCAAATACCTTTCAGGTAAGTAAGGTGCGACCTAAAAAGTTTGCAACCACTCTTATTGTTCGTACGTTGATTTGGGCTCATACCGTTATTTGAATGCTTTTATGTTGTTCTTTTTCGATAAATATCGTCAATTAGACAGACTCATATAAAATTTTCAGGCTAAAGTCCACTGAAATCGAGTTCAGCCGTCGGCAATTTTGAAAAACGCGCCAAATTTTTCGAATCCATTTTTTTGGCCTTGCGACCAGAATTTTCAGAATTTGTTACTCCTTCATCGTTCCTG